GCTGAAATGTGCGACGGAAGAGAAGAGAAGAAACAGCGCCAAGCTTAGTAGAATGTAGTGAGAAAAATAATACAACAAACACTGTTCTTTTCTAATTGTCACCACCTTGAAAGCAATTGTTGGTCGCACTCTTGATTGGGCTGTGTGACATTTTCACTTGCAGCGCGCAAAGGCCAAAATAACAAGTGAGAATTTACATGGTTGAAGGAGTGCGATGGAAAATGCCTCCATTCTAACATGTGCTTTAATCAATTTTATTTTTGGTCTTTTCCATTGCGAGCCGTGTGGCGGCATGGCGCACAGACTTGAAGAAATCGATAATATCTTAATAAAATATTGACGAATTGCGTTGAGTGGCAATACGATAGTTTCGGTTGAGGTTGCAGAGAAGGAAAATTTGAAGAATGAGCGCCACACGTCAATGTTCTCATTTTTTCTGTACACTGTGTGGTGGTGTCTGCTTTCCATATATAGCAACAATGGCCACAACCACAGTCTTAGCTACTGTATCTAAAAATAATAGAAAATTCAACAAGTATTGCTTTGAGAATAGAAAATGTTATAGCGTATTAGTTGCCGTTTGTATGCGATAAAAATGTTCCACCGTTCCATCGCAGAAGCTCTGTATGGAATAACGGAGTGGAGGGTGAAAATAGAGCCGGGCTTCGCCCAACTCAATGGGGTGGCGAAGGAGCGTCGTATCCTCAGGAGGAAATATCCAACGGCAAAGCTTGACCAGCATGAATTGAGTGGTTTTATGGGCTGTGCGGCGTAATCTATTTAACCTTCTTGAATATCGCAATCTTGCGCACAAAATATTCTACAGTCTTTTTCAATTGAAATTTAATTTGGAAATATTGTCAAAAGCCACAGTGGCACTGGAGAAATTGTCACTGAATTACTGATGAATTGCTGACACAGTACATAATAATTTCTACTCTGCTTTGGGATTTTGATGCATGAGCTTTTCTTACTGGAAACTCTAATTATAATTCAATACGTCATTTAATTATTTATTCGTATTGCCAAGGAATACATGTGATTTCTCGTCTAAATTTCCACAGTGATGAGTATAATTTAGATTAATGTGTAATTTATAATGTAAGAGAAGACTTTTGCGCAATGCTCTTGAGTTCAATTACAGATTCACGATGTAATAATGGATGTTCAAGTAATATTTTGATTACGTTACAAATTCAATATGATCCATAGCACTTCTCAAAATTCCCCAACAAAATCTTTCAAGTGTTTCGGTTTGCAAAATTGCACGTTTAACGATAAGTTTTCACGTAGTTTTATTTTGTTTTGAGATCACATAAATTGGCATGCTCTAGAAAATTTCCTCACACATTCTCCGGCTAGGAAATTGAATCTTGAGCAAACCAGAAAACTGACAAGTAATTTTAAGCACGTGAAATGAAACGCAAAACTTTCGATTGAATGCAATCTCCTGGGGCGCGTGCTGTGGCTCTCTCGAATCCATGCTGCGATAGTTTCTTCTGTTGAAGTGAACTCACCTTTTTTTGAAGTTCCACACATTTCTAATATAGATTGCATTTTATGTAACATGCGGTGGAAAGCATTCGAAATCGATTTTCCACTTATAAACTGTGCTCAACTTTGGTCAATTTTAGAGATACCTTATGGGTGTGTTTCGGTTTGTTTCGCAAATACATTGATACCAGCGCAAAAAAGGTGTCAATTCGAATGGCGAATTATTCATGGTGATTGCCCACTTGATGTAAACAAAAGCATATTGAGTGTAGTGTGACATGTAGCATAGAATTGAGTGAATATTGCGTCTGTCAGGTGTTATTTGTAACGTCAGTTCCTCGTATGCCATGATATTCTCACTCTCATTCTTCACAAACAATTGCCTAGTGCACTTTTGTACTGGTAAAAGAATAGTGATCAATCAATATCCGTCCTCAATTGTATCCCTTTTTGCACTTTCCAAGCCACCACGACAGTCTTTCTGCAACATTGTGTGCGCAGAGTTGAAAAACCGGAATCACTGGCAATTGACATACACATGTGGCTTATCTATTGAATTATTAACAATAGTATATCATGGGTGATTATAAGGGTGATTTTATGTGGAATATTTTCCAATTCACTGAGTAATAATGCATATGACTATGCGAGTCTTCTGGGAAATTCTATTATCGCGAGTGAGAGGAAATGGTGGATTATAAAAGGTGTGACACACACATATATGCTTACATAATTAGTAAGATTAATGAAGTTCATTTCCGAGAAAATTCTAACCACATTCCGCAAGGGCGGAAAAAGGACAGCATCAAGTATTTCTGTGGGGGAAAATCCACTTTTTCCACCCTAAAATAATATTTCTGATGGCACATCAAAACGACTAGATAATTGGGCATGCCAAACTAATTAATTTTCACTCGTATCTCACCAGAAATGACTCCGAAAAAGCCACTTTCGTAAGTGAGAAGCAAATGTTCCGAACACACACACATCAAGACCAACTCAGAGATGTTAAATTTATAATTTAAATTTCAGCATAAATTCACAAGCTTTCCTAGTTGTGACTTGACAAAGAGTTAATATGATCGCAATTTAAACAAAATTGCTGGATTTCAGAAACATTTTTCTGTTTACCCTTTGTAAAGTCGTAACTGTTTAAAAAAAAAAGTATATATTTTGCAACTTGACTCGAAATTCAGACGGATGACGAAAAAATTTTAAATAACTATAATTGTACATTATTTCATAAGTTGTTACTTACTATATAAACTATTGTGAATTTAGCAAATGTTTATATTAACAGAGTTTTCATTCAACTTCATTAGTTGAACATATAAGCAAATAGAAAAACTCCATGAAACCTAATAAATATTAAAAAATATATATATTTTGTTTCAATCGATCATTAGTGAAAAATGACTAGATTGATTGTAGAAGAATGCCAAAATTGAACAATATTCAGGGCAAAACTGTTGGAGAAGAAAATCGCTTGTAAAGTTCAACTCGCGATGATAAATGAACAATTCTCGAAGGTAATTCAGGGCGTCTTCCGTGTTCGCTAATTCAGTCTTATATTACATTTTACAGTGGCTGCGTGAAGTTCATGTGGCATTTAGAGTTCATTCTAACAAGTAAATTTACTTGCCTTCCTATCTTGATTCTTCATTATATTCAACATGTTGCTGCGGCATCGTAAAATTGCTCATTTCAGGGGCACATCTTCCCACTTTTATATACGTGTTCGACATGAAAACTCCAAGCACAGGACCCATGCAAATGCATAATTTCAGCTCCTGCTTTTCACACATTTTCCGTTGATTGCCGTCTCGAAAATTCATACGTATTTTCCGCCCAGGGGCGAATTTGGAGTGCCAATTAAGTAGCTGTGTGACATCTGTACTATGTACAGGGAATCCTGATTGATGTGTCAATTGCACTTCTATCGCTTAGAGAGAGAGAGAGAAAGAGCTCTTCACTCGACTCTTGCAGACTCGACATTTTTATGGGACTGTAGAGAGTCTCATGCCAAGATTTTCAAGGCTGATGCTCTTCGGATGAGTTGCAAAGTAATAGCGAAATATGAGAAATACAAATTTGTCAAGGGGAAATGAAAGAGGGGCGCAAAGAGACATAATTGCACGGTAAATTCTGGTGCAATTGGCATATTTTCAATTGACACTCCTTCTGCCCTTGTCGCTCCCAGGAAGCCAAATAATTTGCCAGAATAATTTTTGGTAAAAAGTGTATTCAATGCAATTTCGTGTAAATATTTCCACAGCGTGCGTTCACGCAAAGCACCACTTTCTTGTCGCAAAATCATTTGATAAAAAGTAACATTGTGAATTATTTCCACGTTATCCGCCTTGGTTTAAGGGGAATTCCTCTAATGGCACTTATCGCAATGTGAGAAAGGAATGTCCAACATTCCACTTGCCATTAAATATTGCGCGCGAGTCTCCAAGAAGTGGTGAATGACTTCGAGGAAAAGCCCGTGAACAATTCGATTGTTATTCATGGGAAATTCACATATCTATATTTGTTAATTGCCCAGTGAAAGGAAATTGATATTTGAAGGAATTTCCAGCGCCGCCAAGGACGTCTGCTACTAATTGGGTGGTAATGATGTGGAAAATTGAAAATAATATGTTGAGAAAGAGAGAGAGAGATTCAATTTTCTCCAGTCCCACGCCTTAGCGCTTTTCACTCGTTTTTCCAGAATTTTCATTACATACAATTTCCAAGGATTTTATTCGTGAATAAGAAGGAGTCCTATTTTATGGTTCAACGTCACTGTCATTACCGTGTGACATCTAGAAAATTGCGGAATGGCAAGAGAAAGCTCAGTCTAGGTTTATCAAGTATTGATTTTCCAAATGATATGCACAGGAATTGGAGAAACGAATTTTCGACAGCTTTGAATCTAAATATCTGGGGTATTTCTGATTTGATTTCAAAGTAGGATGATTATGCATATATATATGTGTAGATTTAGATACTAAAGTCGAATAGAATACCAACTCTTTATAACACATCAATTCACAAACGACTATCTTTTGGTTAATATACATTTCAGTCGCCATGAAGTAGAAGTTTGTCATGTTATTTAGCTGCTGAATGTGCGGTAATTTTGGCAATATAAGCTTAGACGGTTCGAACGTAGAGTTTCAAAAACAAATTGAAATTTTAAATGCCTAAGCAACAAAACGATTTAGACGTATATTTCAAGTCAAAAATTGTGATTTTGCAATGAATGATGACAAAGTACTTGTCACTATATAGTTTCATTTATCACTAAGGGATCGAATAATGTTTTGTATTAAATATTTGAGAATAGTTAATGTTCACATGCATGATTAATGTAAATTTTTCGATCGCTTCGCTCATTTTTCCACCCATATAATGACCACTCGGAGCGCAGCGCAGTCATTAAATAATGGGGTGTGATTGGGGGCCGGAGCAGAGGTGCAAATGGTCGGATGGTGTGAAATTAATAAATGCAATGCACTCACCTATTTGCGGCACGTCGTATTGCCTCTGTCCACGGACGCTCCGCAACATGAGTTGGTTTGCAATGCTGTGCGGTACGGGCGGTAGATTGGGAATGCCAGATGTGGAGCTGGATGTGGAGCCACCCGCATTGCCCGGAGTGCGCTTGTTCTGCTTCTCCTTCTGCCGCATGTCCAGGCTGTCCGTGTTGAACAGGTCCTGCAGCGCCTTGGGCGGGACGTCGTGCGAGAAGGTGGGCTCCACGGCGTACGCATCCTCATCGCCACTGCGTGCGCCTATGAAGTCTAGCGGATGCAGCCGATGATCGTCGTGGCGACCGTGGGCGTCGACGGTCTGGACTGTGTGCAGGCCCACGTCGCTCACGTCATCGTGACGATATGAGTCTCTTGCCATGTGGAGGGAGTAGGTGCCGCTGAGGACACTCAAGCAGGTCAGCGTCTGCAGGGTTTCGCGCAACATGATCAAGGTCTCTTGTGTGGGACTATGCAGGTGTACACCTAGATTCACCGTTTCTATTGACAATCTGTGTGGTCACCAAAGTGTCTTGTACATGTAGGAACCATGAAACACTATTCACTCACAAGTAGCCCCACCCACACCCTGACTAATTGTTCACAGTCAGGCGTTCAGGGTATATATAACAGGATATGCAAACACAAACACTACAGAGTACCTCCTGTGTCAAGCCTATGTCTTAAGTCTACCACTATAGCAACTACAGCATGGCAACCTCGACAGTCCCACAATTGTCCTCACTTCTCGTTCTTGATCTTGGACTCTTGGGGAGATTACAAAAGGGACTCTCCACCTCTGGCTTGATTGCGAAAACTGCAGCTATGGGTGTTTTGGCATAGTCCCTTGTGCACCCTCGCGCGTCTCCCGAGGAACAGTGTGCAACACAGAGTGTGGAGCGCAATTCAAGTTTAATGGAAGATGACGAAACACAGTCTCTCCGCTTCTTTTCACTTCCCGTGGACCAAAAAGAACGCACAAGGAATTATTTCACTTCCTGTGAAGTTCTTGTGTGATGTACAAATTCAAAAATGTCTTTCTTTGAAACTGTGGCAAAATTTGATTTATACAAGCACCCAACTCTAAGTCTTGACGGCGTAAACCTTTCTGTCCGATTGCAGGGACTCAGTCTCCGGAAGGGATCTTGATGGGATTCTATATGCGATCCAGAACTTACAAGGACATGGCATTTAACTTGCTGCCAGGCCAATCAAGGTTATGAGGCGTCCAGGCGATAGATTACCTGCAGTTGGTAATTGCACGGAAGAATCATTTAAGACAGCACAGGGAACAGTCTCTGTTGCTCGCTTGCTCTTACTCCAATTGACGTCACGGCGGTCTCGGGCACCTCTACGTACCTTGGGTTCTTTTTCGTCCTTATTGGCCCGTATGCATGCTATGCACGCCCTCCGAATGCCTCTTTTTTCCCGCCGCTTCTCAGTCCAGCCAGTGGGTTGAACTCCTGTGCCAAGACATTCATCCACCTTTCAACTGACTCCCGGTCAACCCCCTTCTGAGTTCGCCTCTTTTTCTGTGTGCGCCTCCACTTGGCTCGCCAGAGATACACGAATCCTCCTCGTCTGAGCCTAAGAGATCGGGCCACTTAACAGTCCAGCACTTGTGCACTATAATACCGGATATCGCAGTGTCCGCACCTATCAATAGTCCACTGTTCCGCAATTCGATTGTGTGCGTGATCCCGATAACACCACAATGTCTATGAGCGAGTGCACGTCGCGGGATTTTCTTGAGTTACATAATAACCTTGGGGATATCGCCATGGGAAAGACACTTTGGGGGGTATATGTGACCACCCTGTCAGGCCGTGTGGCCATGATGTGGCACTCCACTTTTAACTGTTCACTCTCTTTGCCTCCAATTCGTACGACTGATGCACTCGAGCTCAAAAAGTACACTGTATAATAGTATCCCGATTCTCAAACTCGGAAGCGTAGCGCTTGCGTCGTTTCTGTATGGGGCGGAAACACAGCCACAAATACGGACTCAGGACACCATCGTCACACTTACCCCTCGAGCTTTCGACACGCGGACAAAGTTTCTGGGCCCCGGGGCGCTTCTTGTCAAACTTGCAAACTTTGCCCGTTCACTTCGCCCAGACGCAATCACGGCCCGTGTCATTTTGTCACGTTGGAGCGATTTAATGACTTCACAGTATGCGACTGACTCCGGATAATTTCCGGTAGAACATCACACAAGGAAATCACAAGTCTTGCCATTATTAGAGCCTGCATCAGCTGTGCACAGGACCAGCCACTAATAATTTGAATTAAAAATTAAGGGTGGGTTTTCTGCGAATGTTTCCGTGTGAATGTAAAAAGGAACAATTTCTCTTAGCCAAAATTCTATACTCTCCGAAACAATCATTTTGTGTTGTATCTTTTTAGGTGAAATCAAAGTGTTAGAAATATTAAATATTATTATTTATTGTTTTTAAATCACTATATATACATATTAGGTTGTAAGAAAATTTTTCAAGTTGAGGATTTACCCCTAAAATTATTATATTAATTATGTATACTGACAAATATGAACTGAATAAAATATCATTATTTATTCGAATTTCATTAGTTAGCTGGAAACTGAATAAATAGCACAGAATCTAAAATAAAAATGCATTACAGGAGAATCGGCATCAAAAGCTTTTGCACTTGAAGATAGCCTATGAAAAAAGCACTGGGAATATTATCTAACGTGGAATGTGAGGCAATTTTCCAGAGCAACATCACAATGAAGAAGTAAGTTCGCCAGCTTTCAGCTCTTGGAAGCTCTCCATGCGCACCCCAGAGTGAAAAGCTCCCTTCGCGCGCTGGCGGCGCTGCGCGAAGTGCGGCCCTGGCATTTATCCCTGTGGGTGCGCCAGACACCCACGCATTATCATGACGTAAGCGGTGAGCAAGCAGCCGACATCTATTGACTCTATGGTAAAATTTATATTCCATCCAGCCAACAGCAGCCAGTCAGTCGCATCGGGCAAAGGGGTGGCATTTTTGTCAATTGAAAATCCACAACTGATATTTTGGCGTTATATATTTGTCATTATTACCATTTCTGCGTCTTATGTATACAATCCACCCATGCCGAAGTGTCCACAAATTTCATTGATGTGCGCCTCTCGTTTAGAGAATTTATTACACACACACACTGTTTCGCTTTTTGGACACATCGTGGATGTCTCAATGGATAATGGGCGAAAGCTCTCCGGATCTTTTCACTACAAGAATATGACTTATGGCAGCGATGGGATGAAATGCAGAGAGTGGGATGTCTTGCGAATCTTGATATTTGGCCCACTGACGAAGCCTTGGGCTGTGCCTGAGGTGAAGGACAAAGCGTATTTTATATGCATTAACGCTATTTGGCGTTATTTCTCATATTCAGCACGTGGGAGAATTTCTCTATATATGAAATGCGCTTCGCCAGAACGGAAGTCCGGCAAAAGTTATTGGCATTACTATACATACATTAATACGGTGTGTGAAAGCGATGTGCAAGAGATGACAAAGACTAAAAGCTCTGTGCTGTCTCTAGGCTTTTAAAATCAAGGTTTTGGGGGATGAAAAGGAGCGCCGAAGATGTGCAAAAAGAGAACCGAGAGTGAACAACAAGCACTGAAATATTTACAATAAATATTTCATGAGGCAGGAAGTGAGATGAATATGTTTACATTTGGGAAATTCTACCTGTTCCATCGCCTCTCAATCCCATTTCCCCTCTTCTCACCCTATAAACATTACTAATAAGGTGGAAAATTTCCCTTCCCACCCAGACAATTCTCAGCCCTCGGAAAATTTTCACTCATTCGTCTCGTCTTTTCTTTTTTTTTTTTTACTTTAGAGCACACGAAAATTAAGAATCTTATTGTTTTTTTCCCTCTGATGACTCAGAAATCGCTTTTGATTGCATTCAATGCAGACGAAAGGTGGAATCCCTCTATGAATTTATATAACAATGCATTTGAACCAGTAATCTTCTTACAGTTCACTTTGTTCGTTTAGTCAATTTGTGTGGTGATTAAACCAATATGCAGGTTAAAATTAATTCATATAAAGTGATTATAAAGTTCGTCAGTTAGTTCGTTATACGTATAGTTTGCGTAAAATACAATTTTGGTAAAATTTGTGCAATTAGAGTAGTTACTGAATAGACTTTACATAGACTAGAAGTAATTGTTGGGTTTATTTTCGCTAAAATCTTTAAGCTTATTAAGGAATCTCACGATGAATATAATTCATAAGAGTGGAAAATTTTTAGACAAGAGAATTTGACGAAAAAAAAAATTTCTGATGATACTTTTAAATTTTTCTTCTACAAGTCATTTATATATAATACATACATATATTTTTGCATATGGCAAAAGTTGGGAATTTGAGGAGAAAAGTCTCAAACTATCTTTTCAAAGAATTTTCCAGTGTCGTGTGGAAAATTTACGGGGAAATTCTCAAGGTAAAAATCCATAATTAAATACAATATTGGCCACAAAGAGAAATTATTTAAGCCGAGCGCTTTCGCTCCAAACCATTTTCTTGTAACTGTCATCATCAATTTTAATTACCACGGCGAACTCTCGTTAGGATGTTCGCATATATTGATACCATGTCCACATAAATTGTCTTCAATTCTCGCAAGTAAAAGCACAAAATGTGATATCCTTTACATGAAAATGAAGCACACAATGTTCAGTAATAAATTGCTTAATGAATTAACGTCACGCAAAATTGCGCATAACCAAGAACTTCACCTGAAACCCAAGATGCACAGGAATATTCTTGATTCAATGCTTTCACGTAAAGCATCGAGTGTATTAGTTTTACCCTCTCTAGCTTGCATTTTTTCGGCAAATGAGAGGTAATATAAATGTACGTGTAATTATAGTGATGCCGTAACCCACGCTTTATTACTTTCATGAGCTCCTTTCCGATTGTTCTCGTAATCCCATTAAAACCACCCCTGTTAACCCTTTCACGGCGATTAGACCCCATTCGACGGAAACATTGATTAATTTTCATCCACATTTCCCATTTGTTGAGTCTTCTGTAAAGGATGTGTGGAAAGAAAAACAAAAATTTCCAATCAATTTCACCCAATTTTAGGAGAAGCTTCAAGATACCAAATTCCAAGAATTTTTCTGTTTTTGCAATTCGCAATCCAAATTCACATTAGGACGCGTAAGTAAACAAATTTAGTATGGAGTTTTTGCTACTCTGTGAGTATTCCGAAAAAAATTCTCAAATTTTACCTTAAGCATTTGTCTGAAAGACAGAAGATTTTAAAGGCTTTCGCTTTGCTTTTATCAGTCCAAAATGCATTAAACATTGTTCAGTGTTTTTATGGCTCACATTCAATCTATGAGTGTTCCTGAAAAGAAAAGACTTGAAAATGTGTTAATTTCTTAAATTCAAATGGAAATATATCCTAAATTTATGCTCTTAGAACTCAGAAGAAGCGTTGTTGTCCTGAAAGGGTTAAGTACAAACTGATTCCTGAAGGCTGGAAAATATTTCTCAGGCGCAGAAAATTTAATAGTAATAAAGCAGAGCATCATTTGTTGTTGAAGCAACAATATCAGCAACTTATAACGTTTTTTATACGCCGTTTTTTCCCATGAGCAATATTGCATTAATTGTTCAAGGGCAGATTCGCGTGGGCTTAAAACTATGTGTGAGGCACCAAAATAGATTTTCCTGGAATTCATCTGAGGAGGAATAAAAACCGTATCTCGCTTCATTAATTTAATTAGTGGCACGTTATCAGTTGGTTGCGTTTAAAATTTTAATGAAACCATTACCGGACAATGAAATGATTACATTTTCGTGGAATCTCGTGTGCGGTATATAATGATGTGGCGGACAAAAGGGCGGCTTGCATAGCATAGTGAACACGAATGGTTCATTAATATCCATAAATGACATTGGATAGAAGCTCTGCGGTGGACCAAGAAAAGAGCGCCTCTAATTGGACTCCTCAAGTGGGCAGCAATTTGAGTTTTATCGCTCTTCGTGGACTGATTTTCAATTTTCAGAGCGAAACTTCGTGATTTGTGCCTTGACCGGAGTTTAGTTTTGATCTATGATGAGAGTATGATCAATTTCCTGCCACATCCAATTAAAACTTCCCTGTGTGGCGTCTGATAAGCCTTCGGAGGCAGTGAGGCGGGAAATTTGAAAACGGAAAGGCATCGATGCGAGTTAATCGATGCGGAATGAGATTCGGAAGTTGCGTGAGAGGGTCTACACTCAATTTCTCAGTCATGGCGAAGAGGATGGCACAGATTTACGCCACTTCCTCCCACATGTCCACAAATCATTCCCTGTCGATGGACAGAGGATTTAGGCGCAGAATTCAATTGCTGTTGATCCAGCTTTCCACAGATATTGCATTTGTATTTTCAACTGGAAAAGACATGCTTGGGATTATCCTGGGATAAAAAATGTCTTCAAAATACAGCTTAGGTGTTGTGTAATTTCTTATCTCGCTGGGTTAAAAATGTCAATTGAGGAAATCTATATGTATTTTTCGTTGAATTGTTTGATTTCATTGTTTTTCTTCTTGCCCGCTTCATTTGTATACAGGAAAAATGCTTTTTTATTCTTCACATTTAGCCTTTTTATTTCTGAATTTATTATTCTCTTTTCACACTCAATCAATTGAAAGAATAATATTTATAATTATTCTCTTTTTATGAGTTAATTAATTTTATTTAACACTTTTTTCATTCAGTGTGTAATTTGTTAATTGACCCAAAACATATATTTATACAAATATTTTCAATCCTTTGATTTGCAAGTGAATAATAATGAATAACCCATTTTACAAAAAGTTACTCACTTCTGTTCAGCAAACCCGACGGCATTGATGTATTGAAATATGCATAAAACCGCACAAATTATCGCTGTTTTCCACCGCGAATGCCACACAATTTTCACGATAAACCCATGTATTATGTATAAACCATGTATTTAATTACTTTTCATGATTCTGTGAACAAGTGTCAATGGAAGAAAATCACTCGTGGCAAATCATGGGCAGTTTTTGGGAGAAATATCATGAATTTGAGGGGCAAAAATGTGCGAAAAAGTGTTGAACTAGGAAACGATAGTGAAAATTCTTTGGGAGTAATCTATCACTGTGATGTCACACTAAATTAATAAATATCCCTATTAAGTTTTCATGCTGTTCCATCGTATAATCTCTCTGGAGTCAATATTCTAGCGCAATTGTACAACACACCACTCCAACATTTTCCTTTCAGCGCGTGAAGAAGGCTGGCAAATTAGTTTGACTTTTAGACGAATGAGAGGAAAAGTTTCTATTTGTGCTCCTTCACCTTCGACCCGGATTTCTCTACACATTTCCTGTTGGCTCTGTTCTTTTCTGCTTTATGGGCGGAATATCAATGTGGGCTGTTTTGTAGGCCTTTGTACAGTTGAGGGGATTCGCATTGTGTATTTTGTGTGCCAAATAAACTCCCCTGAAAAAGAGATTATAAACAAAAACATTGTCCAGTAACTAAATTCTTCTAATTACAATTTCCAAGCCAAATGTGTGTGTCAAATGAAATATTGGCATCATTTTTATCCGGAATTTTATTTAATTCTCTACTCTTTTAATTCTCTACTCTCTGCTCTTTAGTTATCAGAGTTAGAAAATTTATGTAATTTGACTGAAAAAAATATGTAAAATATGCAGGGTTAATTGCATAATTGATCATAATGCATACACACACACACACACACACCTGAGGTGTCTATGAAATTGCTGGATAATAGACGACAATTAGTATGGTTGAATTAATTCCTTTCCTAGTTTCTAAACTCCATTCCAAAACCGACGGATCGATTGACTGACGACATAACCTCACCCTATGTGAATTTGCGAGTGAAAGTGATGTCGAATGTTCGGTGTATTAAGATATGATGGGCCCTCTCTGGGGGTTTCCCTCCGAAAATTTCATTAATACAGTCCCTCTTTTGCAACATCCGTGTGTCTATTCTATCCACATTTCAAATATTTATGTAATGCCGCCCCTTATGTACTTGTGCTACATACGACAAATTGCCGGAGAGAGCTTTCTGCACGAATGAGATTGGCAATCACCGGGCGGAGGATCGCAAGAAATCAAACTGGAAAATCTCACCATTCTGCCATTCATTTCATTCTTGGGGAGAAGCAAAAGAACTCTGCGTATGCCAGTCGTCCGCCCGCATTTACACCCTTAGATATTCCGATAGCCTCCATGGGCGAGAGAGAGAGTGTTGGCTTCCCCGTCCTGAGAAAATGGTGAAAATGCGCACCACCATGAAAAGTTGGCCAAATCTATTTTTAGCCTCACCTTCAACCACTATTTCAACGACGTCGTCGACACCAACACTTTCTTCGCCCCACACCCGCGGCGCGCCCGGACGAGAACCCCAGCGCTGTACGCAGCACACATAGCCCCAGTCATTGCGTATACACCCTCGCACGGTGGTTGGGGTGGCGATGTGGGGTGAAAGCTAAAATGGTGCGTGCGTGTGTAAAGGGAAAAGCTCGCTTCATTCATAAGCGCTCTGTATCCGTAACCTCCCTCATAATGACAGGGTTATATTCCCAAAGTTTCCTCCGGTGCGCGCGGAGATGTGAAAAATGTGCTCACACATTGGACGCCCGCATATGCATAAATAAATGAAATATATATAAGATGTTTATCCACCTGTTGTGGGGATTCGCGATGGGCTTATTTATTATTTAAAATCAACGGCAAGTCACACACCTGCTGAAATTCGCAAGCGACTGTCGAATCACGGAGGCCTCAATGAATCACACACACACGCAGATTGATACGCAAAAATTGCGTCAATTGGCTTCATGGTGAGGGGTTGAGTGAGAAAGGTCAATGGGGTCGTGAATCGATGAAGCGCCTCGCGGAGATTTGTCAATGAATGCCACGCAGAGTTATCATTATAGGCTGTAATCTAGCTCTTGCGGCGCTGCCAGGGGGAAGACAATACACGATTTGATATATGGTGTACAGCAGGAAGGAAGTCTCAAGAGCTGAATTTTTACCAAATGGCGCAAATATTTGAATTTCCTTGGATTCTTAAGCCGTCATGTCTAGATTTAGTGACTAAATAACTCTCAAAATATTCTAAACTAAAATAAATTAAAATCATTTGCACTTTTAGGTAAATTCGGTGCATTTCAGGAGTTTGTTTATCTGATAAAAGAAGCAAAAATAAATAATTTCACACAGATTTTAAAATAAATATGCCAGAAAGTTCAGTGATAACGTTGAGAAATCTATGTTCATATACATATGTAGTAGACGAAGTGTCAGGAAATTTTCCAGAAAATTGTGAAAGCGACAGGAAATGGAGTACAGATTTTGGGCGTATATTATCTCCCCTTGAGCGCTGCCAAAATGAGTTGTTAAAAAGTTTAACCAAGACCTCAGCGAATTGATATGCAGATGATGTTTGCTCGCGTCTCCGAAGGCTTCCATTTCCACTCAATATTAACTTATTAACTTGCAAATCATTTTCTGCTGAATCACCACTGACACATTTTTTGTCTCGATGAAATTTCCAGAAGAAATGTATTGATGTTAATGTAAATTTTCCACGATATAAAATCAGAGACATGAAATACATAAATTAAATATATGTTATTTTTTTGATCGGAAAAGTGCTGTGTTTTCTACGATCATATGCCAATATTCACAATTAACTTTGAAGTCAAATTGTAATTCCAACCACTGCGCAAGCTATTACTAAATCACGTTTGAAGTGGTGAATTTTAAATATTAAAGAAGAAATCTCCTTCTTCGTCTGCCACAGCGCGGGAGCTTTGAGTGAGCTTTTTCGGGCACCTCGAAGCCATGAAGAGGGATAACGATACCATGGAGTGTTATTGTGGAGAAATTTTCTCCTCTAATATTTATTTCTCTGTTTCCCTCTGCCACTAAATCCGTCTTATTTATGTATCTGGAAAAGGGGTGACGCAAATAAGAAATTGTGAGCAGATTCTCTAGTGGATTAACCATAGAAATGTTATAAATTTGCACATTTCAACATTACTGGTGACGGGCATTTTTTTTCACAAGCTCTCTATGGAGTTAAGTAAATGGCAGAGGAAGAGGAGAAAACATTCTCTATTCTCCCTTTTTTCCACTGGATGGATGACAATGATTGCCTCACTGAAGGTGATTTTCCAAAATATTCTCACCACAGCTAATGGAATGAGATATTTTGGTGACGATGGTGCGTTCTTGGAGTTATTATAACATCCTCCCTCTTTAGGTACATTGTGTTTGCTATGGAGAGAATGTAAATGTCTCGGGTATTACATAAATATTTGCTACATAGGATCCTCTCATTTTACTAGAAGAATACCAACACGAGGAATGCCAGGGTGGGAAGAAAATCGATTTTTCATTCTCCAAAAGGCATACCTTGCGCCTATTATTTTTCCGTCTCATTCTTTTGTGCTCTCTCACATGTCGTCGCATTGGACAATCAATTGTCGGACAGGCAAATAGGATATATGTACATGTACACATTCTATATACACGCCTTTCTAATTCCTTTAATCACCAGTGGAAATAGCTGAGAAGAATTGAGTAATTTTCTCTTACCTCTATCAGGCAAAGAAAAATTTTATAGAACGCGTAAAGTTATTATTTATTAATTCTGCTATTTTTTAATTGAGACAGAGCTTGTTTCACATATCCACCTTAATTCTAGTTTAAAAGAAAGAGCGTTAAACAAGACTGGTTTGCAATGTGTATAAAATACAATTTCAGTTTACTCTCCTAGTAAAAGCAGCTCTATAAGGTTTAATACTCTTAAAAATTCCACACTCTAGTTCCTGACAAGGCAAATTCTCACCCTTAGCCTGGGAAAGTCTGTAATCACGCACGACGCCCGTGAAGAAGGTGAAGAGAAATGCTTTCGCCAGAGAACTTCCCAAGCATTGTCTTCTTCCCTCACCGAATTGAATAACATTTTCAGTGTTGCAGAGCTTCTTTCCGGACTCGTCGAGGAATCGCGAAGGTCTGAAGACTTCAGGATCGCCCCACAATTTCTCGTCCATGTGCACAGATTGCAGGCCAATGAGAACTGTGGTGTCCTTCGGAATGGTGAATCCACACAAGTCCGCATCTTCGAGAGCACGTCTTGGGCCGCTGATCGGAGCAATACTGTAAAATCTCGCGATTTCTAAGAGATAAGCTTCCGTAAGAGGATGATCTCGGTGCTGAGTATGCTTCACTTCCTTATAAATTTGTTCCTGAATGTCTTCATAAAGAACTAATGTCATCAAGGACAGATTGCAAGTGAGACTTGTTGTACTGGCGCCAGCAAGGAATAGGTCTAAGATTATGATCATTAGCTGAGTATCTGTAAAAGTTGAGTTGTGCTTTTCACTTCTCTGCTTTTTCATCTCGTGAATAAAGGCGTAAATGAGATCATCGTTTGCCTTATCTTCACTGTAGTTCCTGTGATGATCATCGATTATTTTCTGTAAAAACGATTGAATTTCGTCGTTGAAACGAACCATCAAATTGTATCCTGTGTATTCAGGAACAATAAATCGCAGCCAGGGAAAGTCTGATAATAATCCACCAGAAAAATCAAAAGCTTTCGATCGCAGATGAAGAAGATGAAACAATTTATCGGATAAAATATCCTTATCTTCACTACCAGCGACGAAAGTCCACAGAACATTCATCACAGCTTTCTGCAGAAATTCTTCTGGCCAAACTGATCCCACTTCTTCCATCTTCTTGTCTAGATTTTCCTTGAAACTAAGAAGCTCCTTTTCGATCATCTCTTGCATAGGATCTCCACCAAATCCAACACTTCTAAGGCGTTTCATAGCGAACGAGCGATGTTCGCGCCAAAGTTCTCCTTCGGCTAATGTTATTCCTGCCAAAGTGTTGAATGTTCTCAGTTTCATGAAGAAATTCCTTGGACGAGCATCAAATACAGAACTCATGTGAATCTCCTTCACTGCTTTCTCCGACATTCCGACGACAACCAGTTGCCTTCCCAAGCGAAGACCCAGAACATCAGGATTACTGAGCTCTTTCGACCACTTTTGGTAAACATTGTGTGATCCTTTGAGTTTCTGAATTGCTCTTCTGAACTGAATACTGTTCCCAACGAACGGAAACCACTGAGGACCTGTAAGCACAATTTAGTTTTAGGAGCTTCGTAGAATATTATATTTATCACTTTCACCTGGTGGAAAATTCTTAGGTCGCTTCTGAATAAAGTAGATAAGAGAGATTAATAAAATCGATAGAGCAAAAGAGATACAAGAATTCAAATCCATCTCTCAATGCTTTAACTTCACATCAACTCTCTTCACTTCATCGATCGTGACTAAACTCTGAGAAAATTGCAGCGCTAACTTGGCAATAATTATTATAAGAGGTTTGAAAAACATACCTTCTTTACTTTTCTGTAGCAATATAAATTTTTGTTGTGTGTGTAAAATTTAATTTACACATTAATTTGAAGCAAAAGCACACATTTTTTTTCATTGTACAAATATAGAGAGACAAGATGAAAAAATTATTTTCATGTAAATAAGTTACCTTGGAATTGTTTAGTATACAGTTTACAATGTAAATCTCGGAAAATTCATAAAAACAGTGTCGGTTGGAGAAGCAAACATTGTTCAGTACAAAATCATACATAATCAAGTTTTCATCTTCACTTTCTCTTTGAGAAAACCACCTTATAAGGTTCTATCCTCTTCATAATACCACAATCCAACTCCTGACTTGGAAGCTTTTCTCCATTGGCCAAAGATAATGTGTAATTACGAACGATGTCCGTAAAGAAGGTGAAAATGAACGCTTTGGCTAAAGAAAATCCCAGACACTGTCTTCTGCCTTCGCCGAATTGAATAACATTTTCAGTGTTGCAGAGCTTCTTTCCGGACTCGTCGAGGAATCGCGAAGGTCTGAAGACTTCAGGATCGCCCCACAATTTCTCGTCCATGTGCACAGATTGCAGGCCAATGAGAACTGTGGTGTCCTTCGGAATGGTGAATCCACACAAATCGGTGTCTTCGAGAGCTCGTCTTGGACCACCAATCGGAGCAATGTTGTAAAATCTCGCGACCTCCAAGAGATAAGCTTCAGTGATTGGAAAATCTTTGTGTTGAGCAATTTTTAAAAAGCCTTCCTGTGCTCTTTGTATTTCTCCATGGATTTGCTCTTGGATATCTTGGCGAAGAACTAAAGTCATCAAAGAGATATTAAAAGTGAGACTTGTACTACTTGCTCCGGCTATGAATAAGTCCAATATCACGATCATTAGCTGAGTATCTGTAAAAGTGGAAGTTTCCTTTTCATTAATCTGCTTTTTCATCTCATGAATAAAGGCGTAAATGAGATCATCGTTGGCCTTATCTTCACTGTAATTCCTGTGATGATCATCAATAATTCTTACAAGGAATGATCGAATTTCCTCATTGAATCGAACCATCACATTGTATCCAGAGAATTCGGGAGCAATAAATCTCAGCCAGGGAAAGTCTGATAATAATCCTCCGGACAAATCGAAGGCTTTCAGTCGTAAACTCAGCAGATGAAACATTTTATCAGATAAAATGTCTTTATCTTCGCTTCCGGCGACGAAAGTCCACAGAACATTCATCACAGCTTTCTGCAGAAATTCTCCCGGCCAAACTGATCCAACTTCTTCCATCTTCTTGTCTATGATCGCTTTGAATTCCAAAAGCTCCTTTTCCATCATCTCTTGCATAGGATCTCCTCCGAATCCAACACTTCTAAGGCGTTTCATAGCGAACGAGCGATGTTCTCGCCAAAGCTCTCCTTCGGCCGATGTTATTCCCGCCAAAGTGTTGAAAGCCCTCAATTTCATGAAGAAATTCCTTGGACGTCCTTCGAAAACGGATCTCATGTGAATGTCTTTCACAGCCTTTACCGATAATCCGACGACAACCAGTTGTTTTCCCAAGCGAAATCCAATAACGTCTGGACTGTTGAGTTCTTTTGACCACTTTTGATAAACATTGTGAGTTCCTTTTAGCTTTCGCGCCTCTCTTCTTAGTTGAATACTGTTCCCAATTATTGGAACCCACTGAGGACCTGCAAGTACAATTTAGTCTTAGAAGCTTCGCAGGAAATTATATTTATTACTTTCACCTGGTGGAAAATTCTTAGGTCGCTTTTGAGTGTAGTATAATGCGAGACAGAAAGCGAAGAAGATGTAAAAACTCTGTAGAATAATATCCATTTTTTAATGTTTTTCGCACAATGCTACTATTTATAATTTGTACTAAACACTGGCAAATACAAGAAAAGACTGTTGCTGTGATGTTTACCACTCGTCTATTTAAGGTGTTGCGTTTTATAAATTATTAATTGGACAGGTTCAGATAATTGACATAATAATTACAATGTCTAGTAATTCTGTTCAAATAATATGACTTGATGTGGAAGAAGTTTCCGATTCTCTGTTAAAACTTTAATGTAGACGTGTACCTATACTTGCGATGCACACAAAAATTGCATTATTTGAACATCTTAAGAGGATTTGCTTATCTCTTCATAAAGACGACGTTTTACAAACAATTTAATTAAAACAAACATAATCTTTTTATATTCCTAATGTCATTGGCATTGAACGTGTAATAAAAATGATTTCTTATTATGCAAATAATACGAATTGACATCACTTAGAGACGTTATAATTTCTGCGTACTTAGTGAGCATGATTCTGTGCTTTATTAGACAGTTGAGATCTAGACAGTGCTGAGTGTTGATGAGCTTGGAACATTTTTGTGATGAATTCCACTTTTCTGTATCTCTCTATTTTGTTGCTTGTTACTTTATTTTATTGGACGCAAAAGAGGCCTAAGAATTTTCCACCAGGTAATGACAGTGAACTTGTAATACTTTATAGCAACACCTGATGTAGTTTATTATCTCGCAAGGCCCTCAATGGTTTCCGTGCGTTGGAAATAGTGTTCAATTGAGAAAAGCGGCGCAGAAGCTGAAAGGAGCTCACAATGTTTACCAAAAGTGGTCGAAAGAACTCAACAGTCCTGACGTTATTGGATTTCGCTTAGGACAGAAATATTTCATTGTCGCTATCTCGCAAAAGGCTATCAAAGAGGTTCATACAAGAGCTGTCTTTGAGGGACGTCCAAGAAATTTCTTCACCAGCCTAAGAACATTCAATACCTACGCAGGTATTATGATTGCAGACGGAGATCTTTGGCGGGAACATCGCTATTTCACCTTGAAGCGTCTCAAATGTGTTGGATTCAATGACAATCCAATGCAGCAGAAGATCGAGATGGAGCTGCAAAATTTCAAGCAACTCATTGACAAACGGATGCAGGAAAATGGCTCGATGTGGCCAGGCGACTTTCTCGTCGTTTTCGTCATGAATATCCTCTGGACATTTGCAGCAGGCAGTGAATATCCTATTGAAAGTTCTAGGCAATTATTTCAACTTCTGAATGAACGAACAAAGGCATTTGATTTCTCAGGAGGACTTTTATCAGATTTGCCTTGGCTGAGATTTATTGCTCCTGAATTTACTGGATACAATTTGATGGTTCGGTTTAATAAGGAAATTCGATCATTTCTCCAGAAAATAATCGATGATCATCACAGGAACTACAGTGAAGATAAGGCAAACGATGATCTCATTTATGCCTTTATTTACGAGATGAGAAAAGGGATTTCGAGCTTCACAGACACTCAACTGATGCTCATAATGTTAGATCTCTTCCTTGGAGGATCTCATACAACAAGTGTGACTTTAGATCTTGCATTAATGACATTGGTACTTTACGAGGACATTCAGAAGCAAATCTATGAAGAAGTGAAACAAGTTCCAGAGGTGTGCCTAAAGATCAGTAATCACCTACAGTTCCCTTTTACTGAAGCTTATCTCTTGGAAATCGCGAGATTTTATAGCATTGTGCCACTCAGCGGCCCAAGACGAGTTCTCAAAGACTCGGACTTGTGTGGATTCACCATTCCGAAGGACACCACAGTTCTCATTGGCCTGCAATCTGTGCACATGGACGAGAAATTGTGGGGCGATCCTGAAGTCTTCAGACCTTCGCGATTCCTCGACGAGTCCGGAAAGAAGCTCTGCAACACTGAAAATGTTATGCAATTCGGCGAAGGCAGAAGACTTTGCCTTGGAATTTCCTTAGCCAAAGCCTTCCTCTTCAGCTTCTTCACAGGAATTGTTCGTAATTACAAATTATCCCAGATTAAAGGTGGAAAAGCTCCGGACGAAACTTTAATTCCAGGCATCTTTAAAACAGTCAAGACATACGATATAACCTTTACGAAACGTGTGTAATGAGCTGGTTGCTTGTTCTGCAAACTGGGTTGAAGAGTAAACGTTTGTTTTTCGAATAAAAACGCCATGGATTATGGATGAAGTATGAATAATATATATTTTCTTGTATCACAATTTAAGAATTTTCCGTATGAAATTACTGTGGCAATTATTGATCAGCATTTTCTATTTTGTCCATCATATTTCGCTTTCTACAAGTGCTTGAATCTTGTACAGAAATTGGGGTATTTTCTGCAATTCTTTCCATGGCGGCGCACGGCAAAGGCGAGGTGGAGCGGAAGACTTCTCATTTGTAAATATTTGCTGAGGCTCTGCGAAGGTGTTCTCCGGTGCTGACAACCCCTTTCAACCTTCGTGATTTTCCAATTAATATTTTCGTCCCGTACATATCTGTTTGCCTAGGCGAACGGGAGAAATTCCTTAAGTAAATAGCACAAGAAGCGAAGAGACATTTCTTTTCTTGAGCGCAATCGTCCAAAGAGACATTGTCCGCGCGTGACTTCTCCATTCTGAATTATTCATTCAATTTGTAACAGCTTAGAAGACCATCTGATAAGAGATCTTCACGGATGACCTTTCATATTCAAATGGTGTGTTGATCAATTCATTTGCACCACGAGCCTTCATTCACCAATTTCCCTCCGCCCATCAAAGTCAATCAATTGTGTAAGTCCCGAAAGTGTTAAATGCCTATCAACGTAGAAGGTTTTATTGTTTTGTCGAAAATAATTACTGTCATAGACGTCATGAGCGGAAAGTTCAATAATCTCAGCCCAGCACAAAACATATTTTCATCACCAGAGCCCCAAATTGGACGTTGGAAGGTTGCCTTTGTGACGTCAAAGTCCTCAGGCAGGCGGGGGTTAAGACACAATTTGGGATTTGATTGCTTTTTTGGATGGATAAAAGGTGGGTTTGTCGTCTGGAATTGCGTTTTTAGCTTTCGTAGCAGCGCTTTAAGGGCACCTGAAAAGTATACATCCAAATTGCTCTACTCGCTGCTTATTTTTTTTACATAAATTATTAATTGTTTATATTGAGGATGCGCGTGTGCTAACTGTCTCATTAGCTGATCAGTCAAATGGAAAATCACCCACACTCGTCAAGGTATAATTCATGGGGAAAACCCAAAATGAGCTATTTAATATCCTGGCAAAAGCGCGCCTCTCTCAAACTTCTTTGGGGGCGTTTCGCGGAAAATTGATGATTAACCCCCGCATCGTTTATCAGTTCGCCACTTTGAAAATCGCACACGTATCGCAGTGCGAATGAAAGGTGCATAAATATAGCTCATCCAATATGGCTTAAGTGCCATGAGAGAATTCAATAGCGGCCAAAATTTCGGACTCGTGGGCGATTTCTGCAGGACTGAAATTATCACTAAATTCAATATATACATTTTTATCACCGCGCCTTTTTCTAAACCACCCGCTCTTGTAAATATAATCAAAAATTTTATTGTACCAATAAAATTCACCTCTCAATGTCGTAAAAGGTGCAAATGGAGTGGAGGAGGAAATCTAATTTGGTCAGCGTGTAACCAGTTGAACTGAAACCCATTGGATGTCAGGGATGCAATCATCAATGTCACCTTCCTGGAAATAGTTTGATTTCTGAGGAACGCCCAGATGATTGGAATCGCCCACGTGCTCTATCACTGATGTGCTCCAATCAAAAGGAAAACAGTATGTTAGGAATGCTTGCAGAAATGTGTACACCTCTTCCTGGCATTTCTGCAATCTGTGCGCCACATTCCAAATACTTTCAGAACTCTTAAACCTCAAATACCATTCAGAGATATTTAATAATAATAATAATCTCACTGAAAACTCAGCAAGAGTAAAGCAGAGTGCAATTTTTTTTAGTTACAATTTGGTAATAACCTCAAAATATCTTATTTATATACAATAATAAATAAGAAATGAATTAAATGAAAGTAATAAACTGATTTAAATACATCAATTTTCAATGTTTTCACAGGTTTTTTTTAGTCTTATAACTCTCTAACAAGCTATGTACACCAATTCTGGCCATGTAATCTCCCCCTTGGCTCCAATGGCAAATGGGAAAAGCCAATTCCATCAAGTGTTCCCAGAATGTTCTGCACCAATTTAATGTTGCTAGAACAAGGTCACATTTCCAAAAGAGAATGGATATAACAGAACAAGACAACATAAACCTGAAGCAATGATTCTGGAATTGTTTGAAATTCGCCCCCAGAAGCAATTCGCTTCGGCAAATCTTGGCCCAGGAATGAAGATATCTGTGGGAAGTTGAATTTGATATTCGCAAGGAGAGGGAATCGACTGAACACTCGAGAAAGTATACAAGGTTTTTAAGCCTCGTGTGTGTAAGCAAATTTGCAATTTCCTCCGTGAGTGTGAGAATGGCGGTAATGAGTGGGGATGCTTCAGTGCACAGTAATTATGATGTTATCAAGGAAGAGAGAAAGGGAGAAAAGGTCAAATTGAAATTAAAATCATGCGTCTCTGATGATAATTCCGTCAAGAATGTGATGCGCATGAATCGTGAAGCTTCTCTTCTTTCATATTATTCATGTCATTATAGAAATATAAATCTCCGATGTGATTCTCAAATTTAGGTCATGATTGTGACACCCACACACAATTTCTTGTACATGGAACAACACCCAGAAGGGGACGAAGAGTTTTGGAAGACGAGAAAGTAGGAGGAAAAAACGCCATGTGGATTACAATTCTGCAGATACTGTTGACTTGAGCTTTCCACACGAAGGCTACTCACATGTCTCTTAAATATCGTGAAGCTTGTTTCCATACAAGATTGATTGATTTTATTATAAATTTTTTCATAATACTCTTTAAAAAGACATTCTTTATGTTTCAACTTGCAATTTTGAGGGTTAAGCTTGACTTTAAAGTTTTTACTAAATAATTATTAAGAATAGTAAAATTTATATTAATATTTTTCTATTTAACTTAGTCAATAACTCCGACTCAAATTGACATTTTTATGCAACGTAATCTTAGGAAACTAAAAGTACTGTGAAAAGCTGTTGAAAATCTCATATTTTGATGTCTTTACACATTCACAGCTAAAGACTTTTGCTGAGATGATCATTTAAGATCATATTCTTTGGGACAAATTAGAAATATAGTTACAAGACGGTATTGTGTGCCAAGCCATGAAGTGCTGCGAATCCTTATGCGAGCAGCCCCTCGATTTCCCATGTCTGTATGCTCATGGCCCTGTGTACATATGTAAGTGTTAAGATATTTATACAAAAACTGTCACTGAAAATTATTTACTCAATATGAGGCATTTTCCATCTATAGCCATCTGCCTCGCAGCCTCTGGCGGAATGACGTCAGAGCGCACGAATGAGAATATATGAGAAAACTATTTGCACACTCCTAATTTATGGAAATTAAGAAAGGCATGGGACAACACTTAGATTGTAATCTCTGGTCGCATTTCTCCTTCATCTCTTGGGGTCTTTCTGTCTCTAAAATTGGTCCCTTGCCGACTTGGGCCCTAAAAAATTAACTCCTTTAATAACAAATTTCCACTTTATGCAAACCCACCCAGAGAGTCATAAAGTTCGAGGTTGAGCTTTCACACAAATGAGAATAATGCAAGTGCGACTCTCTTGGTTAAATGTTTCATCGTCAATTCATTATTTGCACATTACATGTTTTAAGAAGGAAATTTCGCTTAAACTCTTAAGCGAACCTCCGCAAAGATCATCCCACTGAGCTCTTGCATTCTTCTCGGAAAAAGCTCAGTGGGCGTCAGAATTGTGTTTCCCATAAATTTACTCAATTGCCAGTATAACGCGCACCATGGAAAATCTCATACAAAACGATATGTACTGGGCGCGAGAAGAAGACGAACACATACATGGACTTCTTCTGTGAGATGTAATTTGGAGAGACATTGACAGAAATTGTTAAGTGATGGAATTTGAGCAGAAGGTCAGAGGTCAAGAATAGCTTCATCTAAAAATCTTCCTTCTCCACTCTAAAAGAAGAAATGTACATCCGAAAGTATATGAAAGTCTGACGTGCAATTATCACTGATAATCGCCGAGGAGGCGAAGAAATTGTTAAATATAATTTTAATTATACAACTTGAAGTGCACTCAATATTGCTAAAGGTTTTCTCTGCTCATTAAAAATTGTAGAAGATAATTAAATTTGAAAACTTTTCCATATTGGATTTCATCACATTTTACCGGGAAAGGTTAACGAGTAAGCAGAGCTCTGCAATTTCAATTGAAAACTTCCATTTGTCATGTTTCATATAAACTCTCTACTATTTATAATCGCCAACTAATTCCATGCAGATTATTTCACTAAAAACTCTGGGGATAAATTTCCACTTTGCTGAACAGCATGCTGGAGAAGGAATTTGTGATATTTTACCATTCACCCTCATATTTCGCATTGCGACGAACTTTCCTCCCTTTCTGTTTCGCATGATAGTGAGGTGAAATACCATCAGAACAGTATGCAAACCACTTCAGCAAAATGTTTTTCCACATGTTGAACTCTCATTTGTCCAGCAGCTGTAATTAATGCACAGTCTTGTGTGTGTGTATGTGTGTGGATTCTGCAGAATCACTTCAGCAATTGACAGAAAAAAGCCCCCGCGAAGCGTGAATAGAGAAAAGATTTAGAAAGTGGGATGAAAAGGAGAAAGTCACGAAATGAAATTTTCCAAAGTAGTCCTTGCAATGCCTATACGCTGATATGACGTAAGTGTTCTTCGAGATACAATTTTGAACAGAAACATCTTGTTCTCAAGGGGGACACACATTAAAAAAAATCAAATATTTTCAATATAAGATGCACAAATGCTTGAATCTGTTAATAAATGGAAGTTATTCTCAGTTTAGACATAAGAATTGATGTTTTGTCGGTAATATAGTTACTACATCTCTCCTGAATTTATCTTAAATCAATCATTAAATTAACCCGGAAAAGTGTATTCAAATTGTAACATTTCCCATGAACTTTAGATCAAAATATCTCCCCCTTAGTTTAATCGAGTTGTGCTCTGGTGACTAATCTCATGAGCCTATGACGTCACTTTTATTTTTGTACATTAAGGAGACGGCGAACAACACGGAAATATTCAGAATACAAATTCAATTGCACGCTTTATTCAAGCAATTCGAGAAGAATTCCTTAAAGCTTCACTCAAATGCTCTTTCTAGTGTATTAAACACACATTCCATGCATTCTGGAAAAACTCCAGTAGAAAAAGTCACAAAGAAATCCCCATTGAGATCATTCTTGTTCTTCTTTGCTCCACTTTTGCATGGAATGCTCGAGAGTGTGATTGTAGGCAAATTGGAGAGACTTTGATATGTATTAATAGATGTACGTGGCAAGTGTCTTTTAATTTTAGCCAAAATCTCAACAAAATTTTCGCTTCATCCGCCGAACGAGATTTTCCGATATGTTAGTCACCCGAGTTGTTCCCAGTGGAAAACTATGTCTCAGCCGCTCCGTAATTGAAATCCTGGACAAATTTCCAACTGCATGTCAGGTGCTTCAGGTGTTGCGTGGTGTTTTCAATATATAATGAGTTTTGACTCCCGTAGAGTGAATCAAGTGAAAGTCTAAGTTCAAGTTGTGGAAATAAGTTCTGGATTGAAGTGTCCAAAAATAGCCACGCAAAGTCTGTCTCTCCTTGACACACTGACTCTCGCGGGAACGTGAAAATGCCAACTTCTGGACCAATTACGGTGAGAGTCGCATTATGTAATGCGAATGCGTGCCATTTTTCATGCACTCGTCGCGCTTCTGAGGTGATCTCTCTTGAACTCATGCCAAGTCTCGTTCTGTGCAGAAGCAAGGCTCCATCAAGCGGCAGGGCTCGAAGCGGCGCGCCTCGTGCCTGGGCGGCGGGCAGCCGCAGACGCCCAAGGAGGTGCCCTGGGACCTCTTCGATCGCCTCCTTGTGCCGCTCGTGAGTTGCCATGGGGCCGCAATTGTGCTCTCCACGCTCCTCAACGTGCTGCGCATCTCGCAGGTCTCCACGTTCGCCCTCTTCATCTGGTTCGCCCTCTCCACCACCGGGGCAGTCATGTTCTACCACTTGCTAAAGGTTAGTGTCAACAGCTGACCGCAGGACACGCTGTCAGCTGCAAGTGACTTTAATGCACTGCGGGAGGCGATTCGCAAATCAACTTCATGTTGCGGGTTGGCCATATATATGCACATATTCAATGAATATGTTGAACTTTTACCACACGCTATGAAATGTTTTAGATTTGATATGCGTGCAAATCGCCGCAGTGTTAAACACAGACCTCCTACAGCTTGTCTGAAAATCATCATTTTTATTAGAAACAAATGTTTCTTTCATTTTTCTGATTTCTCAAATGACATTTTCGTTGTTTGATTGTTCATAATACTATTGTTTATTGTATTCTCTGCCCAGATGGCTAAAGGCAATGTCTGCAAATTCCGAACCGTGTACATGAATGTAATCTATGTGTGATGTGCATTTATGGTGAACTAGGGTTTGTGGAAGCCATTAATAAGTGTCTCATAGCGTAGGTTGAGTGTATTTATGGTGTGAGATTTTCGCAAGGTTTCACCTGGCGCTCTCTCACGGTTGCTGCTCTCATTCAGCCGCACTGTGTTGCAATATAGGATTACCCCGTGAGACATCTTCAGCTTGTTGTCTGGGTGTAAATGTGGCAAGGATAATGGCTAAGGATTTTAATTATACATCGCATTCTCCAGAGAAAGGTTCCAGATTATTTCAGACACTGTATGCAAAGAATGCGTGAGAAAATATCACGCTGTAGAATAGTCGATGCATCCAATCATTCTGATACATACAATCGTCACGAATGCCAACCAATCATTGTTGTTGAGCCACTATGGAATTGTCGATGTGCGGTCGAGAAACACGTCCGTGCCATAATTTGAACATTCTACGTAAACATGTTTACTTTACACACTGGGAGAAAAATGTCACAAATCATCCCTTTTATCAGTGAGACAGGCTGCTCTCACTGTGTTTCACGCGCTCTCCCATATATGAGTTTGACGCCGGGGGAAAAGCCAACAAGCGAACACTTTGCCTGCGATGATTTTGCATTTGTGGCGATTTCACCTATGCCCTTTACGCCTTCGCAGCTGTGAAACGCAAAATCTCATCATGCGCCTCAATTTGCCCACACTCTATGATGCACGAGAGTGTTCTCATTAGTGATTTATATTGATTGAAAAACTTTGTGATTCAATTTTTACGCCAGAGGCGATGATGGAAGCGCCTGGTAGTTCTCGAAGCGCTATTAAAAAAAATGCGCAATGTAAATTTTTCTATGTCAATTTGCGCCTTACACCAAATCGCACGGTATTGCGTTATTGACACTGCAATGCCAGCGTGAAAATAGGGAATTATGGTCAGAAATATTAGGGCTTTCAGTGGATTTACATAAAAAAAATTTGGCATAATTTTTAAAATTATTCAAGTGTCACACGAAGAAGGTGTTTGATGAGGTTGACAGTGTGATAAAGTGTGAGATATCATCAGAATAAATCAACCCGGATGATGGAAGAAATGTGGGTGAAAGAAAGTAATTTTCTAGGCTCTTCCACATAACAAAAGAATAGAATAAGCGACATTCTAAGAACGTCACAAATCCTAAGAATTGAGAACATTGGAAAGTGGAATGTGACGAAATTAACTTTTCTTCCAGTAATCACGAGAATGCACTTCAATTAAACTTCGACAAAAGGCAAAGTTTTAGCCCTACACTTAAGGTATTCAGAGATTTACGTTTTGGACGACAACACAGAACTCCCACTCATGCTTTCAAATTGTTTCAAATTGAGTTTTACAAGAAAGGTCTTCGTAAGCACTCTGAAAATTTCTATATGTTTTTTTTTGGCTCATTTTCCCGAATTCATCTTCAAATTTAATAATTCATGACGTTTTCCAACATTCTTCATGACAAGGGATTTTGATCGTCATTAGAAATTTAAATTGAAGACCAATTTAAATTACTTTAAGTCATATTTGGGAACATATAATATTGTTAATTCTGTTAATAATACGCTCATTATCAGATGATTTTGTAAATTGCAATTCTGAATATTATTCGGTATAATGTCCTAATGAGTTATTTTCAGTGAATTTATGCATTTCAACAGAAATTCATAATTATATAAATCATTTCTGTTTTATCATTACTTTCATCATTGGAAATAAAGGTGCGCCATATCTCTATTGCACAGTCTAGAAACAATCAGAAATATAATACAATACGAGGTTCAATTCATGAAGCTTTGCACATGAAAAAAGTTCTAATTTACGTTTAAACGCCCCCACTCTCTCCTATACTACAAACGCTGTACTATATTTCTTGATCAATGAAATCCCCCTAATCTTGCCTTTCCTCTTGCAAGGATTCCCTGAAAGATCCCCGCATGTGGTATCAGTGATATCAATTTCCGCTTGACGCTCGAGAGGCTGCAAAACCGCAAGGAATGGAGCCTTGGATGGAGCAAAGCTGCCGCATTGAATCCACTTTCTCGCACGCCCACAATCGAGGGCCGCCGTGATAGAGTGATAAAGAAGGCGCAAAGTCATGTCATGTTGATTTAGTATCGATGGATTTGATTGTGAATGGCTTGCGAGTTCATTCCAACAAGTGACTCACGAGGATTCGCTGTTTCAAATACTCCATGGCCCACACAAATATGACTCAATTGGGCTCCCGCCATGTCGCTCCCTTTCATGCCACCCACCCTTCAATTATTGCGACTCCAAGTGGCGCTCGCACACTGCCATATCGCTTGCAATATCAAAAGATTTAGTATTGAGAAATGAAATAGTACTTTGAAGCTTTTTTATGACGTGCACAGCCAAGGGGAAGAAGATATGGCCGAAATTTGTACACCCTTTTGTGAAATTAACTTCTTTTGCAGCGCATTGAAAATGTCTTGTGCTCTATTTTCAATACAAACTTGAACTGTTTGTATACTTATTTCTAAACCAGCATAAACTTATTACGTTCTGCAATATGCTTTCATTTTATCATTTATAGAACTGATCCTAATAATTTTATTTGATTTTGTTAAATTTTGGATAAGAAAACATTTACGAGAGATTTTGTAAGTGGTTAGGATTCAAAAAGTGTTGTTAGAAAATGAATTTTCAAGTTTATTAAGTTAAAAATTGCCACTTTTGAGTACTTAGAACGGATAGAATCGCTTATATAAGGTAATTTTTAAACAGAAAATGCCATTTTTTAGGTTATGTTCAACTTTATCATTGATTGATACCTTGATTGATACTAAAAGAAGCTTTCTAAATCCGGATCTTCAGTGAGTGGAAAGAATTACAGCTTTATATCTCAAGAATTAAAGATTTTTGCAAGTTCTTCAGTCACTCGGCTTTCCCTGAACGTAGCTGCATAACCAAAAAAAAACACATTGTTAAGATTCTATCCTGATTTCTTATTGAATATTATATACAAGGTTAACATAAAACCTTAAAAACTGTGATAGTAGAAGAAATGAGTATTGTAAATGCGATAGACTTCCGTTGAGCTGTACACTATTTCCGACCCTAATATCTCTCCCTTGTGCACAACCCATGAATAATATTGCAATAAATTATGAGGTGATATTGATGTGAATTCATCTTTAATGTATGTAGAGTGACTTGTTTTTTTTTCTTGTAAAATCGCGTAGGAGTATTTGATGTCACATGAAGAGATATATGCGCTTCTCTACGGGATGTACTTTAAATTTAAATATTTGCCATAGTAATTTTGCCTGAAAGCGAATTCTCAGGGGATTCCAATGAATGAGATTAGCTGAGTGAAGATTTATTTTTTGTACAGACAAATTTTTACTCAGGTCAATGGCTTGTTTTCCTTCGGGGCGCACTTATTCAATTTGGAGATTCTTTTCTCGTCAAGTGATTTAACCTAATGCCATAATTTCTAATCACACTAAATGGAGGAAAGCAAAGGATTCAATAAGATTTTCCGCTTTACACCCACGCAAAACATATTTAACATGACTCTCGCGATTTTCCACTCAATTCATGGAATGCTTATCGCAAGTAAAATCCTCATTCGTGCTCTGAATTTTATCTCACAGTCGAATGGAAATGGTTAGTTTTGCAAACTAAAGTGTTCAAAGTTATTGAGATTGTGTGCGTTTGCCCTTCATGTCCTCGCTGAAGTAATATTCAAAAAAGCGTAAATTTCCACTCTTGTATTACATCCCCGCAAGGGGCGTTTATGTGCGAGAGGCTAAGGCAAAAAGTATATGGTCTATTATAGTCTTTAGGAGATAAAACATTATATTGTAGAATTTTCTGGGTAAAAAGCGAGAAAAACTTTGCTAAAAATAGATCCTTGCGCCGTGGCTCGGCGAAATGTTGAGGAGAGAGAAGGAGACATCGAGGAGAGAATGGGACGTGAGCACACGCTGTTCAGGCTCGGTGCGGCCATTCTAAGCTCTGCACGGAGCTTTTGCCGTGCGCACCGTGTCTTGGCATAGCGGCATTTGAGGTGAAGCTCCGGTGAATGGCAAAGTGGAAGATGGAAAAATTGGTTCCTCTTTTGGTGGGTTGTCTTGTGCGTCAAGGGGGAGATAATCCGGTTGGCAATGGTGTACAGCTCAGCGAGAGTTATAGGGCGTTGAAAGTGTTTGAATTTTTCCATAATTTCTGTTTAGAAATAAATACTTTAACTCTTTGCTTAACTCTGAACTTTCCCAGATCTCTTAAAAAGCGATTTAAACCAAATTCGTGCAAGAGCATATCGACAGAGGCCAACACAAAATTTGCAACTAATGATGCCAGTTAGTTTTCAAATGCATAAAATCAAGAAAAACAGAGTATTTGGCAAGATATCACTGACTATTCCTCGCGGATTTTTCTATGATGCTTGAAAAGCATTTAGGAAGTGGTGTACAGATTTTAGCTATATACTCACCCCCTTGCCAAGCCTCGCCACACGCATTTACTGAGTGTGTGTGTGTGTGTGTGCTCATGTTAGTGCTCAGTGACGATGGCAACAATAACCTGATGGATGGTTGAATGTAAATTGGAGTGGCGGATGATGACATTGTGCATGGGGAACATTTTCGTATTACCTTCACGTCTTTTAAACGTGACAATTTCAATTTTTCCACTGGCTCCTCGTCTTCAAATCAAAACCATATACATAGGTATAACTTCTGCCGCACTGTTCCAGCAACGAAGAGAGCCCTGGAGGACCGTATAGTCCATGATGTTGACAGATTTACATTATGTAGAATAGAGAATGGACGTCGGAACTTGTGATGACATCAAGTGTCCAAGAGTGTCCTTCTTCCTCCACCGGACAGCACACACACCTCTTCTTCGGTCGCAATTTTGCAGAGATTTCCCACGAGAACAGGTTGCAAACAGTAAATGTCTGCTAGCGTAATGCTTAGTCGGCAAGTTTTGCCCCAAACCGCCTGCCTACAGAGATGCTTTAAAGAAAAACACGTGCCCGCATTTATTAGACCTTGTGTTGTCTTCTCGCGTGGAAACAACACATATGTACATCGTGTAGAATTTATCGGTTTGTGTGTAAAAGTTTCACAACAAATTTTCGCAAAATTGAGATGGAGAAGTAATATGATCTAAGAAACCATCGTTTGCAGGGCTTTCATCTCTGCATAAGATTCTTCACGAAGCTTTAATAACATTTTAATGTGATGTGTGTTAAAGCAGAAGCTTTAGAAAGTGGAAGAGTTTAAGAATGTGCAATATTTGGTTCACTTAATTATATAGAATTATTCAATGGAAATCACGTTCGATCTAATACAAAATATTTCCAAGAATATTTTCTTTTATACAATTTAACAATGTCATTCGCAAGAATTCGAATAAAATCAATTATGTGTAATTGCAATTGAATACACAATAACATTTTCTAAGAAAAGCTCACAGACTTTTTACCATATTTAAATGAATGCAAAGGAAATCCTGTGCAGAGTATTTTCAAGTCAAAGAGGAGTTTCTCTTACCAAGAATGTGCTTCACCAATTTTCCACCAACACAATTTAGAATGTGCATGAACGGATCAAACAATCTATTGAATGGAAATTCATGGAGAAGAGTGAGCGAAGAAGCACTGCAAAACAGCGCATTTCATATGCAATGTTGCAGAATCTTCAAGACCAACTCAAATGTCAAAGGATTTTATCAACCAAAAGCAAGGCGTATTTTTCTCTGGCGGAAAATTGAAATTGCCATTTTCTCATCATAATATTGAATTGAGAATGAAATTTTGAGAAGCATTGATTGTGCATAATTAACTCATCCTGCGAATAATTTTGACATGAAAGGATCACTTCAGTCATCAGGTTATGCTGAAAGTCAAACTTCGAAGAACATTTCTGTAATTTCCAGTCAAACTTTGGCGCATTTTCCGCTTATCTCGCATGGATTCACTCGAGAATGTTCTAATGTTCACCCAATGCCAAAACTTCACTCCAATTAATTTCCAGAATCTGAAATATAATTGCTGATATGCAGGTTTGTACGTATGAAATGCTTGTTAGAATTGAATATTTTTTCAACAAGTGGGCAATTTTTTGTGGATTGACAGAAGTTTGCCTGGTTTATTGCACACATAATTTCTTTCGCACATATTTCTATGCATTATTAAGGAGCCGTATTATAATCATAAATCGAAAACACTTTGGAAGCATAAAACCACCAGCATTAGCTCATCACATCCGCAGCACTGTGCGAAGATCCCCATCGCTCTGTCACATTTCAATAACATCTTCCTCATCTGCACCATATATCTTCGTTCTTGTTGTGCTGCCGGTATGGAAAATTGAAATATAAATTTCTACGCGAGTTTATTCATTCTGCATTCATGCTCTGTTGACAGGCTGCGAAGCCCTTTTCGCCCATAAGATAGATGACTTGAATATTTGAGAAAAGTAATAATAAAAAGGCATGGAGTGGCGATAAGAAGAAATAAACAATAAAACATGAATTGATAAGTGTCGGTGACGTCAATGGATTTTTCTTGTCTCTCCACTTTTCCATTTCGTCCGCTCAAATTCGCCATATTTCGCTCACTCCTCAGTTGGAATTTTGATTTGCCACGCACTCGAGGAAAATCTCATTTTGATGGAACAGCAAAAGAAGTTACCCGGACGGAAGTTGTTGGCTGTCGATATTTTTCTTCAGCACTTGCCAGAGTTGGAATTCAAGTGTCTGACGCCTTTGGCGAAAGCAGTATGTCAATAGTATATGAGAAAGTGTATTGAATTACGCGATTCACTATTAGTTTTATCACATAACAAACAGATTTTCGTAGGAGTTGAATACGTTTCAACAAATTTGTTATGGTTTGTGAAACAATTGTTTTTGGGGTGAAACTATTGTGGAACTACAATGAATCCGAATAAAGGCACCAATTCCAGATCAAAATTTCTACAATATTAATAATATGGAAATAATTGAAAAATAAATATTTTAAAATACCAACTTTTGTTTATTGACCAAAAGATGTGATTTGTAACAAGATTTTTCTCTTCGTCTTTACTTTTGATAATGTCATCAAAAATATACTATAGTTAATGAAATTTCTATTTCACTATTAGAGAAATGTTACAAAAGCGTACAGAACTTCCTGATTTAACGACACATTCTCGACACAGTGCAGAACATTACACTAAATCTCAATTTCTACGAATTATCCCAACTCTTCCATGTTGACCTTTCAGCGCGCCTGCAAAATTGCACTCTGTGGGTGTTGAATGCAGTGAAAAGGCTCTCATTTTGCGGAGGTTCATATTGTACTGTGGCACTTCTCTGACGAATAATTGAGGTCATCTTGAGGTGTAAAAGGAATTATTTCTCATCTCCAAGGCAATTTTCTCCCTGAAACATTCCCGCGTTTTACGAGGTGCCTTTAAAGTGCCACCCACAGACATTGCAATCAACACACCTACTGCCAATACGGCAGTCGCGGAGGACATCTTGGCTGGTATCAAAGGCGATGAGAGACTGGCCAAATCTGTACACCTCTTCCTAACACCTGTACAATTTCTATGCATCAGAATCTTTAATATTTCACGAATCTGAGAAGAAAAGCAGAATCGTCTATTGCATCTGCCAATATCATTCTGTTGTATTTTGATTATTATTTTTCAAGTTTCCTCTTAAAATTGCTGCGCCTATTTCTGATCAGAACTATATAAAATAAGGAAAACCCAGAGCATATCATTTTGTCATGATTGAATAATAAGTCTTAAGTTCATAGTTTTAAGTGGAAAACGAGGAAAAACTTTTGAAATAAACTCAATGTAAGAATTAATATTTTACTGCATTGTTTGGTCTTAAAATATATTCAAAATTTATTACATAACGTATAAAAAAAAGTAAAATTTCACGAAACGGCAAATTTAATTTCTTAACAGTCACTCTGAAGAGTACACCACTTGTGATCGCTATTTCTCCCTTGGCTGAAATTGCTTCTTCTCGCACAGGTCTCGGCGTCCGGCAAGGGAGTCCTCGTGACGGGCTGCGAATCGCCGCTGGTATGGCATCTGGCGCGTCACCTCGACGATATGGGCTTCACGGTGTTCGCGGGCTTCACGCAACTGGCGGACTCCGAGGAGGCGTCAATCCTGAAGGACGAAAGCTCCGGCCGCATGAAAGTCTTGCAACTTGACCCCACATCAGAGACACAAGTGAGAGCTTTCGACACTTGTGCGGAGCTTCACTTGAACTTTCTCGTCCTTGCAGATGTTGGAAACTTCGCTGTTCATCAGTGAGAACCTACCAGATGGCGCCCGAGGACTCTGGGCGGTGATTCACTGTGCAACCTGGGTGGCTCTCGGAGAATTCGAGTGGATCCCTTTCAATGTTCTCCGGAAGGCGATAGATGTCAATCTATTGGGTAAATATGTGTTGCATTGCAAAAACTAGCCATAAATTGAAAATGCTCAATCAGGCACCATATTTCATCCCCATCGTTATGTCTCTCTCAAGTCCCAAATCAAAGGTAAAGAGCTGCTATTTAGCATCACCAGCCTCGTCATGTAGTCCCTCTTGAATACAAATGGCATGTGAGACGAGAATGGTATTTACTTTCGGTCGTAATGTGCGCTGAATAATGGTCTCTGGCGGAGGACTTCTGTAGGGACACAAAGAGAATGTAATTAATTTATACATTAAAGTCCTTCCTCTGTTAAAAGTTAACACTGTCCCAAGCCCAAGCATTTTCATCTGGGACCTTGACTAGGACGATGAATGAGCACCTGCTTTGCCAATTCCGGCAACAAGGGAATGTATATATGCGAGATGAAACCTTTTATAAAGACGCTTTAAGAAGCTGTTATTCAAATGTGCAGAGACTAATCTTGTCTTGAATGTGACTAAAACTCGTTGTGTTACTTCCGCAATAAATATGTAGAATATTTTCTCTTCATCCAGAAGTCAGTATTAATAGGGCTTGGAATATTGCCGGAAATTTGTTGAGTGCAGTGCATACCTTGCGCTGATATCACTTAATTAATACGTCAAGCCAAGGCACCTGCTGGCTATGGTATACAAGCGAGGGGAGGAAGGCGCTCAAAATAGACTGAGGGTGTATTTGATTGCCAGGCTTAATCGAATTGCACGTTGCAGGAACGGCTCGTCTGACGCAGATTATGCTGCCGCTGGTGAGGAGGGCAAATGGGCGGCTGATCTTCCTCTCCTCGGCCCTGGCCCGGATCCCATCGCCCGTGCGGGGCGTGCAGTGCGCCACGCAGGCTGGAATCGAGGGCCTGGCCACGTGCCTCCGGGAGGAGCTCCGTCCGCGCGGCGTGGATGTGTCCGTGGTGGCGGCCGGCGAGTACGTGGCCGGCACGTCGTGGCTGAACGATAAGCTGCTTATGGAGCAGGTGAGAGGGAGGCTGAGGCGGGATGAATAAGTGATGCAGACTTGATGGGAAAATGCGCAATGTTGTGCGGTGTAACATTGTCCGCACAAATGGAAATTGATGTCAATTTCGTCCGGTAAATTGCAAGCCTGGAGTAAATGCCAAGGCCGACACACGAAAACCCCATTTCCATCCACAAGGTGACATCATTAATCCTGCGCCACTCCAATGAGGAGTGTCACTCGTAAAAATTACCCCGTGTAACTCTGCAAATAACATTTTGCACCTCGCGTTTGTGGGTGTGAGAGGAAATTTGTCTCAATTGGTAATCTTGTTTCTGCGGCAATATTGCCATGGCCGATGTGAAACAATAAAGAGTGGGGTGGAAAATTATAAATGTGGCACAAAATATGTCAACCTTTTCTCTGGTTAACGGTTATTGCTTGACTTCCGCGCGAGACGAAAAGGAAAAGCACTCCTTTGAGAGTGACGAAAGAAGTGATAATTAAGATGAAAACATTTTATTGTAATTATATTTTGAAGCAATTCACATCAAAAGTAATTAAAATTTATGGATTAGCGGAGAAATTAATAAATGTTATCAAAACTTATAAAAGGTAATGCTCCGCCCTCTTAAAAGCTCCGCCTATTTATGAAATTTTGCGTCTCAAAACCAATTAATTCTGTAGAAATTATTCTTTCAATTAAATCCTTTTCAAAACGTTAAGAGAGGCGAGATCAAAGAATTGAAACTTCCACCCTAAACATATTCGCAACATCTTCTAAGCAGAGAAGTTGAAAGAAATTGGGTAAACTCCTTCCTATGTGAGCCCATTTGGGGTTATTGGGGCGAGAAAATCTAATTGAAAGACCATTAAAGGGCTCATAAATACATCGAAGCGTGTGGTTGTGACAGGGCATGAGGCGAAACTTTTTCGAGGACCTTTTTGCGTCATCCAAATGATGAATGTGCTTTCAACACATTACCTGCTGAGAGTTTCATCAACACAATAGCCGCACAGATCTCACTCTGTCTTCATCAGCAGTGCGCAATTTATCATATAAAGCGAAGCAGCAGTTTTAATGAGTTTTCGGAAAAAGGGATAACCGTTAATTATGTATAGGATGTACCTTAAAATGAATGCACATAGATTGGAGGCACCACAGCCAAGGTCGAACTGTGGGGGATGTCCATTGTCACGGTGGGAATGCATATGTGCCGTGGGGTCTGAATAAGTGAGAAAGTTTGTGCATTAATAATGGATTTTTCTCCGCCACCTTGGCATTCTGCAGGCGTCTCAGATGTGGGCCCGCTTAAGTGATGAGCAGAGGCGAGTGTATGGGAAGGAGTACTTTGAACATGCCATCAGGTCCCTGGAGAAATACACCAAAGTGGTAAGTTTAGTCCTCCCGTGAAAACGGCTGAAAGTTTCACATACACATGAAAATGCTGATGCCACGGAAAGACGCTCTCTAAGTTGGAAAATATGAAGTGACACCATCGCATAAATTCTGTCTCTTGCCAGACTGCTGACTTCACTCCAGCCATTCGTTCGCTCGTCGATGCCACCATCAGGACTTTCCCGCTCGCTCGCTACACGCCAGTCACTCGTGCTGAAAAGATCCAGACAATAATTGCCCAACATCTTCCCAAATCCGTCTACGACGCCATCTATCACAAGTAGGAGTCATGTATTGCTCTTGAGAGAAATAAATATGAGTTGCTGATGTGTAAATAGCCTCGTGACATCAATGCCGGTTTCAATTAGAAGCTTTTCTCGCAAAATCACTCAGTGACTTCTTTCAATTGTATGCTGAAGAAGTCAATTGAAAGTTTCATGAAGTTCACAGGAAACAACTAGAGAAGAATGCTGTTCAAGTTCACAAAATAATTCTCACAAACTAAGAAGATTACTAAGAAATGATAAATTGGAAAGTGTTAAGATCCATCACATCCAGAAGTTTCAGCTCGTCGAGCTACAACTCGCTTTTCATCTTTACTAAAGCAGTGTAGAATTAACACTGCTAAAAAGACACGTTTCATCATAATATGAAATTCTAAAACCCGCCCACTTAAATGCCACGCCCATTCACTGTAAAATTCTATTTTGGTTAGCCTATATAGCATTTTTAAAATTATTAAACACATAATGATTACATTATAAATTTCACGACTCACATAGTTTCTCATCTTCGCATATCTTTTAATTTATAATGTATCAAGTATACTTATTCGCATAAAATATGTGGAACATAATATTAACCTCAAAATGCTGCAAGTTACATGAAATAGCAATTGGGATTAATCTACACCCAACCAATTTGACTGAAATTGCTTTCTTGACCTGAATTGCAAAGACTCACACACCTGTTTCGAAAATGTTACTTTGTTAGACTATCAATAGCGTTAAGTGGATGTGACAAATTATGAAACTTCTCCTGTTTTCACTATAAAAGAATCATTACGGCATTCAAAGTTGACTAAGTGTTCATGAAGAAATCTATTATGGATGTCTCAATACGTGAGATAAGTGTCACACTTTGTGCACTGTTTGCATAATTTTCTCACCCTTTCGATGTACATGTATATTGGCCATTGTAAGGGAAAAAGGGCGATTTGAAGAGCTTCGAGAGAATATCAACCCAGTTTCTGTCATAGCAACTGCGCAAGTCTGTCTGATGTTCTATGTACTTTCTGAATCTCACTGGGAAAGTGTATCACATTGTATATGTAATGTGAAATTGCTCATAATCCCTTGCTCGGCATGTACGACTTCTAATAACCCACATTAGCATCCGGGATTGAAGAGTGAATGCTGGTGCTCTTGAGGAAAACCAGGAAATTGTCGGAGAAAACCTGCTGGCGAGGCTCTTTTCTTGGCGCACAAAGACTCTTCCCGCACCCCCGCCCACCTTGCTGTGGCACACATTCGGGGCATCCTCGCCTTCGTAACTATGTCGCCGGCAGGGGTGAATGAACTGCAAGTTGCATAATCTCTGACGTCATTCGAGCAAACGCAACTTGTCGACAGAGATTTATCACATGGACGATGGTCTTGAGAAATCCCGTGCCTTTTCAATATTACATTTCTCGGAAAGGGGAATTCGGAAATCTCGCAAGGCAGAATCCAGTGGCAATATTGGAATTCATCGATTTTTTCCTCTTTTACCTCAGAAGACTAATATTCCGAGAAGTAATTTCGAGATACGCCCCAACTTTTACCAAGTCAGAATTCATCGGGCTCGTTTGAAGAGACTTCAAGAGCACTTATGATTCTGACTAAAGCACTTGCATCATGATATCAAGCATAAATCGCGAGATTCATAAAATTGTCTCTGAAATATGTCATTATTTATGCAAAACTCTCCATCCAGAGATGAAAATAACAATATATCATTAAACTTTTCACCACAAACTTGCATATTCTTCAATCAAAAGTTTTTTTTTGACTACATAGCAAATGTGACGAAGTTTATCAACATCGCGAACAAAAAAAATTACCAGACTTTTCTCTTTAAGCTCTCGGAAAGCTGAAAAGATAGGGCGTCTTCTGAAAAAGCTTACATACAATGTATGAGACCCACATCATGATTTATCACTGGGTCTTTTGCTGTGCGAGTAACATCAAAAGCAAGTCTTGTATACAATATATAGCTAATCTCGCCTGCCGCCCAAGATTTTTCTCTTCATTCTTGTTTATCTTTCAACTCAACCCTTCATGCAGTCAAGCTTCAATATCAGTGCTCGTCAAGTGATGCTAGAATAAGAAGATTCTACAGCAGTTCATGAATTAAATATTGCCAGAATTGGTGTCAGAAGTGGGAGGAAGGGTTACAAAAGAGCAATTTACTTTCTGGAATTCTCTCAAGGACAGAAAACTTAAAGGATCAAAGTTAATTTTCGCGCCTCGTGTACAAAATGACTCCATATTTTCGGAAATTATTTGCAAATGATGAAAACATTGTGAAAATGAGCGGAAAATTAATCACGCAGCAGAGCGTTTGCATTTTAATTTGCGGTTTTATAAATTGAACTCAGACCATTTTGGGTTTTTTTTTCTCAGTATTTAATTTGAAAGAGATCAAATTACAAAATTGTGTTGTATATTTGAAAAGTTAATTTAAAATTAATTTCCTCGAATTCATCTCATTATACCTACACACTATTATACGTTCCTCTGGCATATTAAATAAAAAAAATTACATGATACACATGCTCAATATTGCGCTGGCTTTTATCATGCTGTGTTGATGGGTGGTAATGAGAATTTTTCCCCGTGAATATTGAGTTAGGAGGATTTCTGTGGAGATCTTTGGGTGTGGCATCGAAGCAATTCCATCGTCTAGACATGGCTGGGCGCAAATTCAGCGCGCCCTTGTCGTGACGCCAAAAATACAGCAGGTGGTTCCACGTCTTGTACATTTTATATTCACCCACAAGATGTTGGGATGTAATCAAACACGCACCTCGACGAGATGAAGGCGAAAGGACGAGTGCTCGTAAAATGGAAAATAAATAAGGGAGATGAGAGTCTCCATTCGCAAATTGGGAAGTCTGAAAGATGAGCGCACTTGAGAACTCTTGAAGGACTTCGTTATTCTATTGTGTGATGACGAGGAAATTTTAATGGTAATCGTCTTAAAAGCTAGGTGATTATTGATAGTTTCATGAAAGCACTCTCAAGCATCTCTGCAGCATCAGTTGCTGACGAGAGAGTTAAATTTGGGAGTTCACAGCCGGTCAAAGGTCTGATTTTAAAATCAATATTCAACCAACACAGAGAGAGTTGTGCGTTTGTAGAGATTATAAGGCTTTATGGTAAAGCTTTTACGATCATGTTATATATAGAATATAATGTTTTTACCCGTTTTAGCAATTTTTCAATGAATTTTGATAACATCAAAGTGAAAACTACTCTTAATGCGATTATGAGCTGGCTGATTTTCAGCAAATTTCCATAGAAATATATGAAAATTAATAAGTTATGTGAAATTTTTACATTATTGCAACATTTCATAAACAAACAGACTACGATATGAGCTTTACAGTGAATTTTTGAAGAATTTCAGATTATTTTGTCGTATTTGCCATGTTAAATTAAGTGTTAAAATATATCTAGTGTGCAGAGATGTGAAATTACAACTTAATTAAGTAATTTAATACAGTGGAAAAATTGCTAATTCACACAATTTTCATGACTACAAAAGATAAAGAGTATTTTATTTTATTACTTTGTTTATGCACATAAAAGTGCATCAGACGTTCGCTTCTCTTGCAATATAATGTCAATAAAAGTTTTGTGAATTCCTCCGTAAGAAAGAAATTTTATGTTGTATTTTGTGAAATCATAAAATTCCACAAACTATGTTTACGCCGCCTTGAATGCGCTCAAATTCTCTCTTTCTCTCCCTTTTATCAGTGTCGAAATTGTTGAGCATCTCATTCTTAAGAAGCTTCCATCTCCACGGTGAAATGTGTTCTGTGTTGAATCCCTCTTTGTATATAAAACAGAAAATTGGCTGAGGAAAAGCGCACGAGAAAAGAGTTTGCACACGAGCAATAGAGCCATCTCGCTCACTCTCTCTCTATATACAAAAGCATTCACACACTGACTCGAATTTTGTTTTGTGCGAATCTTCATCACTCTTCGGTCTACTTTCAGGAGAACAAGACGTGTTCGTTTGACAGTTCGCTCTGTTTCGCTGGTGAAAACAAAGAAAAACCCAGAGAGTTTGTCAATTAGGTCGTGGCTTATCAGTGCCGAAAACTCACCATATTTTCGCGCGAAAAATAAACCAATTCGCTGTGTTCTGCTGTGCATTTCCACCCAAAAAGTTCGCACACATCTCAACTTCTGCACGATGGATAGCACAGAAGTGGTTCCGACTGTGGAGACTGATAATAGGAAACCTTATAAGGTAAACAATAGATTATGTTTTTTCAGAGATAATTCAACAGCTTATCAGGATGAGTGCTCTGAGGATTTGTTTGGGATGCTTAAGGCATTGTCACAATTAAAGTGTAAGACAAATAATAAATATGTACAGTAAATCACATTGCAATTATACGTTGATTTGAGACAAAAACCAGAGAATGATTCATTCATGCAACATTATGTACACAAAGGACAATTCACAAGTTCAATATGAAGTGAAAATATTTGGAAAAGTGAGTAAAGTTTCAATGTTGGTCGACTGTCCCCAAATAATACTGTTTATTTTAGGGATTTCCAGCTTCATTGATTTTTTTTTTTCATTATTCAATCCGAAGAAGATTTGCTCAAAAAACAATAAATGTGTCACTGTTTTTTATTCTAACAATTTGTGATAAAATCCTTTCCCGCATTTTTATATGGTATTAAATTTCTCTAGTAAAATATTTTCTGGCACGAAAGATGATGTTTATATCCTTTAAGAAATCTCCAGATGCCTGAATTCGAGTGAAATTGAGCATAGACGAATAATATGGCACAATGCGCTCTAATCGATAAAATGTGAATTTATCTGCTATCTTTCATTGCCATCGAGGAAAATTTTTTTATCATATTAGCTATCAAAATATCCTCATCTCACTTCTCCTTTATTTGGGATTGGCGAGAAGAAGAATAATGAGAGGCGATAAGGAATGTTTGTGATGAGAAACTCAATAAGTTGAGCGTAAATTGACGCCTTTTAGCTTGTAAAATGACACCAGCAATTTGCCTAATATCTCCACATTTTCTAAGACTTCTTCTTCCGCCTCACGTAGTATTCAATATCACCATAATTGTTCTGATTTTACACTGAAGAACGAAAAAAAAATGTTTCCCTACATTTATGTGGGGCAAGAGAGGCTGACTGGGTTTACCTAAAAACCTATACTTCTACTGAATCAAATTAAGTTCGCCTTATGTACGGTGCGAGTGTGTATTTACACGCAGTAGGCGAGATTATACGACGGTTGCCATCGTTACCAACTACGAAAAAGTCCATTCGAAATTTCAGAAGCATAATTTTACGACAGGCAACAGTCAGGAGATTCTCATTTATGAGCGAACCTTAACAAGACCACGACTATAATTGCAACTCCCGGTGTTTATTCGGATACACAACTAAAAGCCAATTTATTCTCGACAATGACTCATCTTGTGGTTAAATCTGCATTATTAATTGCTTTCCCCAATAAATGTGTTACTATGAAGCAAAGTATGCTGGCGGTTCATAATATAGCGTTAAAGTTCACTTCAAACTTTGCGTCAAAGTTCCTTCAACTTATTATTAAAGTAGTTTTACCGCGGAGAAATTCAGAGTATGTTTCAATTACTTGAGTCTCTTGCGACTAAATTTCAGCATAGAATATTTATCAACCTTGCGGTAACATGCTTTATGACTGAGTAAATTAAAAAATTTTTTCTGTTAAATTCAGGAGATAAAATGAGTAAATCGCGAATTGAAATGGGCGGAGCATCTTAAGAGGCGGGGTTTAAAAGTACCAAATCTACAATTTTTTGTGCGGAAAATCGTGGGAGACAAATTAATTAAACATCTCAATGAATATTTTTTTTGGTCTGTTGAATTTTCAAGACTGGCCTTTTGAAAAAATAATGAGCAAGACTTGAACACCTTTAAAACTGAATGAATAAATATTTATACTCTTTATGCAAAAATTCCTTGTTGTTCAATCTACAAAACCCTCTTGGAAGAATGTCACCAAGGTTTAAAGGGAGGAGAAACAGAATCTCATCATTGTAAGGATATTGAATTTTCCTGGGTTCCCAAATTCCTCTCCATTCACCTTACTGACATTCTGTGTTATCATTTTCTCAGGCCATATGGAAATTCTCACACAAAATGTCTTGCAGCATTAACCTCTTTGATTTTTTGCAACTCCGATCCCACACACTATATTGAAATAATTCCACAGCCACAAAAACAGGGCGAACATGATTTGGATTCCGGATAATAGTTTGGGAGGGAAATAAGTGAAATTTGTGGAGAATACCCAGAGAACATAATACAGAGAGAAATGCCAGTCACGTTCCATAGACCCAGGATTAGTATGTTAAAAATATAACATTGCAAAAATTGACCGAGAGAATACACAAATCGCAGTGAAAGTTGTGCAATTATCCTAATGGTTTCTCTATGGTGAAAGGTGAAGGACGTCACGCGGAATATCAAGAAGGCAGTGGTGGCGGCCACTCTTGAGGAAGTGAAGATAAAGGCGGCGGAGAAGTTCGACAAGACGGAAGTTCAGCCGACCATTCATTTGGATTCGGACGGCACGGAAATTGACGATGAGGAGTACTTCCAGACGCTGGAGCCCAACGCCGAACTGATTGCTGTCTTCCCAGGCGAGCAGTGGATGGACGTAAGAATACATCCTCTTTAATTACCGGCGCGGCTTCAATGCTCTTGAAAAACCGACCCAAATTCCAGCCCACGCACTACGTCACGATAACGACGCGTCGCGACTCGGCTGACAGCACGGATTGTGCAGACGTGGAGCGCGTGCACCTGAAGAAGCTCGTGGGGCAGCTGAGGAACAATCTGTGCAGTGTGTCTGTGCTGAGCGAGCCCGACCTGGAGCTGCTGTCCAACATGGATCCCAACTCCCTGGCCGACATCACCGGCAAGGACTTCATCGAGCAGCTGAAAGAGGCATCAGGCAGGTTAGGGGGAGGGACCGGATGGAGTGGTGATCCTCCCCATCTTGACAGTCTCAATGTTATTCTACCTATTACACCAAATGCTCCCCGTGTGCTCAACGAAAGCATGATGTAGAGTTGAGAGTTCCAGATGAATGAGTATCTTTTGACAAGGGGGAGAAATTATGTCTGAAGTGGTGTACAGCTTAGCGGAAGTAGGAGAAGAAAAAAGAACGTGGAATATTATTACAATGTTTGCTCGTCAAATGATTCATTTTTTATCAGAAATATTTTCTTTTCAGATTATTTGACTGAGGAAAATTGTTGAAAGAAATTTTTCGTTGAATTCTTTGTATTCTCAAAGTGCATGAATTTTTTTTTAACCCGTTTTAGGCACTGTTGAAGTGTTGAAGATTCCTTAAATAAGTTGATGAAGTGTCGTACAAATTTTATTCATATTATCTCCCCCTTGACTTTTGCGTAGAATATATAGGATTCACATGCAAAATCCCAGTAGATTACAGTGAAATTGCTCAGATTTGTGGATATTGATTTCTTTCAAGTTTAGTTTATATGGTATGTGAGGGTGATTTTGATATTCCATTGAACTCTCAAAGTCTATCGAAAACATATTTTACCATCCATTAACTAGGGAAAACGGAAGTGTCATTTGCACCTCGTTTCTCCCCTTAAACGCTATGATGAGCAAACTACTTAATTACTTTTTTTTCTTTTAATAAACTCTTAAAATATGCAAAGCGCTTGCATTTTGAAAGGCTTTTGATTGAAAAAGTTTCAAAATTGACTCAACCCTGTGACGATGTATTTTCTATTAAAATTTCATCTAATTAAATTCTCTTCTCAGTTCTGGGCGTCAAAGTTTCCCACTGTGAATCATTGAGTTTTCTCCGTTTTCTCTTCCACTTTAAAAATCCACCTTTGCCGCTTTCGGTGGCTCACAATTAATGACCAAGAAGCGGTTTTGCAATGAACACTGAGGGGAAAAGAGGCACAATAAATTGACTTCATAATGAACAGGATATTAAAGGAATGATTTACTCATTGCACGGCAAAAGCTACACAGAACTTAATTAATTAGTGAAGTATTTCGTGTGGTTCTCAGTTAAATGGACGTGAATATGACGCTGCAGGATTCTGTGGTTGTCTTTCAATTAGGCATCTAAATAGACGCTTTCACTTCACACCCGCAGAAATCCCATTTAAACATGCACTGATGGCTCACAGCGATAAAGGACGATGTATTTAAGAGGCACTCTCGGTGGTAGAAGTGAATTTTAATGTTAATAAATTTCATAAAGTCAATTTTAATGTCCTTTCTCTACGGTTCGATGAAAATCACACTTTCAGCACATATTCAGTGAAGTGGAAGAATTGAAAAGATAGAAAGCCAGTTTCCTGCAAAGTCTTTTCTCAATATTGATTAAAATTATATTCAAATCTAATTCAATCACTCTTTTTTGCGGTGGTGATGCTAAAAAATACATATTTCTTGTTTACTCCAAACAATAAAACTTTGGCACAGTGACCAACAAACACTGTTTTTGCCCATGAATTTCCCCATCTATTGCAATGTTCACGCTTCACTACGCGGACCGGACCCCGAGCGAAAGACTTTTAATTTGGAAATATATGTCCTGAAATGAAATGCTCCCCAATTCCAATGTTGGAACACCCTCGGGGTGTGGATGGTTTCACCTTGTGTTACCAGAACATATCGGTGTGCCTGTAGCCTCGCCGTATTTCACTCAATGTCGAAAGAAAATTAGGGGCAGAAGAAAAAAGTTCGCGCTCAGAGTGAAGTGTGGAAAATGTACGAAATAAATTTTAGGCGTATGAAAAACATGTTTTCGCGAGACACTTTTATGAGATAATGACGAAAGAAGAAAGTCAAGAATTTGCAATTGCGCAAGAAGGCATGTTTTAGTATGTTTATGCTCACTGTATAATGCTTTACATACACAAATTTAATTAAATCATTTTCAGGATTTCCATTAAACTAGATGTGAAATGAGTTAATATAAAATGAATGTTGTACAATTTTCATGTAGAATTTTTTAATTAACCTTTGAACAATGCTCTTAATTGTCATTTATTCTACCTTTTTTCCATTTCTATTCTTTATGTATGAAAACATATGAAAGTGATTGTTGAATTTGGAATTTATTCATATTGTATGGAAAACGATGTATTTTCCTTGTCTATTCGAAATAACATTTCCTTTCTACCTTTATCAATTTCATACATCAAAGAGATCAAAGAGGAATAGCAACATTTGCTTAAAAATAAATCTTCTTATAGGATTAAACTTCTAATCATGTCTACGAATCAGTACACATATAATAGTATACATATTATCAATTTATTTCTCTAAAAGTGTCCAAGAATGCATAACATTATTTCACAGCACGCCATTAATTTACCTTAATTGCTGGATACATAATAACTGTAGTGAAACAACTTGAAAATGCCTGTCAACAGGTGTCTAATGAATGCCAAATTGCACCTTTCAGACTCCTGCATGAAAAGCGACAGGCTTTTGACGCAATTGAGCTGCTAAGGATCCTGGCGAAGGAGCGCGGCATCACGCTGGAAGTTCACCACGACATCAGTGATGCCCTCGGCGTGCGCAGCGGACCATCCCTCGATAGTGCCACGGGGGATGAGCCGCAACCCAGCACCGACTCACCATCTGCAACTTGATACCACTGCACGATAGACAGCCCCCTGAGGCACCCCTTTAGGACCCACACCACTGACGATTGCAGTTGAACGCAGAATTAAGCATACAAAGGGAGCAATTCTCAGTCTCATTGTGTGATGTGTCAGAAGTTGCCTAAGCACAATTTTATGGTAATCTAGGTCAACATTACTTTCTAAGTTACATTCCTAGTGAGAGTTAGAAGTATGTTAAAAAGCAATGCGAAACCGGAAAACGAATTCCCAAATTTTACATTTTTACGTCGATTATCTATGAATTCTTTTTGTGTAAAATGACGCTAATAATATGTCACTTAGAATACCGAAGGTGTGTCATCTCCTTAACATGTGCAAAAGAATCAGTAGCATGTTTTAACTGTCAAACATCACACAATGTGACTCATAAGTGGTCCCAAAGTCCCAATAGCAGACTTTAAAGTGAGAGGATTATTTGCGATGTAGGTGTTAACTAATAATGTAGGACATACAAGGAGACACAGAAAAATATTGCATGAATATCCTATTAATGTGAACACATTAGCCAATGGTACTGTTACACAGAAATATATTGAACATTAATGCATCCGTTGATGTTAGTTGGACGCGGAGAGGCGAATAGATAGTCGTGGGTGTTAAAGTGTTAGGATTAAGGGAGTGTATTTGGCGATTATATACAAGGAAGAGTGACGATAACAAGCTTATGATTGTAAAACTCGACGAGATAACGAGATATTCAATGATAACAGACACAATTTTCGCATCATAAGTAGATTACAGCGCATTCATCGCTGAGTAGCTCTTTGAAAATCAATGAATAATTATAAAATATATACCACTGTTCCAGCACTGATTTTGACATAGAGTTTATGGTCTGAAATAGTCCTTTTATTGATTATGCTTAATTGACAACCATTTAGCAGTGTTAATTTTACACTCTCTTATGACAATTCGACCAACAAGCGAATTCAAGTCGGAAGGAAACAGAAATACACAACGTGGCAAAATTCGAAAACCCTGAACTGCATTTCTCGACGATAAACCTCCCCAAGACTGATAGATTTACCCTCGTGAGACGAAATCGTACTTAGTTCATCCAATTGTACTCGTAAGTTAACATGATAGAAATGGAATTGGAAGAAATTTTAGCTAAATGAGAAAATTTACGTTCTCCCGAGAAAAAAAAAGATGAAAATTAATACGAAAGAGTCGAAAGGAAAAGAATATTTTCTGCATTATTGGACTCAAGTGACCGTGAATGCAAACTTTTTGGAAAAACCTTATCTTTTATGAAAAAAACAAGGGAAAAACGGAAGTTTTTCAGTAAAGATTTTTTGTAATAAAGGATTGAAAAGCATGAAAATCCGAAATTGAAGCATGTGAGAATTGTCAATTGCCACCTTGACAACGAATTTGCACAAGTCCAAAACTCCTTTGAACTAATGTAAATGCAACACTAAACATCCGATAAATGTTACACGAATAAAAAAAGAGCATGTCAATAAATTCCTTGTAGAAAAGAAACTTTGTGACTTACTTATGTCTCGTTATTCATACACTGGTTCTGTGCAAAGATTTCTCGCCGTGAGCCGCATTAGAAGGTAAGAATAAGTGATAAACACACACACTTTCCATGGCAATACCGATAGTTTGGCGCGCTTTTCGGACGTTCCGGAGGGTGTGTTGGTCTCAATTCTGACGTCTGTCATCAATTTCCGTTGCTCTGCGCTCAGTTTCATTTGAAGTTCTGAAAAGGGGCAGAAAAAGTGCATCACTTGCAATTTTGGCGTGATTTCGTAAGATTTGGCAAAGAAGAGGCTGCAAAAATTCGCACAGTATTCACCGAAGAGGTAAGAAACACTTTTAACTTTATATTTGCAAGGATTTCCTCCTGAAAACTGTATAAATTGCAGCAATGGCGCCGGGAAGGAAGAAACTTCCAGTATTCGTGACTGAATGCTTCAGGATTAGCTTTGAGCTGGAGGTGAATCGCTTCCTCAGCAGCAATGAGATGGAATTTTCATTCCCAAGCACTCTCACGCGTGAAAACAGGGCATTTATCCATGAGTATGTGAAGACAAAGGGACTAACCTCAAAATCCAGGGGAAAAAGTGAGAAAACTCGCATTGGAAAGGGTGTTTTGGGTGCTTATAATGGTTTTTCTCTTCTCTTCTGCACAGCTCAAAGGGTACTGACAATCTACAAGCCCAAGAAGAATGCCTCGAGGCGGCAGAAGAGTGTTTTTCACATTGCAAAGCGAACGAGGAGTGCCATTTACAGTCTGCTGAACTTCTGCCCCGTGACGCCGCAGGAAGTGGAGGAGCTGAAGGCCAGGAACACGGGCACAGTGATCAGCAGGAATCAGTTCAATGTCGGCACACTGACGCAGGGCTATCTGGTGGTGCCGCCCGCCGCTCAGGACGGCCACGTGAGACAGATACGGCGCCAGCTGCCGATTTTCCAGAAGCGCTCTGCCATTCTGAGCCAGATTGCGAGCAGCCAAACCATCGTGATTGTGAGCGAGACGGGCTCTGGGAAGACCACACAGGTGCCGCAGTATCTGCTGGAGAACGCCACGGAGCTCAACACACCGTGTCGCATCGTCTGCACGCAGCCCAGACGTCTGGCCGCCTTGTCCGTGGCGGACAGGGTGGCGTTCGAGCGCGGCGAGCAGCTGGGCGACAGCGTGGGCTACCAGATCCGCTTGGAGAGCAGGACCAGTCCCACGTCGAATCTCATCTACTGCACGAATGGCATCCTTGTGCGCTGCCTGATGGGCGGCCACTACCAGAAGGTCTTCAGCAACATCACTCACGTGATTGTGGACGAGGTGCACGAGCGCGACAAGCACTCGGACTTCCTCCTCATCTCGTTGAAGGAGGCCCTGGCCGTGAATCCCAACCTCAGAGTCATCCTTATGTCCGCCACGATCGATGCGCAGCTCTTCTCCGACTACTTCTTCAACTGTCCGGTGATCGACATTCCGGGCAGGCTGCACGAGGTGACGAACTACCACCTGGAGCACGTGCTGATGATGACGGAGTACTGCAAGAGCGAGATGGGCACGGTGCACAGCAAGGCCGTGAAGGGGCCGCGCACGTGTGAAGGCGGCGCCGAAGAGGCGCTCGACGAGGAGACAGTGAAGTTGATCAACGAGAGTCTGGAGTTGTGCTGGACGCAGTGCGATGAGGACAGCTTCCAGCAGTTCCTATACTTTGTGGCCGGGGAAAATGTGCCGATTGACTTCAGACACACCGAGACGGACATGACGGCTCTCATGATTGCGGCCGGACGAGGTGAGTTTCGCAGATTTCTTTGGATTTCATTCTCGAGGTCACAGATTTTCAACCTTGATTGGCACAAATCTTTAGATTTAACAGTATGGAATTTATTTACCATAATTCGTGTGCGTCTCTTTCAGGAATCGAAGAATTCGTGGAGATCCTCTTGCAGATGGGCGCCAATCCTCACATCATGTCTCAGCATGGCATGAACGCCATTGATTGGGCACGCCAAATGGGCCATCAGAGCTGTGTTGGTCTGCTTGAGGCCGCGGCGCTTAGCTTCACGAGCGCCGTTGACACCGGCGTGAAAATCAATGATGAATACACGGAATTGCTGCTCGACGTGTATCAGAAGAACCCGCGCGCTTCCGACGAGGACGTCGATCACTGTCTCCTCTTCACATTGATCTGCATGATTCACGCGGAAAAGCCACCGGGAAGCATTCTGATCTTCCTGCCAGGCTACGAGTCCATCGTCAAGCAGAACGAAATGATCTGCGAGGCTGTGAACGCGGGTGAAATACGAGGGAACGTGAGAATTTTCATGCTGCACAGCAACATGAAGGTGAACGATCAGAAGGCGGTGTTCGAGAGAATGCCGGGCGATTACAGAAAGATCATCCTGTCCACGAACATCGCCGAAACGTCCATCACGATTGACGATGTCGTTTACGTTGTTGATTGTGGGAAAGTAAGTATAATTTCATCGTTCTACACATTGCAGATCAAGTGCATTATTGCCATTCTTGTAGGTGAAGCAGACGACATTCGATGCTCTGTGCGGCACGACGAGCCTCGAGACGACGTGGGTGAGTCAGGCGTGCGCGCAGCAGCGCGCCGGACGGGCGGGCAGAGTGAGGAAGGGCATCTGCTACAGGCTGTACTCCATGGCGAGGTACGCGATTATGGACAAGTTCACGATTCCCGAGTTGCTGCGTGTGCCGCTGACGGAGATTTGCCTGAGTGCGAAGCTGATTGCGCCGCAGAGTGCCATCGGTGACTACCTGGAGAAGGCGCTTCAGCCGCCGGCGGCGATGAGTGTACGCCGCAGTGTGGCTCTATTGAAGACAATGGGAGCGCTGAATGAGGAGGAAACCATCACGGATTTGGGCATGCATTTGGCAGACTTGCCCATTGACGCTCACTTGGGGAAGATGGTGATCTTTGGCATATTGATGAAGTCTCTGGATCCAATTCTCACAATTGTCGCCGCACTGTCGGTGAGGGATCCTTTTGTGTTGCCCACAGGAGCGTACGACAGAGCGCGTGTGACGGTTGTGCGTGAAAACTTTGCCGAGCAGTCGTTCAGTGATCACATGATCCTGATCAGGATCTATCAGAAGTGGCTGGACACGCCGGTGAACAAGAGGCGGCAGTTCTGCGAGCAGAATTTCCTCAGCATGGGCGCCATGCAGACAATCTGTGGCGTACGATCACAGATTCTGGGCCACTTGAGGGCCACTGGGCTGATCAAGAGCAAGGGCAAGGGCAGCATTCACGATGTCAATCAGAATGCACGCCACTGGGCGGTGGTTAAGGCGTGTCTCGTGGCTGGACTGTATCCCAGTGTGGCCGTGAGGGATGTGAGGAATGCACCAGCACTGCGCGCGACGGAGAACCAGGAGAAGGTGCTGCCGCATCCACACAGTGTGCTCGGCGCGAAGCGACCGCCGGACACGAAGTTGAAGATCAAGAGCTTCCCAACGGATTGGGTGGCGTTCGAGGAGAAGGTGCGCGTTGGTTCTTCCGCCTTCACGCGTTGCAACACTGTGATCACGCCCATCACAGTAGCACTCTTCGCCGGTGACATTTACATCAATGAGGAGAGGAATTTGGTTGCCGTGGAAGCGCCAGATTCTGACTCTGAGCAGGAGTTTGACGCGGTAGGATCGGGAAGTGAGGTGATCTTTCGTGTGGATGATAACATTGAATTTACACTCATGGATGAGACGGCGTATTTGATCTTCCACTTGAGACAGAAGCTCAACCATCTCCTCCTGGCGCTCATTCAGATGCCGGACAACTTCCACTTCATCACCAACACGCGCGAAGGGAAGATCATCGACACCATTGTTGATGTTCTCATGACTGAAGAGAGGCAGAGCACATTTCCCATTCCCGATGGCATTGGTACGCGTCCGCAGGCGATTTCGCTCGACTTCTCAGCGGAGATGAATCATGGGATTCAGGAGAGGAGCCGATCGTCACAACCAATCCAGTGGAATCTGAGTGATGCCATGAGGGATTTGAGAGTCACCACGAGGTCGTCCAGTAACAGGAAGTTGCCGAGAAAGGGAAGGAAGAACAGCACTAAGACGCCGTCCAAAGACATAAAATATTACTTGATCAAAGCCGCGTCCACGGAGGAAGTTCTATGGGTCATGGAGGGATTCGACTGGTGTTTCTCGTTGCAGATTTTCAATTATCTCAAGCAATGTCTCAAGGTAAGTGATTTTGCTTGAAAAAAAACACGCCTTCTCACAAGCCACGCCCTCTGATTGATGAAATTGAATTGATGGAATTTTACTTGTGAAATCTCTTGCAGAAGTTCCCGGAATCGGAGATTTATCTCATCTTCCACGTTGGAAGCGCACAGCAGTTCTACTGCATGGGCAGATTTGTGTTCAGAGGAGGAAAGCATCTCGTAGACATGGTTCAAGCGGGCTCAGTGAACTTCCGCACCATGCGCGAGATGGTGAAGCGTCAGAAGGCGGCGTCATTCAACTGGAATGACGGCGAAGAGTTGTCCAAGGAGATTGGCGAATTGTTCGCGCAAATGCTCAGCACCACCGATAATGGAAAGTGATTTCTCAAAGTGATCTCCACGAAAGGCGATGTGACTCATTAATTTGAAAAGTACCTTGAATTGATTTTAAGTTGCACATTGAAGATATTTTAGTTGAAATTTGTATGTATTTTTTCTTAATTCTCCTTGTTTTTATTCCTTTTCAATATGATTTGATGAAGAGTCTGGCGTTGAGAAGTGAATTTTTAGATAGATGAAATAAAAACTTTGATGTGAGAATAAATTGTACATATACATATTTACTGGCGAGGGCGATTTGATGGCTACTTGTGTGTTTCTGTTGAATTGACTCAGCAACTTTCCATAGCTTTTGTTTGATCAATAAAACAAGATTTTTGAGAAAATGTGTGAAGCACAGAATGTGATTTTTCCGGAAGAAGTGGAATATCACGTGAAGAGTCTGCGGAAATATCAAATCTCAGACATTGGAAAAACCGCGTGGTTTGAGTATCATGAGATTCTCGTGAAGATTCATCAGCAAAGCATCCTGGAAGCGAGTCAATCTCGCGAGGAAGTCCTCAAGGATGCTCTGCTGCTTGAGGGGAAGTGCAAGACACTGGTCTACAATGCTTACGTGATTCTGGTGTGGCGCCACAAAATCCTGCCAGAATTACTGATCAGAGCGCATCCTCAGTCATCCTTTATCTTCTACACCATTTTCTTTCACGAGGCGACAACTGTTGGACTCCTGGAGACACTTCTCTTCCATCCGGATGCTTGTGAGGCACTCGAGGAGACTTCTCTGGATCTGATAGACTACTGCCTGCAGGCCATCATCCAGCTAATCCCGCTCGCGCAAGAGAATCATGCAGATTGTGAGGAAGCAGACGCGTCAAGTGTTGCAGAAGAAGTGGAGAAACACAGAAAATCCCTCCAGCTCAGCATTGGCATTCGCTGTCTCACCATTCTCAGCTTCCTGGTGGACAATTTGGATAGGATCTGCCTGAGTGCTGTCACCCGTTTACTGGACATTCACGACACACCGTGCGTTCTCAGTGAAATCCTCCACTTGCGACCCTGGATGCGTCGCCAAGGCCACACTTTCCAGCACTTCATCAACGATCGCTGGCAGAGCGTCGCCGGCGAAGAGATTTCACGCGTCACCAAATCCGAGGCTCACACATGGTTCTGCCTCAGAGAACTCCTGCTCAATCCTCGCCTCTTCGCCAGCTATCACGTGAACAACTTCCGCCAGACGGAAATTTCGAAGGTTCAGGGACTCCTGAATGACGTTCTGCTCGATCAATTGCCTCCTCTCGCGGATCTCAAGCACTTTCTAGTCACATTTTCCGTCGCAAAAAACCCAGAGACTCAGCAGAGAGACAAGAAACTCCTTCTTGAGGAACTCCCACAGATCCGGGAGACTCTCCTCAGCCATCTCTCCTCCCACGGTGTGGAGAATATCATTGATGATTTCCAGAAATCCATCAACATCACCGAAATTGCTTCAACACTCAGCAAAGCCTACAATTTGGACGCCCTGGAGCAACTTCTGCCTCCGGAAAGCCCCTCATTCACGCCCTCTTGCCATCATTGTGGCCTTCCGGCGCCCAAGAAGTGCTCCAAATGCCTTCGCGTGCACTATTGCTCGCGCGATTGTCAAGTGAAGGACTGGCAGACGCACAAGTCGCACTGCCAGCCATAGGAAAATCATCAGATTCGCGCACAAGAAGCCTGTATTTCCACACACATTCAGCACATTTTCCTGTGGCTTAACTCTGCGATCGCAGATGCTCCTTGATGACGTCCAGCGCCGGCGTCTCCTCGCCAAAGTCCTTGATGACCACCACAGAGCAGCCGCACACCTTCCTCGGCTTGCCCTCCTTGTCGATCTTACACAGGCCAGACCACTCGCCCAGCTTCTTGTTGGAGTCCACGCGGATCAGCGGGATCTGATGCTCGTGGCACAGCGCCGTGACCAGCTTCTTGTACTGTGGCTCGTCGCAACTCTCGGCCAAGATGCACAGCACAGCTTGGCGTCTGCAAACGGCAAAAAATTCGCTGTTACTCCAAGGCACATTCAATAAAAGCGTATTTTTTATCACGATTGTCATGCATGATTTTAATGGCCGAAACGTGTGACAAATGAAGTGACTAGAATTTAACCAGAGAAAAGTCTTTGTCACCACATTTTTTTTCAGTCAATTCTTAAACATTGGAAAGTCAATATGAGAATTTTTCCACTCATCCTCCTCCTTATCTGTGGTAAGAAATAAAATTTTTCAGTATTGCAAGGTCTGCCAATGAAATAGAGCACTTTTATTTGAAAGGTTTAAGAGAAAAAGTATCTTATTTATAAACAACTTTATTGTGAATATTCATTAGAATTTTTTTTTAACAAGAATACAATGATAAAATTGGGGCCAAAAGTGAAAATCATGATTGAAAATCATCTTCAATGTTCATAAAACAAGTTGAATAGAAAGTGAAAATTTTCCGTAATATTGCTAAAAATGAAAAAGTTTGCATTTCAAAAATATTTTCTCTCTTTCTCCGTAAAAAAAAACCACAAAATTAAGTTACTATATTTCATTGGCAATTTTTTTTCACAGTGAAATTATAGTGATTGTCCAATATTTTCAAAGGTTTTCAGATAATCAGAGGAAAGGCGGCTTTTTCAAAGTCCTTTCGGAAGTACGGCAAATTGGCAGTCGACAAAGGGAAGCTATTTGATGAATATGTCGAGAAATACCTGAGAAATGCTGGTGAAAGTGTGGTAAAAAGCACTGAGGACAAAAGTACGAACGGAGTTTATAATAATCGCTTCAAGAAAATAGCAGGAAAATCTAAAGCAAGTTTCAAAATCTATAAAGGTCAACATAAAAATGAGAACCAGAATCAATTGAAAGAAACTTCTCACAATCGAATGGTTGAACCACAAATTAAAAAACACAGTGAAGCTATTAAAAAACAAATCAATGCGCAAAAAAAATCACCTCGACTTTCAACTGATAATCAACCAATTTCTACAAAAAGTCAGCATGATTTCGACGTTCACAGTGAATCTTCAGACAAAAATCTGAACTTTCGAGTGTCTAAACCAAATGATCAGCCTTTAGAAACCAATGAAACCACTCGAGATATCCACGATGCCGAGCAATATCATCAACACGCAGAAGCTGAAGAAAATCCAGCAAATAACTTTGTTCCTGTTCAACGACAGGTGAAGTACGAAAATCCTCGAGAAATCGATGATTCCAAATCAGAAATCAATTATGGTTCTCAAGAAATTATGAGTTTTCATCACGAAGTTCAAGAATCTCAAGATAATCAGGATTTTGTCCGTAATATTGAAGATCACAATGTTCAAAAAAATCATACAATGAATTTAGAACACAAGAAAAATGGCGAAAATCCAGATCAAGAATATCAATATGATAGACCAGAACTGAACGAAAGCCCAAAAGAAGTCTTGATTCCTAACGAAGATGATCAACATCCAATTATGGACGAAATGACGCAACATAATCAAGATTCTAACACAAATACTGAAAATCATGGACTTGACTATCATCAAATGAGCAAAAATCTTGATCACAATCAAGATATTGAAAGAGAGAAATATGATCCGGAACTTAATCAGAGTCCAGAAGAAGACATAAATCATAATGCAGATGATCGACTACCAGAAATGGAGGAAAGTATTCAACATAATCAAGATATAGAAAATCACGATGTTCAGTATCATCAAATGAGCAAAAATCTTCAATATAACGAAGATTCTGATGAGGTTATCGAAAATTTTGAACCAGATGAAAGCCTAGAACAGCCAGAAAACAATTCAAGTCCTGATGTTGCTAACAAACACTTTCAACATCCGAAATTGGACGAGAACCTTGGAAATAACATTATTCCTGACCAATATGTTAACCTTCATGTAAACGATACAGAACAGAATGAAAGCACTGAAGGCCACTTGAGTTCTTATGACGAAGTTCAACATCCAGAAACGGATGAAAAGGCTGGAATGAATTCAGAGTCAGAAAACAATTCAAATCCGGAGGTTAATTATGAATTTGACGAAAATGTTCAGCATAAGCAGGTTTTTGATCAAGATATTGAAGATCACGAATTTCAATATCATCAAATGGGCAAAAATCTTGATCATAATCAAGATATTGACAATTCAGAGATGCACGAAAACATTGAAAATGACTTAAGTCCTGGCATAGATATTCAACATCTGGAAATACACGAAAATCTTGAGAACAATTTGAATTCTGACAAAGATTCTGAAGACAATGCAATTTCTAATCATGCTGTTCAGCATCCGAAAATGGACGAACATTTTGAGGCGGTTATTGAGGAATCCGGACTGAATGAATCTCCTCATAATGAAGATTCTGATCAAGCCAGTCAATCAATTGAAGACAATCAACATTCTAGTGCTGCAGAAGACAGCTTGATGGCTGATATTTATCCAACTTCTGTGGAAAATCAATCGCCTAAGACGAATGACAATCGAGCTGCAGAGGCCAATCATGCGCAACAAACTCCTAACCGCGGAAGTACGAAGAAAGGTGGAATCTCCTTGTCCATCAACCTCAACCAGCCCAAGTCTGAGGATTCCCTCGTGAACTGGCTCTTGGCCAAAGTGTAGAATGCTTGTCAATAAACACAGGATGAAGAGTACTCACTTGTCAAGGGATTTGCAGGCCTGGTGGATGCCGTGCACGAGTCCATCGGCGATCAGGGACTTCTTCAGCACCTCCTGCAGGGCGGTGTTGATGTCCATGGGGCCCCCGATCACGGGGTCGGAGGAGGGAGTCACATCTCTGGAAAGAATGACAACGTCAGCCGGTTATCATTGCTTCCGTCCTTGACGTGACCACACTTGAGGGAATTCCCTCCGGAGGCGCACTTCAGGGCGGCATTGCCGGTGAGGTTAGGGCGCACTTACACTTCAGTATCAGACATTTCGGAGATTTCTCGCGTGCAGTACGTAGATACACCTGCAAATAGGGGGAAATCACCGAGATTAGAAAAGTGTTCCGTGAATAAATGGGTATTTTAGCGAGAAATCAAAGTCAACAATGTGACTTTACTTTTCTGATAATTTCTCAATATATTTTAGAGCAAGCGATGGAATTTCATCGTAAGCAGTTACCACTCACTTTATTAAACACTCTCACAGTACTTATTTGAGGATATTTTAGTGGAAAACCAGGGAAAATGAGGAAAATATGAGATCCACGTTGCAAACTCACCTCGATTGAACGCCGGAAAGGGTGAAAGAGGAAAAATGGCCGCCTAAACTCAACGAAGTGTCAATTCCACCGTAGACACAAACCTCCTTCGTCAAGCACGAAGAGATAGCAGGAAATGAGCGGGTTTTCTTTGTTCTGCTTATCTTGCCGCACCAGAATACACACAAGTTGTTATCTGTGGGCATCTTCAACACTTATCAGTTGCACAATTGGCGGAAATTCACTGAGAAATGCGATATTTCGCGTAATTAGGCCAATCACACTTCCCGTATCGCCCACTCGTGGCGCTGAATGGGGCAGATCATCAGGTAACCCGTGAAATGTTTACTGCTGTTCGTCGGATGTTCTCAATAAAGAATTTCGATTTTGTGTGAAAATTGTGGTGAAAACGTGCCGGAAAAGTGTGTAAAAATGAAGTCGAGTGGCTGGAGAATATGATGGAAATGGTAATTGAGCGGGGCGGTGGGTGTGCGGGGTGGAAAAGTGCGTGAAAAGTCGCTTGACGACACAACGTCAATGGCAGCCAAATACCGGTTTTGCCATCTCCTGCGATTTGTCAAGAAAACTTTCCATTTCTTCTCTTTTTCCTCGCGCGCTGATGTGCTGGATGTGCAGGAAAATGGGAGCGCTGGTGGTTGGGGGTGCTGGGTGAGGGGTGGTGGCGGTGGTTCTGGGGGCGCTGCGAAGGGCTGTTCTGCCGGAGACAAAGAAGTGTGTGTGTGTGAAATGCCGAAAATTTCGCCTCAAGGACAAAGCACTTGATGGGAGATTTTGGGTGGTTTTAAGGGTGATTTTGCAGGCTGCTAATATGTGACTCGTTGTCTTTGCAGGTGGTCTGAGGAAGAGCGCCGCGAGAGACCATGGACCCGTCGTCGCTCAGCTTCAAGGACACCGCGAGCTGTGATAGGCCAGCCCTGCCGCCGCGCATGGGCTCGCGCTCCGCCCTGGCCACCGCGCCGCCCTCCGACGACTACTACGGCGTGACGGTGCCACAGAAGGCGCCCGAGAAAGGGCCCAGCGGCGACTTCACGGGCGCCAGCGTGGCCCTGCAGAGCGCCGAGTGGTATTGGGGCAAGATCACGCGCGACGAGGTGAAGGACAGGCTGAAGGACATGCCGGACGGCTCCTTCCTCATCCGCGACGCGTCCAGCCAGAAGGGCGAGTATACGCTGACGATCCGCAAGGACGGCAGCGACAAGCTGATCAAGATCGGCCACCGCGGCGGCAAGTACGGCTTCACGGAGCCGTACACGTTCGCGTCGGTGGTGGAACTGGTGAATTACTTCCGCAAGGAGTCCCTGAAGCAGTACAACAACGTGCTGGACATCAAGCTGATGTACCCGATCTCGCGCTACAACCAAGAGGAGGACACCAGCGGCGTGGACAGCGAGGGTGACGTGAACAAGCTGGTGGAGCAGTTCATCGAGGTGCACGAGAAATTCCTGAAGAAGTCACAGAACTACGACGAGATGCACAGCTCGTATCAGCGTATGGAGATTGAGATAGAGATTAAGCGACAAGCACTTGAGGCATTCCACGAGGCGATATCCATGTTTGAGGATCAGATCAAGCTGCAGGAGAAGCTCAAGACGCAGGCGCAGCCGCACGAGATCAAGAGTCTCAATGAGAACTACGACATTCTCAATCAACGACTCGGCGCTCTCAGCGAGAGCAAGGAGAAGCTCGAGAGTGATATTGCGAAGCAGAACAAGGAGTTCCAGGCATTCGAGCGTGATATCAACTATCTCAAGCCAGAAGTGCTCAATTTGTCGCGACTTAAGGAGAAACTTCATGGGTGAGTGTCTCATTGATCGAAAAGAAATGTCAGGAAAACGAATGATTTCCTTTTGTCACTTTCTGATTGAAATTTCCTCAATTTTGATGGTGTTTGTGAGCGAGAATTGAGGTGTCTTTGGGCAGATTGGGAGAGTAATTGGACTGTTTTTCTTTCTCTCTCTCTCGGCAGACTGCTCCTGCAGCACGGGCTCACGCACGAGCAGATCAACCAGATCATGGAGGACGGGTTGCGATCGTGGGCGAATCTGCACAACATCCAGATGACGCACTACGACGAGGCCACGTGGTTTCTGCCCAATTGCAGCCGCCTGGAGGCCGAGCAGCTGCTCACGGGCACACAGACGGGCACGTTCCTGATCAGGCCGCGCAGCGCCGGTCACTATGCGCTGTCCATCAGCAACAACGGCGTGCCGAATCACTGCATCATCTACCAGACGGACCGCGGCTTCGGATTCGCGGAGCCGTACAATGTGTACAGCACGCTGAAGGCGCTGGTGCTGCACTATGCTCACAACTCGCTGGAGGAGCACAATGACTCGCTCCTCACCACACTCAAGTATCCTGTCTACGGACAGAGCGCCATTGTGCCAACGTCGGCGACGGCAATCAAGGAGGAGCAGCAGCAGCAGCAGCGACAGACCAGTGCAGAGTGTTAGCTGCGGAGAGTACGAGATTATGCGGAGATTCTTTTTTGATTTTTTTTGTGTGTTTTTTCCCAGCAAAGAATCTTCCCACAAAAAGTAATTTGAGTATATATTAAATATAAGGATAATGTGATTTCTTTTTATACAATTTACTATTAATTAGAGAGACATGCAAATATGAGGAGATATTACTCGTAAAAAAAAACAAAAATGATGAAAGAGAATTCTTTAGTTGTTTAACACCTTCTTTCTATACATATAATTGAGAAATGATGATAAGATGATATCAATTTTGTGTTTTTCTTCTGGACAACAAAAACTTTTTGAAATAGTATAAATTCTCTTCCCTCCCGGAGATATATATATACATATATATAAAAGTGTGTGAAAAGTGAGTTCGCAAACGACGAAAAAAAAAAGAAATCAATCGAAAGAAGATCTAAAATATAGATTTTTTGGTGAAGTAAATGCAGCAAAAACACAAAAAATACAACTATGAGAAGAAAGAGGAAAACTTAGAGATATTAGAATTTTAGGTATTTGTAAGATAATGTGAAAGAATATAACGTTGTGTGTTAACATGAAAAAAAAAACATTGAAAATGATGAAAAGTTTCGCGAAGTAATTGTGTAAAATTTCCAAGAGAATCACGGAGAAGATGAAAACCAAACTTACTAATGATAAATATCGCTTGTGCACTCTCTGTTGCCATCTTTGTGGTAAAATACATAAACAAAAAAAAACGTAGATATTTGTGGATGGATTGGATTATTAATGTTGATGAGAAGGGCAAAGGATTGAATTGTGCAGAGATTTTTGTGCCATTTTACACCGACAATTTCAAGAAAGTATGAAAGAAACAAAACAATGATTTTACAGACAAAACAAATGTGTCTTCATTTCTGTCAATTAGTGTCAAAAGAATAGTGAAATTCTTTGATTTTCCCCCAATTCAGAAGGAAGAAGAAAAAAAGAAATGTGTATAATTTTGTCTTGTCAAATCTCCAGCACAAACACACACAGAATTTTTCTTATGCAGTCATGCTGGATAGAATTGATTGAGGAAATGAGAGCAGCAGGAAAAATGGCGGAAAAGAAACATTTATATTGATAGAAATGTGTACCTTCATTATATAAGTGAGGAAAAATCTAAAAAAAAACCTATAAATTTTACAATGAATTACAAAAAAAAATATTATCGTGTCCTCTTAAGATGTGTAAAGATGATAAAAAAAAACAATGTTGTGTAATCAAAACAATTATTTTATATATATTATTATATACTTTTTATTGAGTATGAATATAGGAATTACAAAACTACAAATTGTTACTTGGACATTTGTAACGGATAATTTGTATAAATACACACACACCAAGAAGTGAAAAACAAGTGAAAAAAAAACCGTGCAAAAGATAAACTCTTCACGTCTTTTCTTTCTCTCCTGCGTTACGTTCAAGGTTGCGTTTTTTTGAGTGGTGAAAAATTGGTGTTGAAGTCTATCTTTTGGTCCTTTCAAAACGATATATGGTTATTTACGTTATGGTTTCTATGGCTGTTGGACTGCTGGTGAGAAATCCCGAAGAAGATCCTTTAGATTCCTTTAGAATCTGCAAATCAATTGCCTGCAAAAATTGTTCTTTCGACGCCACGTTTCAAATGCACAACAATTTTTTCGCGTGAATTCATATACAAAGTGTGAATAGAGACATTTTATTGTTTTATTGAGAAAAGACGCGGGAAAACTTACCCTGTTATACGACCTTTTCCGTACTGTGGACTCCTTAAGATCCGATGATTAGTAAATAGAAACATCAGAATCATTTTGTGTGGTAATTTGTTTGAGAATAATCATTTATTCAGCCCAAAGTGTAGTTTGCTGGTAAAATGGGTAAAACATATGGTTGATTCATGCGAAAGCGACTCAAAAACACTCATGTGAATTTCTGAGTAAAATAAGGAAAAATCAAGGAAAAAGGAACGAGAGAAAAAAAAAATCCCGACTGACTTATAGGTAAGTAACAGATTTAAGAAACGACCTGGCATGGCAAATTTTGAATTCATTATGCCAAGACGTCAATTTTATGCAAATTCAATCCAATATCTGATTGGGACCATAAAAAATTTTCCAAAATTCGCCCACTTGCTCTTGTGTTACCTACAAATTGTATAAATTACATTTAGAATAGTTTTCGTCATTTTCTCGCAAAAAAAAAAACGCTTTCTTCTTATCTTCTTAGCAATAAATCGAGTTTATTTCCACTCTTCTTGTTTTTTCTCACTCTCTAAGCAGAGACTTGATATTGCAAAATAACATTGACAAAAACTGACAAGTATATCTTACTTTTATTTTAACTTGAAAATTACAGCAAGAAAATACATGAAAAAAATGATAATACAAGATAATTTCCTCTCAATTCTGTTTCTCTGTTTTTTTTTCTTCTTCTCACAAAGAAACACTAAATTATACTTAAACGAACAAAAAAAAAGTAAAGATAGAAGACAAAAGTTCTCATGATTTAGATGTGGCAAAAAAAAAACAATAAGATATTAATGAAATTATGGAATGTTAATGTTGTAAAAAAAAAACATAAAGACAAAGTGAAAGTGAAGAGGTAGAAAAAATCCGAAAACAGAAAACAATCTCACTTTAACAGAGGAAGAAATTGAATTCAGTGCAAAATTCTTTAAAATTCAGGCGCATTTTAGTTGTGATTTCATTGCATTAATTTTCATTAAAAATATTTTACTTCTATTCATCCTAATAATCTTATAATTCTTTCTCCATGTCATTTTTTTTCTCTTTCTCATTTTATAATTCATCGAAAATATGTCAATTTTACAAGCAATATATTTTTCATTTTAAAAATGTTTTTATTGAACACTTGGGTCAATTTCATCGCAGATTTTCTTCTGAAAGGTTTTTGAAAGATGGTGAGAAAAGGGTAGAATTTCAGGCGACAAAAGCTTCTTCTTCTCCTCACAAAGCACATTTAACACTTCTTCAACTTCAAGTTTTTTTTTTCTCCTTTCGAAGCGCCACATTTGCCATTTTCTTCCACTTTTCAAGCGAAAAACACTGAATTTTCTTTTTCATTCTTCTCTGAATTAATGATTTTTTTTTCTTTTTGAGGAAAAAGATGTCTTCATCTTTAAGAGACACTTACAAAAAAAAAATGAATTCCTTACAACTCGCTCTCATTTCTTCATCTTACGAGATAAATATTGTGGTGCACCTTTTAGGTTCACCTCCTTTTTTTCTCTTCTTCTTCTTCTTTTAAATCTTAACACACCTACAAAACATATTTTATGTTTTTCACTTCTCAATTCTGCACATCTTGTGATTATTTTTCCCATCTTAAATCCCAGCCCGACAAAAAGCACACACTGAGTTTTCAGCTTTACTGCGTCTGCTGCTGAATCTCGATCTTCTCCACCGTCATGTCGGGATTCATGGCTGTGGCCTCCTAAAGTGGGGTGGGAAAAAGAAGTTGATTTAGTTGAGCGTTCGGTGCACTTCAAGAGGCGGAAAAGCAGCGACACTCACTTGAATGGCTTCGGCCAGCGCCTTGTCATGATCAATTGGATCGCCGTCAGACTGAATCGTGATCTTCTGCTCCACTCGAGTCTCCACGACGCCGTCTCGCTCGGTTTTGTACTGAAAATGAACAGGAGAATAGGAGACATTAGACCAATTTTCCACGTTCTTTTGATCCCCTCTAATTCTCCACTCTCTTTCATTGGATTGGAACGCACCGTGATTGTTTCCACGGTCCTCGTCTTGCTGGAGACGGTCTGCGAGGAAATGATCTCTCCCTGCTCATTGTACTCGTCCTGGTCTACGGTCACGCGCTGCTGCTCCGTGTTGGGTGGCACTCGTGGCACGGCTGGCACATTGGGGTCGCCCTGCAAGGACACAAAGCGTCCAGCATTAGCCTCTGCTCGCGACTAGCGGCTCTCGCCCGCCGTACAAACCTGGTAGGGCTTCGTTGGGCCCTCGAACGGTCCGTCGATGGGCGTCCCAGAGTCGCCTGAGCTCGCCGACGAGACACTATCTCGGCGACCATACTAAGCAATTGCGAGTGTGGGTGTGGGATCACGAGCAAATGAAAATAAATCAGTCAAATAAATCTGTGGCAATTCATCGTGCAATATTAGGCCGTTTAGTCACTCCGCTGTGCAGGACATCGCTCTACGCGGATTCAGTTAGGGATGGGAGGGGAGGGTGTCAAGGAGGGGCGCTCTTTACCTGATCGCCACTCGTCACTGTGGCCGTGGTCTTCACCTCCTGCGTCACGACTCGCTGCTCCTGCCGGTTGAGATTGTGGGTGCGCGTCGTGGCGACCGTCTTCTCCTCCAGCTGTTGCGTCTTGGCATTCGTGCCCAGGTCCTCGTGCGTCGTGGCCGTGCGCGTCGTGACAGCCGTGGCAGTCACATAAGCGCCTGACGTATCGTCTGTGGGTGCGTCAGCCTAGTTTGAAGGGTCAGGACTGAGTCTTCAGCGGATATTCTCGGAATTCATGCAACGCCATTCAGCACACTGACACTATGAATGGCAAATTGGGGGGCTCTTTCGGGGGTGGGGAGAGAGTGTTTCTCAATTGCATCAACTGACAAATGCACACTGATACAATACAACAGAGAGAAATTGCTCAAACTGACAATTGAGAATATCTTACACTGGTTGAAATAGTAAAAAGGATATAAAATTCTGCCTTTCAATACAAATTAATGCAAAATTTGTATCCTTTCTACATTTGTCGTCAGTGTATTTCATCAATTCCCAGAAATTTCTCTCTCTCAAGGTGCACTTCATGGTCAAACATCATGCCAACATCGATCAACTGAACAAAAAGGCGGGTCAGGATGCTCTCCTACATACTCCCTGTGCTCTTCTCTTCTGCCCAAGTCGCTAGAAAGGGTTGGGGGGCAATTGGAGGATGTACGTACCTTATGCTCCTGCGTATTGTATGTGACCTCGCCGGTGCCCAGATTGCGGATCTCCTCCTCTACGGCGTGCGTCACGCCGCCCTCATCCCTAGTCAGCACCTGCTTCGTCGTGGTCTTCACCACCGTCGGCGGCGTCACGTACTTGCCCAGCTTCTGTCCCGCGATCTCCTTCACGCCCGTCCCATCGCTGGCGTACTGCGCAACGTCGCCCTCCGAGCTGGCCTCGCTGTCGCGTCGCAGCGCGTCGCGCGGCAGATGCTTGATGCCCTCGAAGAACTGCTCGCGCGTGATGGGCACGGTCTCCTTGGTGGTGGTCACCTCCTTGCCGAAGTGCGCCGGATCGATTTGGGTGTAGTTGAGGATCTTCTTGCCCGTGACGGGATCTGTCACTGCTGTGGCCGGGTCAATGTCACCCGTGTTGGGATCAATAAGGCCATATTCGGTCCGAATGCGTCCCGTCACCGGATCAATCTCACCGGTGAGCGACATGGTTTGGACAACAGTCGTCCTGGCACCAGCAACGCGCGGATCATTGGGATCCACTTCAATGATCTCACCAGTGATGGGATCCACCATGTTGTACACATAGACAGTTTTGCTGAACACATTGCTAATTCTGCCTGTCTCCGGATCAATTTCACACTCCTCCGGCTTCAGCTCCTTCGGCTTCCCGCGCTCATCCTTCTTCGTCACCAACACCACCTTCACGAGGATGATTTTGCCCGTCTTCGGGTCCACCTTGCCCACCTTCGTGTACACATCTCCGGTCTCCGGATCCGCCTGGGAGGCGCTGAACAGCGGCTCTCCCGTGGCGGGATCTCTCTCACCTGTGGCAGCGAACACTTGCCCATTGGCAGGGTCAACCTTGGTCAGATTGGGATCCACCTTAGTCTGCTTTTCAATTTCATTGGTCTTCTTGTTGAGATACCCGTAGATTGTGATGACATAGCCCGTCTTGGGATCCACTTGACTCGATGTGTACAGCGCTTCGCCGCTCTTCGGATCCTTGCCAGCGAGAACCCACACTTGATTGGTCTTCGGATCCACCACGGCGTCCTTGATCTCCTCAGCCGGCACAACCTTGCCCGTGGCCGGGTCAAGTCGCGTCTGCACAATCCTGAGCGAGATCAGGCGCCCAAAGTCCTTCTCGGGCTTCCCACTCTTCGGATTCACCTGATTCTTCAGCAAGATTTGACCCGTCACCGGATCAATCTTGGCATCCTTCACCTCGGTCTTGCCCGTCTTGGGATCCACAAAGGTCACGGTGTGCTTCACCAGATCAAACTGTCCGTACTTCGTGTCAATCTTCCCAGTGTCCGGATTCACCTGACCCGTCGACGCCTCAACAGTGGCGGTCTTTGGATCGATCAAGCCCTTCTTGTCCACCTTCCCAGCCACCCCGACGACCTCCACAACGGGCTCCAGGTGATTCCCAATGGCAATCAAGTGCGCCAAATTGGGATCCACTTTGTTTGTCTTGGGATCAACCACACCAGCCACCGTGATCTGCCCCGTGACGGGATCCACAGTGGCCTTCCTGGCCTGCGCCTTGCCAGACTTGGGATCAAGTGTTCTCACCTCGCCCGTCTTGGGATTCAGCTGACCATACTTGGTGTCAATGAAGCCCGACTGCACATTGAACACCCCCTTCGACCGCTCCACATCCCCATTGACCGTGTCCACCTTCCCCGTGGCCGGATCCAGTTTGCCCGTGATCGCTGTCACTTCCATCGTGGGATTGTCCACAGGCGCCACACAAATCACACCGCCGAGACTGTCGTCAATTCGGCCCGTGTCTGGATTCATCACACCCGAAGTCAAGTGAATATGTCCGGACTTGGGCTCAATTGTGCCCTGATGCGTCGCCACTTTGCCCGTCCTCTCGTCCAGGGCCTCAAGAGTGGCCTTCTTGGGATCAATCACGCCATACTTCGACTCAATCTTCCCCGTCTCAGTGTCCAAGATCCCAGTGCTGTGCTCCACTGTTCCTGACGCCGGATCCATCTTCTTCGTCTTGGGATCCAACTTCGACACCACCACCATGATCTTCACCTTCTTTCGCTTCGGCTCAGCCGGCGGTTTCGCCGCCGCCGCCGCTGCTGCCACAGGAGCCGCTCTTCCGCCGGCTTGTCTCTCAGCATTTAGGAGCGCCGCATTGGGATCCTGCAGAGTCTTGTATGTTCCCGCCGGCCCTGTTTCCTTGCCAGCAGCCGCAGCAGCATCCTTGTTCGGCGAATACGATCCTCCTGCCCCAATCTTGATGGGCTCTAGCAACTTCTGCTTGGTTTTAGGCGACAAATTGCCCTCCTTCAGCAACTTATCCCTCGTCTTGGGCGACAATTCGCCACGGGCGAGCTTCTCCCTTGTCTTAGGCGACAATTCTCCGCCTGTCTGCCTCTTCACCGCCTCCTCCTTCAACTTCTGATCCTCACCAGGAGCATAATTGAACGCCAGGCCAGTGGCTCGTCTTGCCTGTGAGTTGGGACTCAATTGCCCATCATTGGCAGCATCCTTCGCCCTCACTGTCGGATCTTGGTCATATCTGAAGCCACCCTGAGTGTAATTCTTCCTCGACGGGCTCACATTGGGATCCTCATCCGTGTACTCGTAGGGTTTCGTGAAGCCCGTCTGCTGAGTCTGTTCCTTGCCAGTTGCTGGCGTCTCCACGGCCACAGCAATCTTCTTTCCTGCCTCCTTGGGTGGCGTCTTGTCCTTGGGTGGCGTCTTGTCCTTGGGCGGCGTCTTGTCCTTCTTCCTGCCCGATGAGAAGATTCCCAATCCCTACACAGCATGTCAACAATAGGGATAATTTGGAACACAGGACATGGTGTTTTTAAGGGAATGGCAAAAGAAAAATGAAAGAAATAAAATCAAAATCCTAAATAAAAAATACCCTATCAAAGCTACTTTCTCCAAAATCTACAGCAAGTCCATTGGATATATATTGTAATGTATGACTCAAAATCTATAGCCAAAAAACTCGAGCAAAATGCCAAGACAAAGTATCTTCAAGATAGAAAATACAATTCTGCTCAAACTCTTCAACTCACCCTTCTCTTGGATGTCGGTGACTTTTCATCAGACGTATTGAGTGTAGAGTCATTCGGGTCAGTTTCGTTTCCTGGCAGGAAAAGAGAAAGAGAGAGAGAGAGAGTAAGTGAGCAAGAGATAAGAAAAGCAGCAAGATTAGCAGAGGAAATCCAATAGAAAATTTTAATGTATAAAGTCTCACCATTCACGGCTGCTGCTTTCTTATCTCCCTTATCCTTTTCACTCTCCTTCTTGGTCGGCAGCACTGAAACACCACCAGCCGGTTTCTGCAAGAAGATATTGGCAGGTGTTTTAACCGGATCTTTGCCCCGAAACACACCGTGAAAATCCCTCCACCTGTCCGAAGCTCAACACATGAAGAAGCTGAATGAATGGGAATTCTATGGAAACTCCACAGAGAATTCTCATTCATACATTGCATAAACTACACTAGTAAAAAGCCTTAAGAAGACGCAAAATTATATTACAAAGCATTAGTTTGTCATGCGGTTTGAAAACTACAGGATCATTCATCTACTTGGTGACCAAATTGTGAATTTTCTGCTCAATTCTCATCCAATAAGCGCAATTTTGATAGACAAATTGACCCTTTCTGATGGCAAATTCATTCACTTGTATTCCCGATGAAAGAATGGAAAAATCAAAACATTTTGATCTCTCAGACAAAAACTTGATCATTTCGTTGTCTCATGAAAGCCAGCAAAAACAGTTATGGGAAGAAAAAAGAAACCATAAGACAGTCAAACGAATAATCAATGGGGAAATTCTCACTGAATTGCTGGAGGAAAAAGCTCATAAAGTATATATAAATACTGGTACAAAAAAAATGTCCACAAAACAATGATTTAATAAGAGGAAAAAAAACACAAAAGCTCAGAAGATATTCTGGACAAACATAGAAGGAAGAGAAAGAAGAAAAACATCTCTTCGTCGATGGCAAAAGAGAGCTTCAGAGCAAAAAGGACAATAATAAATAACGCATAAAAGATCTGGTGATGTTTTGAATTGCTTTTTTTTTCTTAAGTGAAGAAATTAACCTGATCAGCACTCGATCCACCTGTCGTCTCATATTCACCCTCGAGGGAACTCTGGGATGAGGCCGAAGCCGTTCCAGTGCTGGATTCTCGCTTCAGCTGATCCATTTTACATTAAGTCGTGCGCGTTTTTCGCACAGACACACAATTTTTCAGGTATTCAAAAATTCGTGTTACAACCACACAAACAGTGGGATTGAGAATTTGTGTGAAGGAAGGGCGAAAGGAGAGAAAAACACTCGTTAGTTGTGTGTTAGTTTTCTAAAATAATTGCAGAAAATTTGAGGCGAAGAATAAACTTAAAAAAAAATTTATGTTAAAAACACTATCATTAATTTTGTCAATTTTTCCATTCTTTTTTTCATTTTAATCCAATTAGTATTCTTCAATTGTTATCTAAAAAAAAATTAAATTCAATATTAAATAATAAATGAAATGAAGAAAGAATAAAAGTAGTTGTGAAAGTTCGTGAGACAAAAATTCAACCAACTAATTTTCGTGCATTTTTCTAGCCACTTTTGTCCACATTTAATTTCCTCATGAAGGTTTAATATTCTGCTTTAATTAGATGCTTTTGACTTTAATTAAATTATCCACCCGTGATTAAAAAGATTTTTGTTTGCAAGAGAGTTTCATAAAAGGAAAAATTTAAATTTAAAGTTAGTTTCACCCCAAAAATTGTATCCTTTGGCATCAGAGTTGAGTTCAGAAAGGATTTCTCGATGAAGATGTCTTGCGAAACATCTTGATATTATCTAAAATGTCTCTGCTTCCTCAACTCTGAGCCGAACAAAGATAGCATCTTTAATCTCGCGAACTGATTAAACCCCGAACATTCCACTGATATTCTCTTACCTTCTCCTTCTTATCCTTCTTCAGCGGACTTCGCGACTGTCTCGGAGAATCCAACTCCGGAATGTGATCCGGAGGATGAGACATTGTGTGGCGCTTCTTGTCCTTCTCTGCCTGCTCCTTCTCCGCCAGCGCTAGAGCTGCAAGGCAAATTTTTAGTCTTATTCTCAAGCCCACAAGAGCGACACTCACCGTCCATGCTGCGACTGGAGAGTCTCTTGCCGGTGAGGCTGCGCTCGAAGGCCGGCGCCGGACGGTCGATCGGCTCCTTCCTGGTCTCGTACATCGTGCGTCCGGAGTAGCGGAACTTGGAGCCAAAGCGCGGGAAGATGCCGCTCTTGGGCGTCGGCTCGGGTGTCATAAGGCGGAAGAAAGTATGATGCTCCACGCAAGCCTTCCACAACTTCTTCGCAGCGCGATGGTTGGCCAGCTTGAAGCCAATCGTGGATTCGTACTGCTCAAATTCACCTGGACGAATCTTGATGTAGAAATTGTGACGCTTGTAAGAAATTTTGAGGATCTTTGGCCAGGCGAATCGATTGATCCTCAGCTTGTCTCTGTACACCAGCAATCCCGTCGCGCAGACACCCAGCAGGATGTCCACACCCTCGGAATCCTTCGCCGGATGCAGATCCACGCCGTACATGGCCAACTTCTTGGCATTCTCCAGATAGTGCAGCTCCGCCTCGGCGGGCGTCTGGCCCTTGTGCGACTTGTGCAGATCCACCACTTTGTCCTCCAGCTCGGGCGTCTGATTGGGCGCAAAGCGGAAGTCCTTCAAATAGGCGCGACTCTTCATCTCCTGCGGATCGTAGTCACCCAATTCCGACTGCACGAGATACGAGCCGAGCAGGGCGTGCGTGATGAAGGAGCACGGCAGCCGACCCTCGAGGATGTCATTGCGCACTTGCAGGCACAAATGGTAGCGCGTGATGTCCTCCTGCAGCTGAGCCGGCTCCGGAGGATAGAACTTCACAGCAAACTGCAGAATCCACGGATCGCTCTTGAAGAACTTCGACACGGGCTTGTCCAGCTCCAGCCACGTGCGCGGATCCGTGGCTGTGTTGTAAATCAGCCCAAAGTAGTCCTTCTCGATGATATTCAGACCCGCACAGATGGAGTTCAGCAGATCGCGTCCTTTCGCTTTTCTCTGCAAGAAACACATTCAGCGTGAGTCTGGTGACTCTTCGAGTCCAATGCAAAAAGCGCATTTACTTCGATCGTCACGTCGAGAACTGAACCGTCGAGGAGGGTGACTTTGGCCAGAGCCGCTCTTCCCGACGTCGCCACGGCCTTCTTCTTGGGCGTCGTCTCGGCCGCGGCGGGTGGCGGCTGAGTGGCGCCCACATTGGGCGGAGGCGCCGTCTTCACTGCTTCCGCCGGCATCTTCGCGTCCCTCTGCAAGACAAAGAAACCCACAAGCTCATAAGCGAAAGTGAAACTCAATTACTCAAGCACCCTGTTGCGCGTCCTTTCACCGTGCTTCCACTCCACCCACGCGACTAGCCACTATTTATTACACGCTATTTGTCTCCGGCCACCCGCCAAAATCGATACACTCACGACTCTCTGGCTCGCGCCGGGGAGGGAATATGCATTTCCTGTCAGAGAAATTGCATGAGAAAATTCAATTTTCAAGAATATTTCCGACCCTCCGTAGGGAGAAAATCCCCAGCATATTATCCCCCATTGGGAAATTCAATGCCAAAAAGGCACAGTCAAGAATTGGATTATAATGTAATTGGACACATAAATTATTCCCAACAATTGCTGCAGGGCAGAAAAGAGACAGAAAAATACAACCAAAAGTCACAGAAGTACTTGTAAATTTCATTCTCCTCTTAAGCTATTTTTAGAATCTCGAAGAATCAATAAAGATCACTTGAAATTTGATCTCAATGCTTCCTTCTCCACTTGACTTTCCCCGCCCAACTTTCTCCCTCAAAATGTCCCCACAAATGATTCTCAAAGATACACACTCTGAAAGTGAAAAATCTCTCCCTTTGTACGATAAATTGACGAATGGAAGCAGTAAAGAAATGTGTTGAAAAAAAAACCACTATTTGTTATTTTAATTCAATTGAATGAGATCGAAAAGAAAGTGTTGATGTTTTTCCTTCATTCTCTTCTTTTCCTCCTCTGCATCCACTATTCATTATTTCCCTCACCAGACAAAATCACACACATCATTTAGCCATTAAATTATGCAGTGAAATGGAAATACTAATAAAATTACGCATACAAGAGCGAAAAGCTCATCTTAGCAACAGTCTTTTCTTCTATTCTCCAAAACTTAAACCCAATGAGGAAGTTGCCAATTTTCTTTCCTTCCATTCTTTCCAATTGCCATCATTCTCAGCACGGCAATTTCTCCATGAATGTTGACATCACTGCTAGTGAGATATTTTTAGCCAAAGGAAAAAGTGAAGGAAATTGCCACTTTCCAAGGTGAAATGTGATCCTTGCCCTCGGAGGTGGAGAAAAAGAGGTTGAATAATTAAAAGTGACTCCATGAAAGCCCTCCTCTATTTGCTCAATCATCAGACTTTCCTTTTTAGCCTCCAACACTGAAGGTTAATGACCAGAAAAAAGGGGGTGAACTTTCCACAAAGAACACCTCTTTTTTACCGCACAAAGATTTACTGTTGAAGCTTTCGTGTTGTCTGCAAATAAATCCTACTGGAATCATCCTAGCAATCCTATTGAAAACATCCTGGAAAATCGCCTAAAAATAAACCTCATCCACACAAAAGCTCATGCGCGTCTCCAAAACCACTCTCACAAGGGAAAGTGACTGACCACGGAATGGAGAAAAAGTGTGTTAATTAATTCCAGGGGTAGCAAAAAAAAAAAACACCCTTCAAGTCATGAATTTTCCGCCAAAGTGCCTTTTAATGTAATTAAGCGTCTAGCAGTTTTTGGCAGTTAATCCATAAACTCGCCACTTGATCACTTTAATTAGCATGATTAATTGAAATTATGGGAAGTGGTGGAAATTACTAGTCGCGAAATTATTGATATTGACACGTAAATGGGAGCAAAAATTATATATTCAACCTGTTAATGTGCTGAAGAATTTGAGCAGTGGCGTAGGTTAAACTTCTGTCAATAGCAATGCGATGGTAGCATTTTAAGCGCCTCTACTGGTGGTCAAACGAACGTCGAATGTTCCAAAGAGACATTAAATTTTGCTAAAGCTCTTAAATGTCGAAATGATGAAGCAAATGGAATAATTAGAACCGAAGTTATTGGGGCGTTTGTTATGTTTGCATCAACGATTTGCTGCTCCCAATTTTAAAGATTTATGACTCAGCTTTACAATTTTTCACAAACACTACTTCACTGGCAGGGAAGGAAAAAACTCTCTGAAATGTTGAGATGACTTTGCAATTTTCATGCTCGTAATTGAATTTCCCCAAACCACAATTTTATTTGATATTAAGTAGATAAGAAGCTTTATGTAAATATTTAATATCTTTTCAGCAAACATTTTAACACAACGGTAACTGAAAAATACTTATCAGTGGAATTGTTAGATTATATAAATATTTGAAAATCTCACAGAAATTTACTAGAAAAAATTGTAAAACAGAGTAAATTGCAACAATATTCACTTGAAATATTAATTCATTTCTGCCGTTTCGAGTGCTTTTAGCAAGTTATTTATAAACCAGTTTCAATCTTCCTCAATAACTTCTCCATTGAGCATTTTCTGCTTTCACTCTCAACGCTGATTGTTGTTCAAAATGCCATCAATTTATCAAAAAAGAATGCCATTAGGAAATTGACGAAATAGTCAAAATTCTTCAGTGGGAAACATTTTATCAGTATTCAATTCTAATCGACTCACTTCAAGTCACTCTCTTTTCTGCCATGCCTTTCAGAAAATAGTGGCAAAAGAAAACATCCTATTCTTAGAAGTGGATTCTATTTTCAGTCTGCAGCAGTTCAAATCAGCTTGTGCCTTCTCATCAGCTCAAATGTTCAGAACTACTGTTGCTCGCTGGCTCAAGAGTTGTGAGACAACGCCTTAAAATGTTTCTCAATATATGCGCAAAATGCGACCATTCACTGACTGTACAACTTAACATACGACAAAGTGTTAGTGTTGATTCTCAGCACAAGTCGATGCATGTACAAAAATATGTATATTTTATGTTTTCTCACTACATTCGCCTCTCTCGCTCTTGCTTTTATGTTTTCTTTCATAACACGTGGCTTTCCTCACGTACCGCAGTGTAAATGCAACGAGAAATTCTAACGGATTCTCTGTTGAAAGAGTGGCAAAGAGAGTTGCATGAAAAAGGCGCCAATTTCCTCTTAAAACCACCTCTTCGGCAAAATTCACCCGCGGAATGCCTTACATTTCCTCATCCATTAAACATACTAAGCAAAACAGGGTGCTACACACGTTGGCGAAAAAAAAATGTCCTTTTCTTCACCTTCGGAAGTTATATTGTGAGTAGAAAATGTCTTGAAATTAATTGAACGGCTTTTTGGGTCAAGGAAATCAGTCAAAAACCCATTCTTCCCGCCTCAATGGTGCTCTCTGGGAGTTATTGTTGCTCGCAGAAAGACTATGAAAATTACCGAAAAATTGACAAAGGCGCAAGTTCCACATAAAACAGTGCTTTTTGGTCATGACGGAAGTTTGTCGGATTTATATCAAAAATTCCACTCCAACATACCAATTATGTAGCCACAAGTAACCTTATCAATTTAAACTTGTTGCACTTTACTTGACATTCACATTAGTTATCGCAATGATTCATAAGTTCTGTATTTTTTTTTATATACCTATAAAAAAAAACAGTGGAATTTGTGAACCAGCTTTAGTCACTTGTGCTGAATTAAACTGAAATCCAAGCATGTCAGACGACAACTTGGCTTCCTATTGGCTCTTGGCATTTGTAAACAATCCTAGTGACCAATAGGAAGGCAGGATTGCACTGTCGTGTCATCAATAATGTGCAAATCCTTTGAAATTATCATCAATTTTTCAATAATTTTCGCACCCTTTTTCCCTCTTTCAACCTCCAAAATGTGTCAATTTATTTTTAATCGATGATGAGATATATCGATGTTTGTATAGAATGTGTAAAGCTTACACGAAGTTGAGAACATCCCAAAATAGATCACAAGAGAGTATTTTTCATCTCTCCAAACACGCACACACGCTCTTTTCGATGAGAAAATTTCTGCTTTAACTCTCTTCAAACAACTCCAAATCGTCTCTTCATGTCAATGTGAATTATTCACGCACGACAGGCAATTTTCTATAATGTATAGAGAGAGAGAAAAATGTGATATGATTCGATACGAAAGAGAGAGGAAAATCCCGTCTGAAGAGGTAACAAAAGTGTTCAATTGTTGATTGTGTTGTTGTGACTTTTCTTCTTCTTTGTTCCACTCACGTTTACAGTTTGATGATCCGCATTGAGAAAATGCCCTCAAGAAATGCACTCCATATAATCTTTTCTCACTTCTCGCGCGCGTCTTTGTAACCGTTCCCACTTTTTCCCACGATATTTTCCTCACTGGATCACTAGGGGAGCTTCCATCTAATGACCGTAATGACTTAGAAATTTCACTGTGCATTTGCGATTAAGCGAGACGCGTGCTTCAGGTGAAATTACACATGTCATTTTCTATTCATTGGCTGTGAAAATTCGAGGGAGGAATTACGTGAAAAATATATATAGAGAAAAATGCATGATAATTGAGGGGTCGTTTTTTTCCACCTGCGTGAGTGCTGAGGACATAAAGTCTGCGGAGTTACGGAATATTCATACTTCCTCTGGCGACAGCTCGACTAGACTCACCATCGCCATTCGATCCTATTAAGTGACAAGTCGTAAAATCCATAAAGCATCTCCTAACGCACAGTAATTTTCCTCTTTTCCATCTTCTCTTGAACACGATGCAAGACAATGTGGCACACGTGATGCAGAAACTCGAGGATTTACATTTTACACAGAGATGTCAAAGATAAATAGGCGGGGCGTAGAAGTAGGCGGGGCTTTCCAATCAATAGCGTTTCATGTGCAAATTTGATTATGCAGAAAGTTAGAATGCAACTCAGAGACGCGAAACTTTCTAAGAAAGCCTTTCAATAACGATTAACACTGCAAGAATGTCAAAGATATTCCCGGATTCCATGTAAAGAAAACCCGTATTGAGTGGGAATTGCATTTTTTAAATCTCCTGTCCTCCTTCTTTTCATCAGCATCATATTTAATTTATCAGCATTCTCACTCTTAAGTTGGTCACACACAATCTCATCGAGTTTTTCATCTTTCGCGCGAGTGTCTCTTCTCACAGCGACGTTGAGTCAATTTGCGAATAGAATCGATGAGGTCATCTGGCAACAAATCACCACTATTCACGACGTGAGTGAATGAGAAAATCCAACCAAGAGGGTGGAAAATTAACTTGTTCAGTTGTCATTAATCAGGATTAAGGAAGGATTTGGATGGAGAAAATCGATTTTCTCCGTGCCAAGAACAATTCATGCATACATTTTCATTCACACAATAATGCAACAAAGCAAAGTTGAATCTCCAATGTGAGTGAGAATATAAAGAGTGACATAATTTTCTGTCTTTTCTCACGTATAATTTCATAATTTATTATAGTGAAAATATCTGAAAATTGAACGTTCAGAGACTCTTGAGATTCTAATGTTTATTGATTAGTCGCCGAATTAAGTGTTAAATACACTTGTGGCATACGAAAACTCTTGTCAAACCAGACGCTTTTCCAACTGTTGGAGTGCATGTTGAAAGGAAATAAAAAAGGGGGAAAATGAGTGATTTTTCGCCCTCAAACACACAGGGAAACCATAGCAATAGAGACACTTTGTTCAATAAAAGACATGCACTGAGGGTGGAAAATTCACACACTACCAGCAATTATTGACCGAACAATCTATTTGACAGACTAGCAAACGTCAAAGTTAGTCGAAAGCCTGTCAATTTATGCAATTTTTAATCGAAATTTGTGTCTAAAATTTAATTGAAAAGTTTCATTGTAAAAACTTAGAGAGAAGAACATCCCTGTCTACTGACGCAGTTAGAGATATTTATGACTAGGATTAGCCCCAATTTTTCCTTTAAACCAGCACCACCTGTCTCGATGATTTAGGCTTTTCGGAGGGCAAAAGACGACATATTGCTGATGAGATTGAATATCTCAGTGGGATTTAACATTGTGAAGATCACAAATTTGCATAAATTTATTGGTGAATCTTTGCTCTCTTTCACTCTCTCTCTCTCTCCACTCACGGAATGTATTTCGACATTCGAACAAAGTGAATTTAATTCAATTTAACGTCATTTTATCTGCCTGTCTCACGTCTCATTGAAGAAATGTTGCGTGGAGGCTTCTTTCTATCTTCAATCGTTCGCTCCATTTTCCCCTTAGCAAAATAAGATTGATTCGATTGTAAATGGTCGACAAAGTGAGGTTTGGTGAGCATCACAATTGTGTGTGCAGGAAAAATCTTCATCACTCCCACGCCTAAATGTTTCATCTGATTTACTCTCCAAAAACGCTTTCAATGTGAGATTCTTTCGGTTGGCATTCTTATTTGCAGGAAAAAATTTCCCTCGAAAGTCATATCAATTGACTTTTATTGAAGTTTATGTGCCTGAAGATCAAACAAGACTTCTTCATTTTTCATGTCACATGCCATCAAGGCTCTTGTGAATTTTATGAACTTTTCGCCCATAAAATCTATGAAAGAAAAACACACGAATTTTATGCGTTAAACAAATAGACGAATATTTCCACGATGCTCAATCGATATTGAGACGCTAGAGAGGCATTTATTGATTGCACACACAGCACATGAATTTCGTGGTGATAACTCAGGGTGCGATTCATGAATGGGGGAGGAAAACAAGTCTCGATGCTTGCGAAGGAGAGCGACAAGAGGGAAATGTCGAGGAAAAGGCATTTTCATGAGTGTATTTATGTTGAGGAACTCTTTAAGGGGTGCCATCGAGCATAAATTCTCCATCCATAAAAAGCGCACAGTTCAGAGTAGAAATTCAGAGGCAGTTTTTGATTCTAATAATTCTAATTGAGGTTTTTGGCATGGAAAAAGCTTCAAAAGTATTCAACAAATGCAGCATTGTGCGATAAAATTTTTGCTTCATCACACAGAACAAATGAGAACGACTTTTAATAAGAAGCGCGCTAATTGCTGCAAAAATTAATTCCATTTCAAGTTAGAATTTTACGAGAGGAAATGACATCACAACACTTTTTTTTCTCATTCGCTCTTTCACATGCTAAATACCAATTCAATTACGTGCCTTTTCCTCTCCACAAGCGCGTGAAAAAAAAATCAAGCTCGAGCCCAGATGAAGGAAAAATATCATTTTATTACAGCGAGAAAGAGTGAAAAGATCATAAAAATTGATTTTCTCACGAATAGAAGAGGACTTCTTTTAATCCACTTCTTCCTGGGGAAGCGCGCAAAAGAGTGTCCCTTTTCCCGAGCACATATTAAATCGATAATCATACCAAAAATGTTGGATTTCGATAGAGAAATCCAAGAATAGAACTTCTCATCCTCAACTATTTTCGCCCCCTTCGCAAAATCCAACACAAATCAATTTGTATTTCCCTTCTGACTTGGTGTGCTTTTCTCACCGGAAAATTCTTGTGGTTTTCTCTCTCTCTCCCAATCTTTGTTGATATAAAACAGGCCGAAAGTGTGAAATTGTCTGGTCCATAAATAAATTCTCTTATAACAGTTTGTTTCTGAGTATGTAAATCAACTCTAGATGGTGGTTTTCTCTCCAATTGCTAAGAATAGCCAGAAATTGACAGACTTTCCCTCCATTTCACTTGACAAACAATGGTTATTGGTGAGATTTTCTGCCAATTCCGCCAATTTTCCCGTCTTTTCCACCCAAATTCACCCATGAATGCCATATAATTTTTCTCTTTATTACTGCAATTTCACCGTCTAACCACTGTTCTCTGTGGGAATTTCCACGTAAATAAAAATCATTATGTGGAGGTTAAAGATGTTCTACAACCTCTCCGAAATTCTCTCTGGACGCTTCAGAACCCCTGAAATTCTTCCGCACAACCACTTTTGGATGGATTTCTCAGTGTGAAAAGTGAGAGAACTGCGGCTAAAATATGTGTGTGATATTTTGTTTGTCTTGTGAATTTAATCGCGCTGGCTAAATTCGTGTGGATTACGTCATCGCGCGTCTCACAGTGACTACAAGTCTTCGCGTTCATCCAGAAGGAATTGCCGCAATTTACACACTGAGAGTGTCTTGATTCGGAATTGCCAGATGTTCGTCCGGGAAGTTGTGATTTCCGCATTGCCAAATGATCTTTTCTTTGGAATGTCTCCAAGAATCCTTGAAAGTGTGCCCACAATTTCTCCAAAAAGTCGATTTAACCATGCAAAAGAGCCTCTGAAATATCACTTCTTCGTGTTCTACTTCTTTGTTTTCATCTAACATCTCTTCTGGCTTGGACGTGAGAGACGAGAAAGACACGAAATTACAAATGCGAAGGTGAAAAGAGAAGAAGAGAGCATTTAGTAACTCGCGACTTTTGATTCTCTTTCTTCTGGGTTCTTCTCGACCATCGTTTTTTTTTTGCCCGTGAAATCCGGTTTTTTCGACTTTTCTATCATCATCTCTCTTCTTTTCCCCCCAAAAACACAATTTTGCGCTCTCCAGCAACACCGCGTTTCACAGGTTCGCATTCTGAAGTTTCTCATCTATTGAACACTGATAATTTTACTATCGATTCTCTTATCACATAAAGCTTTATCAACTGCGCGCTTTAACGGAGTTGCAGGTGGAAAAGAGAGTGCAAAGCTCTGATTTTCTTGTCGGTCGCACCATTTAAAATTCGCGGTCTCGGAAAAAGGGCGCCAAACGTGTGAAAGCCTGCCACACGCCATCTCGCTCCCCCGCCCAGAACCAGAAACTCCCCACACCTGAATAAATTAATCGCGCGCGAGTGAGACAGACTTATCGCCCTCAATTTGGTGCCCCAAAAGAGTTCAAGCGGGGTCAATTGACCGCCTCTCTCGCTCGCACCCATTTTGACTGTGCGACAGAGACGACACTAGCGGTGGAGTTTTCTGACCCACATTTTCCGACCCAAGGATCGCGTGATGTCCATTTGGAGCACACAGCGGAGCCTCCGGAGTGCTCAAATATCATGAATTTGCATGTTTTTCCTCTCATTTCCACGGCGATTGTGTGGAAAAATGACGAGAAAAACCCGCTTATGCCCTCTTTTTCACACTCACTGTGCCCCTCTGTGTGTCATCTCTCTCACACTCGTGGCCAGTGGCGAAGATGGCGCGTTTGTGTGTGTCGATGACGTTTCATGGGCGCCGTCCCGCGACAATTTTCTAGCGACTTTTGGGGTCATTTCACCCCCGAAAAACCACATTGAACCACTCATTTCCCCACTAAACACACTCAAAATCACCCCCACGAGCCATCCGTTCTGCACTTTCACCCTTCTATCGCGGAAAAACATTGGAAATCTTGTAGAAAATTGGGCGGATTCCTCAAACTTACCTGGAATTAGTTATTCGCAATTCAACGGTTGTGATCAATAATCCATGCAATGCATATGGAGAGTGTCACTGTAGAGTGTCTCCACTTGTCCCGTGAGGCACTCTTTTGGGGCACAACGGGGGCGCGTGAGCTCACAAGCCTTAAAACTGCGCACTGAAGAAAACACACGCAATCACTCCCAAAGTCACCACGAAACTGAAGATGAAGAGGAGCTCCGATGGTGGAAACTCTATGCTGCCGCCTAGGTGAAGCGGTGAGCACGCGAAACACTGTTTGTGGGGAAAACGCCTCGTAGACAATGTCGATTGTTGACGCAAAACATTGTCAAGAAAGGTCAACAATTACCTAAAACACTCGTTTTTCCTTTGCTATGACTATGAAAAAGATCCTTTATTTATTTTTCACGGCACCGCACATACAATAATGGTCCGCAGAGCGAAACTCTGACTTCTACGGTGCCTTTGGGAAGATGAAAATACATAAATATAATGAAATGAGAGGGGTAAACTCGTACACAAATATAATTCACTCTGGCTTCTTCAGCTCTTCGTACAGCGTCTGCAGGATTCGTATGCGGGCGCGTAGCTTCTGGCATCCGGATAACTGTGTCATGAATGGCATGAGGCTCATGAGGAACAGCTGGTCGTCGCGGTTGTTGCCGGACGAGTCGCAGTCTGCGTTGTTGAACTCCTGCAGCGACACCTCAGGCGGCGGCTGCGGGAAGTCGTCGAAGTGTGGATAGTGGGAGCCCGAGGACTGGCCCTCCTCGTCCGAGCTGAGCACCTGGACGTCCTCCTCCAGCTTCACATCATACTCAGGCTCGCAGTACGCGCCCTGGTAGCTCCTGTCGTACGTGACTGGTTTCCGCTTGAGGCGCTCCGCTCTGTCCCAGTCGATGTGTTGAATGAGGAAGCGCATCGGCTCGAATTCGTCCAGCTGAATGTCATCGGCAATGGGGCCGCCGCCGTAGTGCGCTCTGAGGCGATTCCGGAACTTCTTGCGCAGGAAAGCCCATCGACTTTTCAGCTTGTGCTCTGAGTATTTATGCTTGATGCTGAGCTCCTTCCAGGCCTCGATCTTGCCCGAAATGTTGTCCTTCGATGGCGTGGAGAACTCCTTGGCGTACAACACAGGACGGCTCTCGATGTCCAGCAACACCTCTTGATCCTTAGAGGATATCATATCGCGCGATGTGGCTGGCAATCACTCAGCAGATAACACGAAAAACACTTTCACCAACTCCATTGACCTCCATTGACAACCAGCCACATTCACCACCTTGACCGCTGCACACCACAAACTCACCATCGACGCCATATTGGCAATTGGAGGTGTTCCGGACATCGCGTCAGATCGTCGTGCAAATTCAGCTGCATTTATTTGGTACTTTCCGCAGATCAGGAAGCTCAGGTGAACGAGAAAATGGGTGTTGACGTTATTCCAATTTCCGGTGGAGATGGTGAGTGTGGGGAAATTGTGTATTTCCACTGAAAATCCAGTGCAAAGATTTGGGTGCGGATTCCACACGGCGAAGCTCCTCAAGAGTCGTCCTTCTGTGCCTATAATTGCCTAATTAAATATTCAAAATGTGCGCAAACACTCTGAGAATTGACTGTGCTGCGAAATAATGTGATTGCTCAGTGATTGGGAGGGTATTTGAGCGGGTGGAAAATGCCTAGAAACTCCTCACCTGTTCCGCTGATTGGAAGCCATAACGGCACATCTCTCTATTGGATTTCCACTGATAGCACATCGGATTCCGTAATCTTTTGACCTTTGTGACACTCTTTGCACTTGAAATTCTGTAAAAATCTCCAAACAAATCTCGATAACCAGTGAAGCGTAACAGAATTCGCTGAAAATTGAAGGATACGGAAAATTGATTTCCTCGCACTTTTATGCGCTATGTTGTCATGTGAAAGACGTGGAGATCTTGGAGAAATTGCAAATATCACAATAGCTGACGAAGCTGGCGGTTTCTCTTGCAGATTGAATGTTTACCCCACAAATTGCCCTTCTCTGGCAATCAATATACATTCAATTATAAATTTCTTCCAACAGAGCAATTTCCATTCTCTCTCTGTTCTATAAATAAGTCTCTGCATTGGGAGAATAAAAAACGGACTAAAATAAGGTCAATTCCGAGGTAGATTCGGTAGATTTGGATCAATTTAAAGGATTTCCAGACTTCCTGGGCTCTCGTGTTAGGAACATGTAATTTTTCTGAGTCTCTCTTCTTGCGCAGGAAGCACATTCCCGAAGAATGGCCAGACGGCGGTGGTGCACTACACGGGCACGCTGCAGAACGGTGAGGTGTTCGACTCGTCGCGGACCCGCGGCAAGCCCTTCAAGTTCACCGTGGGCCAGGGCGAGGTGATTCGCGGCTGGGACGAGGGCGTGCCGCAAATGTCCGTGGGACAGCGCGCCAAGCTCGTGTGCTCGCCGGACTACGCGTACGGCAGCCGTGGGCATCCGGGCGTGATCCCGCCCAATGCCACGCTCACGTTCGACGTGGAGCTGCTGCGGGTGGAGTAAAGAGAGATGCGCACAGCTGCCGAGAAGGGCGTCTTCCTGGAGAGGCGCGCGCCCCACGTTAGCCAAGTTAAGATCCAATTGAGCAGTATACCCAAATCGACAATCCTCCACACACAGCTCTTCCCCCATCCTCAGCCACCAGTCACCGCAATCCTGACCGAGGATCATCCCTCACGGCATCCGCACGTCTTTTGGACTCTTTACTTAATGCATTTTACCCGGGAAACGTCGAGAACGGGGAAGAGAAATGTTCAAATTGCTAAATAAATTGTGTGAAACTCTTCAATATGAACCCAGATTTGACTTTTTATTACATCGTCAATCATTAACATGGTTTTGTCAGCGCAAATAGAAGCTTGTGGAATGCAACAACAAACGGAAATCCTCTGGACTAGTATTCTAACAGCCACCGATTAAGCATCACTCGCTGGATTCGCTCTCTAGAAGAAGAACAGCTCTGGGAAGGCTTCCTCGTAGATCTTCTTCTGTCCTCCGGGCGCCGCTTTGCCCTCATTCTGAGCAATCTGCCGCTCATTCGTCAGCGACGTGAACAACTCGTTGAGCTTGTTCTGGATGGCGTCGTGACGCGTCTCGGAGCGCCTAACCAGCTCGTCGAAGTTCGCCTCGCGGAAGTACTTGGCCATGTGCGCCTTGCGCTCTTTCGCCTCGCGCTTGGCGCTGTCCGAGGACTCGGCCAGCAGTCGCTTCATCGCCTCGAAGTTCAGCTCAGCCGGCAGCGCGCGACGCTGAACATCGGGTGAGCTCGTCACGCTGTCGGCGTCATTGAAGGCACCCAAGTCGGGATTGCTGGCGGCACGCGTGGCCTCCACCCAGGACGGCCGGTGGGCAAAGGTGTCCTCCTGGTGAATTGCGAACGGCTCACCCGTCTGCACGCGTGAGAACTCCAAACCAGCCAGCTGTAGCGCCTCGGCGAGCGCCAGCTTGTCCATCAGCAGATGCGGAAGATTTGTGGTCAGCTGATCCAGTGAGAAGGAAGGATCGTCCAGCGGCGGAAGCATATGCCGCGCCTCCTCCTTGCGCGCCTCAATTATCTGGAAAGAGGAGAAGATGATTTGAATTCATCCTAATATCTGGAGCATCTCTCATACCTTGTCGCAGTACTCCATCAGCGTGTTGACGCCTGTGCACCTGGCCAGCAGCGCCAGGAGCGCCACCGCGATGGAGTGCAGATTGGCCCTGTGGGAGGCGCTGAGCCCCTCCGTGTCCGTGGCGCTCACCTGCACGCCCATCACAAAGAGAAGGAACTCCTGCAGCGTGTCGCCACACGCCGTCTCCACCACCAGCAGCGCTGCGGCGTTGTAGGCCGCCGTGAGGGAGTCCAATCGCTCGTCCAGCGACAGCGCGTCCACCAGGGCGCGCATCACATTGCCGCCGTACTTGTGCATGAAGAGAATGTCCGCCCTGGACGGCGACTCCAGCGAGAGCGCCGTGTACGTTCTGGCCGAGACGACGTGCAGCACGGCCTGATTTTGGTGTCTGTCCAGCAGCGCCTGCAGGATCTGCATCACGATGATGCGCGTGGGCGCGTGCGTGGAGCGCGCCATGCGGAGCAGAGGCTGCAGGAAGGACACCGGGAAGGCCTTCTCGTACGACACCGTGCGATACTGCATGCCCACTTTCAGCAGACTCTTCAGCAGGATGTTCTGCAGCATCTGGTCTGCGTGGCTCTTCTTCGACAGATCCGGCACGGTGTTCATGATGAACAGCATGATCTCGATCTTCTGGTAGTCGGGATGGTGATTGGCGAACTCTCCCAGAGCGTTGATCAGCGCCTCCTGGTAGTGCGCTTCCTCGGGCGGCGGATCCTCGCTGGTGCCCACGCTGGTCCGCAGGTGCGTCAGCAGATTGTTGATGATGTCCAGAGCGGACGGCCCAACGCTCTCACCCGCCGCAATGGCGATGATCTTCGACAGCACGACAGCCAGCGACGTGCGCGTCTTCGGCGAGGACAGCAGATTCGTGTCCAGATGCTGCATCAGAATCTCCACCACCGTGTAGGAATACTGCGGCTGAATGGACAGCATCACGATGCGGAAGGTGTGAATGGCGAACTGGTTCGGCACCCACAACTCGTGTCTGTCCAGGTGCGTCAGCAGCGGCTTCAGCACACTCCGGATGTGCGCGAAGGAAGCGCGACTGACGAGCTCTCGCAGCACGGCCTCTGCCAGTTCCGGCGGCGACGAAGGCGTGGCCTCCTCGATGGAGCGCAGCGGCCCGGACTGCATGTTGAAGAGCAGCGAGGGTACAATCTTGTCCATGTGCTGCTTCTCCCAGATGTTCTCCACCAGATCGTCAGACACAGTCTTCCGGATGACGCCCTGAAGCCCCTTGATGCCCGCCATGCGGATGCTGTCGCGCAGCTCGATATTGTCATGATTGCCGTGACACATGGAGGAGAACTTGGAGATGAAGAAGTCATAGCGACGATGGTAGGATGGCGTGTCCTCCTCAATGTTGGCGAATCTCACGAAGGAGTTCGTCGCCATTATCTGCAGATTCGCATTCGTGTCCTCCAGGAGCTTCTGCACCATCTTCAGAAATGACTCCACGAAGAGATTCAACGTCTGCACGTGACACGCCATCAGCAGAAGGTCCATTGCCTCCATGGCGATCTCCACAAGCCTGCAAACATCACAAAACACCTCATTGCAATCCCTTCCGGAAGGTAAATTCTCTAAAACACTCACTTGTATCGCTTCCTGTGGATGTCCTTCGCCGCCTTCGAGTACAGATACTCTCCGATCCTGTCCAACTTCTCGGGAGAGCTCAGTGAGTAGAACGTGAGCTTCTCCATGTTAGATTTCACTAAGCCATCCTCCGGATTCACGGGAAAGATGTTGTCCACCAAGCGCTTGTATCGAGGACGAAGCGCCGAGCAACAGCCACAGCAGCCTGGGAAACACAGTAAATGTGAGTTTTTACAATGGGAGACATTCTCAGGAATGAGGAGGATCTACCCAGCATGGTTTTAGCTGCAAAAACAAGGGAGGAAGATACTTTTTCTGGGGTTTTCTGCACAGAGAAAAAAATCCCCAATCACACTGACAGTCATGAAAATATCACACAACCTCACATTCCCATTCAAGGGCTTTTTCGAAGAATACATGCGAAATTTGGTGTAAGTTATTAAATTTACTGAAATTCTAGAGTTCATTGAGATGTTTTTCCAGGGAAATCACGCTTATTTTCCACCAAGAAAGCTGAAAACAATAAATGATGTCTATCGAAATTTCCGCAAGGTGGCGTGAGAGAAATTCACCACTTCGATTGTCAACGCCAATTTGACAAGAGCATTTTTTGTTGGCTTGTTGCGAAGCGAAATTTTTCACCCGAGGCGGAGGTGTTGGGTAAAAGCCCAAAAATCCCATCTGAGAGTGCAAAAGAGTGGACAGAGAGTCGCCCAGGCGATTCGCCAGACACAAATGGAGACGACAAATCGTACAAATCAACTCCACAACACGAATAGCACGGATCTGTTCACCTTAGAGTTAAGCAGTAGCAGTGATGATGAACGCGATGAGGTTGAGGAGTTTGGAAAGTGAGTATTTTGCGCTTTTTACGGCAATGCTGGTGTTTGCCTGTTTGCAAAAGGAAACTTAAAGGAATATAGGTGAAATTCCATGCTGATTTGGAGAATGTAGTGAGAGATTTTGGGCATGAGAATCGGCTTCCTTGTCCTCAATTCGAGAGTCGCCATTGTTGGTTTGTTTATCACTGTTCTCTATGATTTTCCCTCTAAAACAGTATCTAATATCCTCCAATGTTCACTGCAATCTCCAAAAACTCTCCTCATAGCACAATATCTTGGTAATCCAGCTGGGATTAGGGCGAAAAGTGTCTGAATTCGGATTTCTCTGCAGATCTGCTTCCAAAGTCGACAGTGGAAACCCGTCAAATGGCCCGAAAAAGTGTGAAGAGTGCGGCATGTCCTTCGATCTCTATCAAACCCTTCAATTGCACATCCTCAATGTACATCGAATAGACCGCGGCGCGGCGTTCAATAGCAGCGAAGAGGAGGCAGCCGAGGAGAGCGACGATCCGGTTGCAGAGGAGACGGACGAGCCCATTAACGTGGTCAGCTGCGATCCGGACGAGGTGCCGGACCCGAAGCCCTTCAAATGCACCCAATGCACAAAATGCTTCATGATTGCCAAACATCTCGAGATGCATATGCAGGTGAGGCGCCAAATTGTGCTGCAAAGCCATCGAACTTTGCCCAAAAGACGTCCTTAGATTTTGGTCACCATCAAAAATATGCACATATTTAACACTGAGATTTTGGAGTCACTTTGACCTTTGGCGCTGCGATTCAATTCTATATTACGTGTTGCGACATTCACATGGGTTTTTGGCTTTCAGGTGCACGAGCTGAAGCAGAAGACGGAGGCGGCTTACAGGGGCGCCGCGGCGCTGAGGGGCGGCGCGTACGAGTGCCGATTCTGCCATGCGATGCACCGGAGCGCTTCGGGGCTGCGGGCGCACGAGCGGCGCCACCAGAGGGCGAGTCAGGGTGCGGAGAAGAAACTCAAGATTCCGCCCAAGAAGAGACGGGGCCGCTCAAGTCGCCGTGAGGCGCCCAAGTCACCGGAGATTCGCGTCCATGAGGACGACGAGGACGAGGATCTGGACGACAAGGAGTCGGACGAGTGGAGCAATGAGGACTAGGGAGACTCACACATAAACACACACGACAAATTCACACTTACATCCGGGAGCAGTGCATCGCTGGGCGGCGGAATCGAGGAATTCCGGCAGCTCGATGGGTTCGAAGCAACATTTTATCATAGAAGACATCTCTTTAATTTCCTTTCCACCCTTTTATCACGAGAACTCTTTCACTTTAGGGACACACACACACAATCACGAATAATCACGAAGGAAGTCACGGTTTACTTTGTTGATGTATAATTCTTGTGAGAGACTTTTTTATTTTTGATATATTGATATGAATGTATATTTTTTGATAGGTCAGAGAATTTTCGCTTAAAGAAAATGTCAAGTTTAATTGTGTAATTTTTGTGCCTCTGAAGAAGGGGATTTGCACGATATTATGTTGGGAAGAAAGAGAGAGAGAGAAACGGAAGGAGAAAACTTAATGCTGAAAAGTGGCAATTTTCTCTATGTCTTCTTTATTAATTTCTTATTTTAGAACAATGTGATTGCGAGAAAAATTTACATTTAGAGAGAGAGAGAGAATTATGATTAAATATAGTGAGAAGAGAGAACAAAATCAGAAGAGGAGAAATTTGTGGAAAATAAACAATTAATAGTGAATGAAATTGCTATTGATTCTTTGTGGATATTTTTGCTTTTCTCAACATGAGAGCCTTTTCGTAGCGATAGTTTCTATTCTGGGAGGAAAATGGATTGCAGGCAGAAGAATGGTGAGTATAATAATTGGAGTGGATACAAATACTTGTGATTTCTTCAATAGAAATACAAACACGAAGACAAGAGTTTCTGCAATCCTGCACAAGAAAATTTACTCAATAGAGAATTTCCACTTGAGAATCAAATCAATGACGAATTATTTGTGAAATTGCCGTTCTTATTCTATCAATCACATAAAATCCCTTTTCAAACTCTCACTTTCTCCGCTCTCACAGTGTGTGCACGGATTTCCGCGAACTGATGAACCCCTCGACGTGGGGATGACGGCAGAAAGTGCCACCCAAGTGTTGTTCTCTTTTTTTCACTTTCACCCTCGGCAATTTAGGCACGATGTGAAAATCAATCACACATGCGAACTTCGCGTCACACCGTCCGGACTGTCGGCCGCCCCCTTTTGGGGCTCGCGGGGCGCGATTTGAACACTGACCCAGAATGCTGGACCACGACGCGCGCGAGGAGACTCCACGAGGCTGTGGCTGAATGGGCAAGAGTGGCTGTGCTCAATGAACGCGGAAGAGGAGCCTCCGTCTCGCGAGGCCTGCGCACTGCCTTTCTGGGTCAATGCTAATGCTATTTTTTCGTATTTTCCTCACACGGGGCCGAGTAGTGGCAGGAGCGATGACTTCCGGGCCAGGGAGGCGCGCGGGGGTGGAGCGAGGGTGGCTCTCTAGGGCTTCCGCTGAGGACTTAATCTATGCGGAGCGCAGTTGGGGTGTCGTGAAGCTTCCTTAACCCTCAAGTAGTGGCGGAAAAATCTCATGAATTTCACTCTTCAACAAGTTATTCCACTGATTAGGAACTACCGATGTTAAAATGGTAATTTTTAAATAATTAGCAATTGTGAATTTGTGGGTCTAGAAATTGTACATAGATGAATGAAAAGCACTTGGGAAAAATGTGAAAAAGTCATCTTTTGCTGGTATCGAAATTGCGTCTGTTCAAGTAAAGGGTTGTCGCGCAAAGTAATTTCTCATCAACCATGTAATGAGCGACTCATTATGTGTGTGATTAGAACAATTTGAGCTATTTCCAGGGAAATCTCTAATGATCAAAATTCCACACTAATTTCAGCTGGATCAGATCCAGAAGCCAACACTAAAAAGTCCGCTTAGGAGTGGAGCAATGAGGAATTTAATGAATTTTTCGCATGTACGGATATTCTAAGCAAATTGAAGCTGGTGAATCGATGTGAAGAGAGCGATCACATCTCTTGTGTGTGTGGCTTCGGCGATTAAAGAATGGCTGGTAATAGCTATTAAATTGTAGTTAGAAGATCACCCTTTTTTCAGCCTCCGATGGCAATCTCCCAACCATTTGTGTGTCTCTGGTTCTCTGTGATCCTCCTCCTCCTCCTCAGCATGCCATTATCTCGCTTCAATCGTCGGCCAAGATGTTGTTTCCCTCCGTTTCGCTTTCATTGATAATTTAATGACAATTTTCGCTCTTGCGCGCCAGTGGGAAAAATTATGAATTGCGCCCCGATCGGATGGGAAAAGTAAGTAAAATTTATCGTTTTTCAGTGCAAATATAATAAGATGAAATGGTGAGTGGTGGTTAAAATACGATCAATCATATGGTAAATGGGAAGAGAATCTTCCTCTGATCGGCTCTTTGCCATTGAGGAATGAGAAAATGCGGAGAATGTTAGAGAATTGAGGAGAATTATGGCAAAGATCGGCGAATTTGAATCAAAAGGGGGAGTTTTTTTTCTTTCTTATTCTTAATGATCATCTCGAGAGAAACTGCACAGCCTCGAGAATTGAAGGTGTTGAAAATCAGGTCGAAAATCTATCGATCGAGTGATCTTCAGGTCAAGATCATGCGGCAAAGAGATCATTCGCGAGCCGTGATGCTACTAATGTAATATTGGGCAACACTATGAAGTGTGTCAGTGATGATCGAGGCGATTGCCCATAAAAGACAAACACACTGCGGCTAATGTACCTGGTCAGCTTGCTTATGAAGAATTGCACCATCTTCCAGCAGCGATCGCCCACCTGATCTTCACAAGGGGACGATATTATGGTCGAATGTTGTGTACAGCTCATCAGAAGTGTTCAAATTTCAATATTTCAATCACATTTTTGGGTTATGATCAAAAGTAAGAAGCACGAAAAAGGGTTTTAAGAAATTGAAGTGTTTGGAGTGTCAGAGATTTGTCAAACAAATTTAGAAATGGTGTACATCTTTGGGGCGAATTATTTCCCCCTTGGATCTTCAGTGCTGTGGATTCAGTTTGCAGATCTGCAGGAGATCGCACAGGATTTTGTCAAACTCCGTGATCTTCTGCATGGTGATCATTTTTCCCAGCAAAGACTCGTCTTAAGTGGGTTCAAATCCTATTGAAGATCACTCAATTTTGAGCATTTTGGTTACACGCGAGACCTACGCAAATTTTGCCATCTCTCTCAAGAGAGAATGGCAGAAAAACTGGGAGGCAAGAGATGTGCAAGAGGCAGAGGCAAAGAAAAGATCGCACTGTGATTAATCACTGTGAGAGTAAAAAGTCGACAATTGCAGTGAGAGAGACAATTGAACATGTTTTAGTGTCTCGTTAATGACTTCATAATTGTTGCAGGACGCGCGTTGTGAATAGTTAGGGCGCTTTTCACCCATGCGAGGATCGACTGAGGATCGTTAATTTAATGGCACAATCTCAGACTCGCGAGAGATTAAAGCTTCCTCCATTAGTGTGATCTTCCCGGCGAAAATGCTACATGAAAAGTGCATTTTCTTTCATTTGACTCTCTGTTCGTGCGATGATGGAAAAATTACGATGTTCTCTGGATCACCACAAAAATTTCGCCAAGTGTTGAAAAGGCGCCAAAAGTTTGTGCGGCAAAAAGTGTATGGAAATTAAGGGTTTCTGCAGCGCCAACAAATCATTTCGCTTTTCAGACGAAAACACACATAAAATGAATCGCGAATTATGTATATTTTTATGGCGCGTCTCTTGATGAGTTCATTACGAAGGGATCGAAGGCACTTTTTTGCCCATAAAGACATAACAAGGACACGCTTGGGCTCCTAAACTTGATGAAATGTGTGCGCGCTCTCCTCATTTGAGAGCATTCCTCAGACTTTCGTCTCTTTGGCGATTCTGTGGCGAGAAATCGACAAAAGAGAGAAGAGATGTGCAAAAAGAGAAATATAGAAAAGAAGAAGAGACCTGAGAATCTGATATCAGTAGAGAATCAGAATTCCTAGAAATAATAAAGTTTTATCCGGCGTTTCTTGTTGATATTATGCCCTCTTCGCGCTCCCCTCTCGCCAGCCATGCCAATTCTATATGCCCTTCTCTCAGGTGGAGCGAGTGAGAGTGCAATAAAATTATTATTTATTCATTGTTACGTGTGTTTTCACAAGGGAAAACAACCATCATGAGATCACCTGAGGGCTTCCCTTTTTGCCCCTTTTCTGCCGGAGCAGCAAAAAGGGACGCGAATATTGGTTAGAATTCACGCAATTCTAATTATGGGCGTGGCTTGAGAGGGGGCGGGGCCTCCGTCAAACAAATTAAACTCAAAATATATCTGTTCATGTTGATTTTGATACGGAAACACTACGGAAACTCGAAATATTTTTATTTCCCAATATTACATTTTCTTCTTTTCCGCACACTTTACTTGTGATTTTTTTTTAATGAGACGCACCATCGCAGCCTTCGTGATAAGTTTATTATGCAAGTATGGATGAAATGATGAGAAATGTATTTGTGTGGCAAATATGAAAGAGAGACTTTTTTGATGATAAAAACACATGAAAGACAAATATGAGGAGAAAAACCATTCTGGGAACTCTTTTAAACTCGTGGGCACAAGGACAGTTGGTAAAAAACAGCGTAAATATTCAGCGGTTTTGCAAGTGGGACAGAAATTTTAAAGACACACAACTCTACGCTGAAGATCACTCGAGATCGCGATCTCTGGTCTCCTCCAGAGATATCTCGCCATAGGTTTGACGCTCATGCTTAGATTGTGATTGGGTTCCTGGATATTTCTTGCATTTCTGTGCTAATCCCAAAATTCAAGATCACACAGAGATCGCGCATTTGAGGCTCTTCGGATTTTGAAAACAGTTCTTCTGCACACTCTGCACTCTCTCTACTGGCTCAGAGCAAGTTCATATGGCGTTTAATGTGGAGAATTGTGAACAATAATCACCGGCTGCCAGGTTAACACATGCCAAAGTGGCTCTGATCACAAAAGCTGGCGCTCAGCGGAATTTTCATCTCTGTGTACGTGAGTGCTTGTGTGGGGCGACTCGAAGTGGGATCACTTGGGGCCTCCGATCGCCATCAATTGCGCAGTCGCGATCGAGTCGCGGTTTCGCGAAGACGTTGATCAGCACGCAGTCTCAAGTGGTCTTCATCACACTCTCAAGCAAACGACACGACAGTTCAGCATCCGACCAGTGGCTAAAACACTTGCTAATAAAGTTTCTTCTAACTAAATGCCCACTTTTTTCTGGCGAAGTGATCCTCGAGTGATCTTCGAGTGCCATGATCGCCCAGTGAGTGATCTTTCGGTGAACTTTGTGTGATCTTTTCGCGCAGTATGGATTCTGGGGGAGTGAAGTAGAGAAAAAAAGCCACATAGAGCAAAAGTGAATGGTCAGGCATTTTTTCTTGATACTTCCTTCTAAAACTTGCACTGATCCCATTACCAGTGACCATAAGTGATCGTGGCATTCACAAAATTGCAGAGTGAGAGCCAATACTTAATCACAAGTTGCGAAATAACCTATTGGTAAGTTGAGATCGCCAGCCAAGTATCTCTGTATCATCACTAAACACGTCTCTAATGATCCTCCTAACGATCTGCCCTCCTTAACGATCTTAACGATCATCACTTGAGCGCTTGATCACGTCTAATCCTGTGAAACTTCCAATTAACGAAGTGCAAGTGTTGCACAGGGACGCCCATACAAAGTGCAACGATCGCTCAATATATCTGCAAAATTGCGGCGACTCTCTATAGTGACAAAATAATATTGTGCAACTCCTTTGGCATCTGGAGTGAAAATGAGTCTGAGAAAGTTTCGTGAGACCAGATTGGACCGCGAGAGCGCAAGAGTAGCCAAATTTGGCCAGTAGAACCTTGGCTGGATGCTCCATAAAAGGCTCTGTCCTCATAATTGAAGGCGATCTTGGCGTGATCGTGTGCAAAATTGCAAATACTTGTGTATTAACTCTCTGGCAAAAGCTTCTTTCGTGAGAACTCGAAGGACTGTTGCGGGCAAAAAGTGTGGTGTGGATCTTCAAAGAAATGACCAAATGACATCACTTTTCACACCTTTTTTTCTCTCCCCACTGTCTTGGCATTCTAATGGGAAAATTAAACCTTAATGTATCTTTTTACTCCTCATCCATGTCTCTTCAGGTTTTCCACGGGCAGTTATTAATTTTTTTACTGCTCCTAATTCACTCTCACACATTGTTGAGAATATTCACACCTGCAAAGAGGCTCAGCTAATGAAAATTGCGCGCGCCCCACGAGGAAGTGTTGTTCGTCCTAAAGAGGCCCGCGAGCTTCAAAGCAGCGCAATCCACAAAGAGTTGTCAATCAACCTCTTTGCCTCACATTTAATTGATTAATCAACAGTGAAGTGAAGTGAGAGAGATTTTGAGATCTCAAATTGACTTATCATGAAAATTGAATTCCAGAGGCATCGTCTTTGTCCCTAGGATTCCTCCGTTTTCTAATTCTTCTGCTGCTTTTTGTATGGCCAGAATCTTCTTGATTTCTTATTGTGACGATGAAAGAAAGAGTGAGTCTCAAATTAATGATATATTTTTCTCATCATTCCACTCAAGAGGAAGTGGTGAGGGTTCAACAAAAAAGTCCGTAGAAACATCTTCGATAAATTCAGAAAAATTACATGAGATTTTTTCCCTTTTGAGACACAACAGAGTTGATAAGTAATAGAGAGGTTGTTCATAGATAGAGGATTGAAACGGGGGAAGATTCATAAACTTGCTTAACAGAGACGAAGGGAATTTTGGGAAATGAATTGACTCTTTAGATTTCTAATGTTTGTCATTTATTTCAAATTCCTCTGTTAGATGTGAATTAATTAGAATCACCTTTCATCATTGGGAATTCATTTCCCTTTACCGCATTTATCTACAATCTTCTCAACTCTTCGCCCGTGGAGTAATTGAAAAAGATCTTGTAGAGACGCACAAAAATCACCGTGGCAAGATTAAAAATTGGCGCGAAAAAAGTCTCTCCGCGCGCAGAACCTTTTGGACAAACACATATTTCCGGGAATGACCTTCTCTGGGATAATTTATGGTCTTTTGAAGGGGAAGATCATTAGGATGAGATTCATCAATAATCGCGGGGGTCTCGCGCATTTTGTTGACTTTGCCCAGAGAGATTATCGCGGTTGTCGATGTCTTTTTGCCACATGCGGCAAACTTTTTGGCCAATTTCCAGGCCTCTTCACCACGAGACCCAATTCTCATCGCAGTGTCTTGAGAATTCCGCGCATGGCGCGTCCTTGGGAGCAAACAGCGCCCAAAATAAGAGATAAAAGCCGTACGAAGAGAAGGCGCGAGAAAACGAGATCATGAGCTCAGAAAACAGCCACGAAATGTCGATGCAAGAGGCAGATATTGGACGTGAATTGCAGGTCGGGAAGGGCAGGTTACTTTTGCAGGTGGGTGTGGAGTTTTCACGTGAAAAGCAACAGCTCACGAAATCCCGCGCGCGGTTCTTTTCCACCCGGATTCGGAGTTGTGTGTGCGGCTTTAAGCCAATTACTCGCCAAATTTGCCGCCCAATTTGCATCCCCGCCGCTGACCTCAAGATCGCGATCAAGGACGCATAATTGATTGAGTGGATTTCCTGATGGGATTTCATGCCATTTCATGCGATTCCAGAAGGGATAAATTACCAATTATGACGGTGAAAGATTTAACGACCACTTGAGGAATTTGACGATGTGCACCTGTTGGCTGACATGATATAAAGTTCCATGTGTTTATGATAATTCGCCTCATAAATTGATGTTTATACGTTGTAAAGTGATATCAATTGAATGATTCCGCGGCCGCTCCAAAGGGTCTCGGCCGCTCATTTCTCGTGCAGATGATTAAGAAGGAAGAGGAGAGATAAAGTGCAGAGCCAGTGAGAAATTAGATGGAGCAAATCATTTGATTACTTGCAACTATTTATTCTCCCTTTCGTGATATTAATGATCCTTCACCTTTTTAATTGCCTACGCCGAGCCGTCCCTCTTTTCTCGCCACGGCGACAGTGAAGAATGCTGTGCGAGAATTCAGAAATTGATCAATCATGATGCTCCAGAAGAGCCATTGACCCGCGCCCAAGAGACACTTTTCCTCTCATTTTTCCAACCCGGAAACTCCCACCCAGCGAAATCACCAGCGAGACATTCGAAATATTTATGTAACGCGCAGACAAAAAGTACAATCTCTTGTGATGTGTTTCTCTCATTTTCTTGGCGTGTTAATGAGGTTGTTTTTAAAGAAATTGAGCCAATTGTTAAAATCAGCGGAAGGGAATTTCATTTCATCTTCAATTGTAGACACAATTTCATCTGCTTAGCATTTCAAATGGCCAATTTGCTGCTGAATCGTGCCTTTGGCAATTAAAATTGGCCATTTCGGGGCGATTCAGTGGATGAATTTTGAGTCTAACTTGAAAGACAATGTTTGCAGATTTTCCGGAAAAGTCGTGTTGGAGAAATTTGCTTTCAAACATTAAAATGTTGAAATGGGGTTGGAAATTAATATGTTTCAGGCTTAATTTTCTGTGTTGGCGGATTAATTTTGTCTGCTTCTGAAGAAATTGAAAGATAATATTATTCTATTCACTACAGAGCCCATGAATTCTGTTCACTTTTCTCACTCATGCGTAAAATACATCTGCAAAATACTTAACTTTTGGAACACTTCTAAAAATGCGACTTTAGCACAATTTCCAGTGCTTGAACGAATTTCAGTGTCACATAATAAATTGAACAGAATAAAATTGTCTTTTATTTGCACTTGAGATGATCAAAATCTATCAACAAATACCGAAGATATGAGTTTTGATTTTCATAGGTAAAAATTATCCATACATTTGTAAAGCTTCAACATTTGAGCATTTCTTCCTCTCGCCATTCTGCTCTCCTTCTATATTCGCTTTTTGGTATTTCCTTAGATCTCGCGACGACCATGTTGAACATGATTTCGCAATTATTATTTGCTATATGACCTCTCACCATCCCAAAGTCTATAAAATTGTTATACAACCACTTCATTCTGGACGGTGAGCATCGTGTGGACCTCAGCAATTGCACTCCGCGCTGCTTCGGATTTATGGGTGGGATAAATTGAGAAATGTGTACTCGAGAAACTCACCTGTTGGCCGGGCTGTTTGTCCAGCATCTGCGCGCGCGCGATTTCTGCCTCCAACAAGGATTAATTGACCCAGAAAGTCCACTCGCTGGTCATCGCAAAAAAGCCCGTCTTTGAGTCAGAAGCTGAAGAATCAGCAGGAATCTTTCAAAACAACTGATTTGACTGTGTCAAAATAACTTTTTGATTGAGGTTCGTCGCTTGTTGAAGTCTTTTGTTCATCCTCTTTTTGCGCCACACATTCGTGTTCGTCTTGTTTTTTTTTGCTTGGGAAGAGTTGAGAAAATTATATGAGTCATATTTCAGTGAGCTTTCGCGCACAGCATTTCACGAAGGAATTTCATCGTTATTCTTTTCTTTTGTCCTTCTTTCACCCGAATTCTTGTGGAATTTCTTCCTGAACATAAATTCGCATGTGGAATCAAATTACCGCGTGCAATGCCCAAAATTTACAACTCTATTACATTCCATGCGAGAGAATCTTCCCGCTGTGCTGAAAAGGCGCTGCAAAAGTCTCTCGTCAATTCGGGTGAATTTATTTGGCGCGCATGCAAAGAAGGTCAGAAGACAATCGTGGCCAGTGTTGGGCGAGGGAGACATTGTCAAATGTTTGTTCTTGCTGGCTCTCGGCAGCCATAAATCTCTGCGAGAGGCTCAGATTCTTGCCTCCTCGTGAGTGTCACCTTTCTCACCTCGCAGCTTCTTCAATTTATTGCCAAATCGTGTGTGCTTAACTGTAAAAGTGAGTGAAGTCATGATGGCAATTTTGTCCAGATGATAAATCACGAGACCTCCAAAATCGCGTCCTTTGGCGGCGCCAACTCTTGACCCAAATAACACCCACCAGCCAACCCATCCAGCTGCAATTGTTCCCTCACTGCACCCGAACTATGGGAGAAACAGGTGACTCTTGAGCCAACAAGGAAGTGATTTTGACGGCGAACGGTTCAATTTAGCCGCTCAATCGTGTCACGAAGTGCTTCAGCCTCCGAACAATGCACAGGCGCGCAATTTCAGTTCTCAATCTCTATTCCATACCTTGTAGGTCACGAATGTGCTCGAGTTTGTACAATTTTGCGTCTTTGTCTCGCGATATCGAGCCATTTCTACCACATTTTATGCACCATTTTGCTCAACAAATCAATTGGTGTGCTCTTTCAAGTCAATTGAGTGCACTTTCAGCGGCATTTCTTGCCATTCGCCGTGCCAAGGAAAGGTTGCTGACACAATTGGCAGTTGATTTTCGAGGAAGATTTGAATTTGCTGGTTTAAAATCAGAAGCACAGAGTGAGGACAGGATGACGAAGAGTGTTTTTAAGCCAAAGTAATCTTATAAAATTTGTGGATTCCTAAATTTACCCTTTGACAAAGCTTATCTGAACTTGGTCAGACATTTCTTACAGAATTCTTCAGAGTTCTAAGACTTATGCATTGAATTTCTGAAGAATATCAGACGACATATTCAAAGATAATTGAATCTGATGGATTTTGAAAGATTTAATGAATAAAATTCAGAAGAAACATGTTCAATGCCAAAACTTAGTCTAAATCTTCTAGTGAATTTCATTGGAAGACAGTGAGACACACCGGAAATGTCTCCCATTTGTTCTGCTAAGTAAATCACAACACTCACTTAATGAGATTCCATACAGTGTCTTGTGGATTAACTACGCCTCTGCGATGTGTAACAAGAAATTTCGTCACCCAACTTATCTTCTGCACTCAATGACTTCATTTCCCATCGGAGAGTCGTAAAAATGTGCGAATGCGACGCATAAATAGAGATTGCGTGAAGAAGGTGAGAAAAAGTCACACAGAGATCGTCACAGAAGAGATGGTGAGAGTCGCAGCAGTGTTTCCTGGGCACGTGGGCTGGCAAAAATTGCAGATTGGCAAATGAATCACCTGGTGCGAGGCCGATTGAGGCTGATTCTTGCACCGCGAGAACCAATTTCGTCGCGGCGATGACGCAAGCAATGGCAGGCGAATTGGCTGAGGGAGGCCTGAAAGAACCATCGTGGGTGTGACTCTCAAAATTGCCCCGTGCAGAGGTCAATGTTGGCCAAAGGAATTAATTGCTGTGCATTGAGGTCATTTATAGATCTCCTCATTTGAAATATCACAGCCAAAATGCACGAAATTGAGTCTTTCAAACCATTTTTGCACCCAAAACACAATAAAAGTTGATTTATCGCGCATCTTGCGGTGCTTTTTATCACCATTGTTGGCAATTTGAGACGCGCTCGCGAGAGCACTCAGCGTTGCAAATAGGAGAGAATTACGTATAGAGGAAAATGATGTCATGTGGACAGAAATAGACGCCACCGTTGTCACGCTCCCCGGACTTGGCCAGAGAAATTGTGTCGCTTCCGAGGGAAGAATTGTGGCGCGTGGGCGGTTGAATTGGCGGCCGCGATCATGGCTCAGGAGAGATTAGAAGTCGCATTTCATGTCCATTTTATTGGCACATTCAATAGCAATTTATTGGATGCTTTGCACTCCGGTTCTCAAGCATTGATTTTCCAAGACTTTAAGCTGAAGAGACTCTGCATTAGGCTTCTAATTTGCAAACAGAATCACATACAAGTTCATCCACAATTTGATCTACATGGATTCTAGAATTCAGAATACTGGGCGTAAATGGAAGGCTTACAATGCCTGTTATATCATAGTATAATAAGAGACTGATTGGTGCCGTAGAGTCTGAGTTATTTGCAAAGAACAACATTAATTTTTGGAGTATGTTTCTTAGGATTGATTCTATAGAATGTCTAGCATTCTGTCTTACCGGACTTTCCTTACAGGGTTGAATTTGAATTTCAACAAAATCCTCTTCTCTCTCTCTCTCTTGGTGTTTTTATGAATTTAAAACAAATAATTAACCGCGAGGAACCCTCCTTAAACCTGTCTGAGTATCACTATCTGTTTCGCAGTTCATTGGACGATTAAGTGGCCATTTTTATCCCGAAATTGGGAAAATGTGCTAAAAGCATCGAATGATTTGTGGCGGCGGAACAAAGAATTCGACTCTCTGTTGACTATATTTCTGTTCTGAGAGTCCGCGTTCTAAACATCAATAATTTCCACATTGAGTCGCGCACTGTTCATGGAACAGCATGAAAACAGCGCGCGCTAGCAAGATTAATTCATGAAATTCCCCCAACCCAGAATTAACACAGCGAAGGTCATCACTGGGTGTAAAATTACCCGATCGATGGCGATCAATAGAGCCACTGAGAAAATTACACCGCATGCAGGAAACCTTGTCATTTGGAGTACTTTTTCATTAGGCAGCGCATTGTATTCTTGTCCAATTTGTCGTGTGCTTTTGTGCTAATTGCTGGGAGCGCGGGTTACATCTCCAGTCCGGCGGCACAACAATAGGTGCTCATTAGCAATTCGGCTGTTGGAGAGTGGAAATATAAGGTGGAAAAGCGGGGCACGACAAAAGGTGCATTATTCAACGTAAGGAGAATCATTAAAAAATTCTACCTACTTCAGCGTGTCACTTCCCCAGTGATTACGTCATTGTTTACCCGTGCGCCGAACGCGCGAGAGCAAACACACGAGAGTCACTCGGTGTTGTGAATTGTGGCAGAAATGACCTGTAGACGGAAAATCTCACATATTCATTCTCTCCCATTTACCACCATCTCATAATTATTAATTTATTGTAACGATAAGCATGTGCCCGAGAGTTTTGTTGTCTCAACACGGCGCGGACGCACTTGAAAGTGGCCTTTTTGGTTAATAAATCACCTCGATGATGCATCAAAAATGTGGCATAATGTAATTATAAAGTTGAAATGTGTGTTGGATAATAAATTGGATTAATCGCTAAACCAGTGGTGACAAGAGGCAAAGGAAGATTTCTTGTAAATAATTCGCCTGATGGAAGAGACTTCCGTAAGCAATGGCAGTGTGTAGAAATTAGAGCACATCCTTGAGCATTATGTTCCTCCTTGAAACTGGCTAATACATTGTCACTAATTCCTGCAACTCGCAAAACGGCAACTAAAAACGATGGAATTAAACCAGAAAGCATAATAATACAAAAAAAACACACAAAGAAATAATCCAGAAAAATGAGACAAGTTTCCAATGGTAAAAAATCCACCTTTTTCTACTTATTTGCTTCCAGGCAATTCACCAACGCGGACGTGTTTGTGTCTCATTCGCTGAACGAGAGCATAATGTTATAATTTTAACACATATAGGATAGTAAACTAAACATACCAATTCACCCCAAAACGAAATAATGCTAAAGGATCTCAAGTGTCGAGAGTGTGATAGAAAGGAATTAATTGCGGTGTGACAAATCTGTGATCGTACTTAAAGCTGAAGGAGTGCGAAAGAGCCGAAGAGGATGGACGTGACAATTCAACGGACTGACTCACAGAGATCTCAGAATGGACACGGACCGAGAGTCTCCTTCAATCGCGATGTGCACGTCAAGAGGATCGGTTAGTTGGCAAAATTCCCCCCAAATCCATAGTCTAACATTCTGAGGATGTGACGAAAAAAGTGCGGACAAATAAGTCAATGTTAGTGGAGACAATTGGGAATTACAATTCCTCCCACAGGAAATAATAATAGAAAATAATTGGTAATTGAAAATGTATAACCTTGTGCCAATCTTCCTCCTCCGTAGTCGCAATTCTTGCCACAAAACACCTCGCGAGAGAGACTCATTTGTTTCTCCACTTGTGGCGCTCTTCTAAATGAAATTCAAGACGACATCCCACCTTTTGCGCGCCAAGATTCACGAGAAAACTTCATATGCACACTTTCTCAGGCAGAGAGAGAAACGGAAGCAAATTTCCCAGCCTTGTAAAATCGATACTTTATCGCGTGTCAATTTTCCTCCAACAGGAAGCTTTTCTGATTAACTTTGCGAGGTGCATTTGAATTGCAAACATTGGACGGACAGCTTTCTTAATTGCTCAAGAGTGTTCATATCATTGCGCAGATTCTCGAGGACTCTTCGGCCTTGTCAGTCATTTGAATTGGATCAATTAGAAGGCTTGAGAGTCTTGGCGCCAAACTATGTTGACTTTCGGTCGAGACTGTCTCACGATCGCGAAAGTGATCTGCAAATTTAATTTTCCTCCATCGTGTGTGGACTTTTTTCAATATTCTCAGTCAATTTTTACGTATTGCGTATCAATAACTTGTTTGTTATATTGTCAATATCCATCAAGCGAAGAATGAAATGTGAGCAAAAATGGTAAAGACTGAGAAAAGCGAAAAGGCATCTTAGAAGCAAGGTGTGATAGGGATGAAAAAGTAAAGAAATTCTCACAACAGAACATATTAGGACACTTTTACTCTCATATAGTTTGCCTACAATTTTTTTTTAAATTTGTCTCTGGCCAGCGGAAATTGCAATTCTTTGCACATTGCAAAGAAACAATGCTGAAGATCCGCACACTCGCCGAAAGTGGGCACTCATGCGGAGTATTTGTCTCCCGCGAGCCAAATAAGATGATCTCGCCGTGAGTATTGTAGAAAGTTTCCCGCGGATGGTGAGAAGAGGAGAGATATGCGATCGGGAGCATGGAAGAGAAGCATTTGCAAATCATCAAACAAATCGATAAACTGTCTCAGCTAATTGACTGCTGGTGGAATTTAACAGACGCCACAAACGTGTTCTCAATTGACTTATGACATTTTAATACGGCCGGAGAGGAGCTCCTCAGTGGACTCGGTGCACGAAACTCCTTGGGAAGCATATCTTGATCACACGTCCAGTCCATTTGTGGGTGATTTTCTCAGCGATCGCCCATCGATTGCGCGCCAAGCGAATGACACACGCGGGACTCAGGCTTCGGGAGTCGCTGTGAAATGTTAGAAAGATTCCCCCCAGAGGAAGGCATGTGATTGAGAAATCATTCGGTTGCGCGACAAGACAAAGCATCTTCTGCCCAGTTTATGATTGCGATCAGGAAGCAATTTAATTAATCTCCTGGCCACGATGGGCAATTTCGCGAGGCGTCAATCATGGTGAGAAAGCTTCTGAGGAGAAATTCATCTGACATCCACTGACAAGATGATGGTGGGTGAGAACTGGCCACCCAGAGTGATTTTCACTCATCAATCACGGGAGACGATCGAGCTGCAGGCTTGACGAAGTGGAATGGGAAAGTCAGCGGAAATTGAGACATTCCATTAGATGCATTATCGCTTTGTAAAAGGATTAATTTGGTGGCATTGAATGGCACAAATTCCATGGATGACTTCATGAATCAGCAGATCGTGTGACGAGAGAAATGCTGAATTAAGGGATAATTTCAGACTCCCGCTGTTAACCCTTCAAATTGTCTAATGCGTCGCTCAAATCTCTAAACCAAACATATGAATTCAACAGTCAAAGCCTAGTCGACAGTGAGTGTCCATAAACTCGAATGTTTATTGAAAAATCAAATCTTTTAAGGATGTCTTTAAGGTTACACGAATTGATTTCTGATTGCCTCGTCGCCACTAAAGTTGATGATTTATTTATGATCTGGATTTTATTGAGACTGCATATTTTTAATATCGCATCTTTTATTGACCCATCATCTCGACTCGCAATTCAGCATAATTTTTAATAGTTGCGATCAAACAATAAAAAAAATTAATGAACAATTTGTATTCATTAGTTCGCAATGCGAGAGAGGTGCAATTAAAGTACATTTGCGATTTGCATGTTGGAACAATTATGATTGTGAGTGCGAAAATTCCAGCCAGCAAAAAAGTATCACTCTGTGTTCTCGAAAACCACCTTCGTGGGCGCTAAACAATTTAAAATAGACGATCAAGAGAATTTTTGCGTTGGTTTCTTCAACCTCAGTCGGATTTTTTTTCGGCTAAACATCGCCAGACAATATTCGATGGCGCGGAAAAAAGCGCGATCGCGCGGGCGGAAGAAATCATCTAACAGGGCAAAAATGACGATGAGAAAGACGATTGAATGCTGTTTTTGAGGAAGAGAGAAGAAGTCAATGGGCGAAATTTCATTGTGATGGTTTCATCTAATTCCATCTCGTCTTTGATATTGTTATGGATGGTGTTTCTCCTTTTTCAATCCACTTGATGGCCTCGTGCATATTTAAAATAACACTCAAGACGCCCACTTTCATTAACTTTCTGTCTCACTCGTGCAAGAGTCTCGCGCACATACAGTCAAATACAGCAGGAAAAAACAGTGGTGAGAATGAGTAGACGGCAAGATCTTGAGATTCTCGTATGCCATTCGCGCTCTTAACATTGTCAATCGACACGAACTCGCATGGCGAATCACTGCAGATTTTATTGTCGATGTTATTGGCGTATTAATTGTTTTTAATAAAATAGGTGCTTTTATTGGCTTCTAACTGAGGAACTGCTTTGGGCAGTTTTAAAGCGAAACCGCTGAGTTGAAACTTCTTGTAATGTTTCACGCTTTTAAGTGACTACTTCACACTGAAAGCCTCTCAAATTGATGATCGAATAGAGGGTATTTATCATATAATGACTCTCTTATGACAATCCATAAGAATGTCATAATATAGTATTATGAAAATCCACGGAATATGTCTTACAAAATTCTCAATTTTTATTTTGACCCAGAACAAGACTCTCTATTGAAGAAAACATCTTATTTTAAAGTCAAATAAGGAAATTTCCACCTTCATCAGTTTGAATTTAAAATGTAAAATGTCTTTTTGATTACACTTTTGCACTCTTCTGTGCCAAAGACACGCGAGTGTCCGTGAAAAGGATTCCGCGATTCTGCGTGGCCTCTGGACGACCTTCTCGAGTTTCTCTGAGTACAGGGAGAGAGACAAGAGAGATCGCTTCGCCTCATTATGCATTCCTCCACTTCTTCTTCGTGCGTGTCGTTGTCACAGAGAAGGTGACCAGGAGCGCCGGTGGGATGGGAAAGTTCGAGAGGGAATCCAGTTTGACGACTCGATTCCCCATCCAAATCAGTGAGATTAACTTCCCAGGCATTGGAAATCTCCGCGAATTCAACCTCCCATCGTCCGCTAATTATTGGGCATTATCTATATGGGCGCTTCATGAGAAAATCCAATGGGAAATGCGAGTGAAAACAGGATTTCTTTTTGCCCATTTGAAGAAAGTCGTGATAGAACGCCGCTTAGACGCAGACGGTTGAAGGCCGAACGCTTATCCGCCGACTCTGGGCGATAATCCTCCGTCAAGGACGACATCGATTCCGCGCGCGATGTCTTGGACGCGAGACAAAAAGTATTAACAAATGAGTGGCAATTAATGGAGCAGGAATAATTGAAGGGGGCGAGAGAGAGAAGGCATTCCGTACTTTGTAATCAGTGAGAGAGATTAGCGTCAAGATTTATTTCAGCCAGATGATGGCCAGACAATGCGTCCTCCTCCAGTTTTCACCCAGGAAGGCGCGCAAAAGCCCATTTGCTGAAAACTCTAAATATTTAAACGCGCGCACAAAATGGCCAATAAATTGCTTGAGATATTTGAGAGGTGTTTTGCATATTATCACCTCGAGTCAAGGTCAGCAGCTTTAGTCTTTCTTCGTCTTATCTTTTCGCCATTTGACGCTTCAGCCTCTCCTTCGCACTTTCTTGCCTCGCGGTGCCCCGTGGAGCGAGATTTTCTGACAATTAATTCAGCAGATAGAGATGGGTTAATTCTCCACTTATCGCCAGGTTCGCGCCAATCACCAGCAGAATCTCACCACCAGGAAACCCCACCTCGCGCCGCGACTCCACCTGTCCGTCGTGAACTGCCCAAGGACCTGAGCGAGGAGGGAATCCTAGCGGAGGCAGCTCGAGTCCTCGCGCAAGCGGAGAGCGTGAAGTGCACAGCCCAAGGAGGCAACGACATCGTTGGCGGCCGGACAAGCTCAAAGTCCAGAGGCCCCATAGAACCAATTCGCAAGTTCCCCGAGTCCCAATTCAATTCCCTCCCACTCCGAGGTAAGAAGAAGGTCAAGACTCCAGTGACGAGAAGTGTGAGCGACGCTTCAGCCAAGAAGAGCAAGAAGCCTTCGATATTCTCTTTGTTTGGTCGAAGGGATTCAGGACCTGAGGAAGCTCCAGGAAAACGCGTGACGCGAAGCAAGAGTGATGTTGGGACATCACGTGAGCGAAATCCCGTGCGAAAGAGGAACAACAGTGAGAATGACGAAGGTAGGAGCATGGATTTTGCAGGAGTTTCTCATCCCTAATCAATCCCTTGCCTCAACCAGGTGTGAATGCGAAGAAGAAGGCCCCACCGCTGAGCCCTATCATCGAGAGCAGCCAAAAGGAGGACTACTTTGCGAAGGGTCATGAAGCGAGGGCGTCCAAGAGCCCCAGAGGACCTGTGAAACTTGAGGATCTGAACGTGCTGCCAGCAAAGGGAGTCTCTAACAATATCAAAGACACCATCACGAATCTCGTGACGACTCAAGCTAAGTCCACCGAGGAGATGCACAGCTCGCAGCAGCCAGCCGAGAAACCGCCCTTGACCAAGGGTCTGACCGTGGATGGGATGGTGAAGAGGCTCTCGATGGAGCGCTTCTCACCACCGCCCCAGATTGCCGGACCGGCGTTCTCGTACACTCGTCCGAAGGAGCAGATCATCTATGCTCAGGTGGTGTGCGATGGCGACAAGGCCAAACAGACTGTCCACTACGCTCCTAGTCACCTCAACGGTTTCCACGCGGAAACCAATGGCAGGCGCAACGGCCGACCTAGTCATTCCCCGTCGCCGTTCCGCGACCTCAACGGTAAGTCCCAATTCCCTCTTCTTCACTAGCTGTAGTTAAATACTAAATACTTGCCAGGTGAACGACTGACTCGAAGGGAAACCCCTCGTGCGAATAGTGATGAAGACGAGGGTCTTGGCTTCGAGACCAAGAGGCCCTACGAAGAGGACTTTAGAGTAGACGAGGGACCTATCACGCCTAACATTAGAGATGTTCCACCCGAGAAGTACTACTTGGGTGGAGATCTTACGGCATCTGGAGGTAGGAAGCCTGCTTTCCAGGAACTGAGTCAGCGACGAGAGATCCTACAGTCGAGGATCAATAACCGTCGTTTCGGCTCAAGGGAGATTCTACAAGATATCAGTCCCGAGAGAGAAAACCTTTTTGCCAAGACTCAAGAATCGCGGTATCAGCGTAGCAAATCGCATGACATCGATCAGGTGGATAACGGGAAGAAATATCACAAGTTTGGTTCGCATGAGGTCATGAATCGATACTCTCCCGAAAGATCTCATCTGGATATGACGCAGACGCCTAATGGAAAAATCACATCAAAGTATGTTGAAGAGTCGAGGTATTATCATGACGGACGCGATGGATACCGTGAAACATACCGCAAGGAGACGAATATTGGAACAGATGGAAAGCCTAGAACTTCGGAATCCAGATCTAGGGAGCGTTTGGCTTCTCCAAGAAGGATTCCAAAGGAAATTGACTTGGGTTACATTGAAGACCATCGGGATTTCAATGTGGGTCACATCGAACCCAATACAAGCTACTTCCAGGATAAGTACAGGAACGATTTGCATCAGCCGAGGAGTTTAGAGTCCACCACAAGTGGAGATGGTGAAGGGTTCAGACATTTCAAGAGTTCTCACTTGACAAACGGCTACAGGCATGAGTCTGTGGATCAGTACCAGAATTCACTGAGGAGACAGCAAAAGCATCAGAGGAGCTTCGATAAGGGCGATTCGGGAATCGAGAACGACTACAGAAAGGACTCTTTCAATGGGGACTTGCAAAATAGGTGAGATTGTGAAGGATTTTGTGAGGGATTCTCATGATGATGAGTTGTACTCTTTGCACAGATGGAGACGCAGGACCGTGGATGACGACATCAAGGCTTGCGAGACGTTCTTAAGAAAGGAGAGAAGACACACCGAGGAAAACCATCCGGCCAAGCGACGACTCAACTACGCCTACAGAGAGAGAAGCATCGATGATGGATCTCACTTCGATCCACGCCTGGATAAGTATCCGGATGGAACGTTGAGACGTTCACAGGCTCGAGAAAAGAGTCCGGCGAAGGTGGAAAAGAAGAAAAGTGGTCTCGAGAAGGCAAGCAGAGAAAGATCCGTGACAAACACAGTTTCTAAGGCTTTTCTTAACTTCAGGTGAAGCAACTGCTGACTGGGTCGGGCAAGAAGAAGAGCGCCAAGGAGGAGAAGACCAAGGAGAAGTACATGGTGAAGGAGGAAGAAATGCGGGCTCGTTACAGCGAATACCGCGGCGAAGGCCCCAAGGTAAGAAATTCCCTCTTCTCTTGACATTAATAATTTTCGCGCGAGCGACGCTTTTTGCTGTGCCCTCGCACGAGTGCACACACACTGAATTTCAAGTGACAATACGACGCCCAGAGCCACAACAGTGTGAATCAATCTCTTGACCATAAATGGTGCATCATTAAATAATTATTACGTAAGACTATCCATTCATGGATTTCTCTCGGCCTCCTTTTGCCCTCCAGTGGCGGTTCAGCGTGAGGAAATACTGACTGGCCTGAGAACCATTTTCCGGCCACATGGTGGAAAAAATGGAGCTGCAAATGGACCAGAAACTGGGAATAGTTCAGGGGAAGTTGATAGATTTCAGAGGCTCTCAGAAATAATGCTTCGCAAGGTGTTTCAGTATATTTGCAAGCAGAATTCGTCTCATAAAAGGTTAAAGAAATTCTCGCTAAATTTCTCACCTAATAATAAATTCATCTATTTGAATTCCAGATGAATAAACCAGCAATAAAAACGCTGATTATTCATTTGCCATCGCGAGCTTTATTGCCACTCTTTGTGATGGAAATTGTTAGAACTTCATTCATTGTGAGCAGAGATATGTTATGTATAGATTACATTTGTGATGGTGTGGAAAAGTCGGTGTTATTTAAGGTGTAAAATAAAGTAAAGAGCGAGTAAAAGTAGATGAAAATCAGAAATATTTATCGCGATAAGAAAGAACTCAATTTTATGCACAGAAAAGAAGAAGAAATTAGTCAGAAATTCACAAATTTTGCTAAACAAACATACAGTCATCAAATATTCTACGAGAATTTCACAAGACGGACTATTTATCATCAAATCTTGTGACGAAATTCCACGGAAGCCCATCCAGATAGCGATCACTGGTCATAAATAAGACTCAGCATAATTCCATATTGCGAAGGTGAGCGATACTGTTCTCGCGACAATTCCCAAAATGCAAGGGACTTTTGTCGGGTCTTCAGCCTTCGACAGTCCCACCTTGAGTCCACCTTGCGTTCATCCTCTTCTTTTGTCCACCTGGACGTTTGTCTGTGGCATCGTGAATGCAATAAACATCAAAGCATTTCTGGCAAAAGCCCCTAATTGATTATCACAATCAATTCACCTGAATTCATTTCAACCACTTTTGGGGTCGAAAGAGTCATTTTTTCTCAGCCTCCGAAGTGAGAATATTCGTGTCCTGCTGAAAATTAATTCGCTTGGTGAATTGAAAAGGTTGACACTGATTGTATCAATATCATAAATAACATAATTAATGGGACACATTAATACAAAGTGATAAAGATTGTGGAAACCATTAATTTTTGCGATGGCTTTTTGCATCGCAGGCTCACAAAAAGTCATGATCCTCGCGTACACACCCTTTTCGTAAGATGATTAACTTTAAATCTAACGGTTTTGTGACAAAAATGGCGGTCGCGCGGCACGCGCAATGCCTAAATGGACGCTTTGACACCGGAAATCTACCTTTTTGCGGAATTTCTAATGAAATTGAGCAGAAATCACCGAGTAATCTCGCGCTCTGAGTGACTTTTTCTGTAAAATTGCAGACGCCACTCGCAGAAATGTGCCATAAAAAAACACCTACGCGGACTTGTCTTTGATCATTTCTCTAGTGGAGACCATTTTGAATTTCTAATAAACACTGATAAGGAATATTCCACGCGGTGTCGCGCAGACTTATCGGTGAGTGTCCAACAGGCATTTATCTGCCATTTCCATGTCTGAGAAATTGAGGTGCAATAAAAATGCAAATGAAGATTCTCGCGGTCTGGTTTGACCATGGTTGGTGGAAGAACTTGAGAGACACAGTCAAAAAATTGCGTCACATTAATTGTCATTAATTCCACTTGCGTTTTTTCATCACGATTTCTCATTGTCTCTCGGCGATCATTTGCATTTTATCACTCTCGTGATTCCTTTACCACGATTCAGTGTGAAATTTTGCTTGAATTTGCCGAATTGATCCTTCAAATTCGAACATAACATTTTTCGAATCTCCCCCGTCACAGTGTCACATCAGAGGCAAAAAGAGTTGCTGCACGCTTCGCGATGGCAAATGAATTTTTATAGTGGGTGATCAGCGCGGGTTTCGTAAAGAAAAAAAAACAATCGCGCGTCTTGGTGAGCCAAGAAAGGTTGAGGGCGAGCGAGAGAGAGACAAAGCGACAAAAAATGCCTAAAAGGTGAATAAGCGAAGGTGATTTCGTGAATTTGCTGGATACTTTTTTGTGAACGTCTTCATTTTAGGTGAAAAGAAATTTTTCGCCGAAGCGGAGGAGTTCAATAACACCGTGCGGACTTGGATCATCATAAATCAATCACGAGATTCACAGTGAATTTTTGCGCTTTTCCTCATCCAGCCACAATTACACACACACGCATTTGAACTAGACTCTTAGGCCTGATCTTTCGTGCCACTTCGAGTGGGGAAATTAATCAAAATTGCTGATTTTTCTGCCCAGATTGGACGTGTTTGGCTTTCTATGGCGCCAAAATGGATCTTCTAATAACTATTCTCGCCTTGTTTTCGCTCTCCTCACTTATTTTCTTCTGATCTTGACCATCGATCTTCACGCCAAGAAGAAAGTCTTTGATTTCCCTTTCATTGCAATCAACTGGAATTATACATTGTACTCGTTTCTTTGCGATTCTGCACGGGAAATGAGGCATTTTTTGTGTGTTCAACACAATTTTATTTGGTTATTTGGAACTTCAGCGCCTCTAGTGGTTGTTAGATAAACTTCTGGTGTTTGGAGTAAATAATCAGTACAAAATCATGATAATTGAACAATTGCATATTTGTTTATTTCAAAATTCCAGGACAAATTCATTTACTAACCCTGTAATTTAGCCAATTCCCCACAAAAATCTTGTGCATTGCCAAAATGCGTTGAGAAAAAAAGCTCATAAATCGAAAGGGTGATAAAGTGAGGCAAACTGTGGCGCCGAAACCGCACTTTTACCAAAGAATCGCCGTAAAAAGAGACAATAAATGGGTTTTTCGAGATTTGCCATTTGAAAGAGCTGCCAGGAAAGCAGGCAAATATTGATGATTGCGGTTTCGCCACGTCCCACAGAGCGATATTGGCGCGAAAGAGGGTCAATTGATCGGCAATTGGCATGTGATGCAAATATGCAATGCGTGTTTTTTTTTTTCTTAATTATCTTACATAATTCCCGGCATCTCGAGCGGACAATTTAATCCGCGGGATAATTGTCTTCGTCTCCTCGTTGGGAATGTGTTCGCGATGTTGAACTTAAGAGAGTCTCTCCTTGAGGGTATTTTTGTGACCAAACAACAGTCATAAAAAGAAGGAACACGAAATTTGAGACTTTATTCTGGACCACAAATCTCATGTTGAACATGGTTGAAAAAGACAAGATAAAAATCCCAACGAGACGCGACTTCTTGATGATTTTATTATGCGCCACTTCTATTGTTGAAAATTCAACTTTTGCCCATCAATCATGGTGTCTTGTGGGCGCGACTATGTCGCGAAATCTCAGTTGCACGCAATTGCGATGCAACTGAAAAGGAGAAATGACCTCAAGAGCGTCTCTAAGTCACTTTCACGCGCGGCAAAACGAGAATTTCACCATTTCGCGGACTCGGGAAGAAACAATGCAATAATCAACCTCTGGCATTCTGCTAGCGCAAAAAGTCGATTTTACTGCGAGGGAGGTTTAGAGACGCCTCAAGATTCTGCACTGTGATTAAGCGTCTTCAGCTCACCTTTTCACATCCACACCGCCTTTGCCGAAGCGATCCGTCGCGATGACACATCGAGAAAGTGATTTTGAGAGTGGAAATGGGCAAAAAAGAGCGTCTTAATTGAGAAAATGATTCGATGGGCTCAAATATCACGAGAGACTGTGGGCGAAAAGTGATGGAACGTCTTCAGTTACGCAAGATTTCAGATTCAAATTACTCCAGAGAGTCTCGTGGAAGCCTTTTTTGTCGAGGTCCAAGCGTGAGCTCTTCTCAGATTCTCTCAAACTTTCACACACGAATCTCTGGTCAGTGACTGTCCGGCCAGATCGCGGAAGCCGAGGGGCGAAGAGCGAACAATAAGTTTGTTCTTATAATTTCAGATGTCAAAATGAACTGAGATGAAAAGCGGATCGAGGAAATTTCAAGAAATCGTTATCAGAAAGAAATAAAGATCTTGAAGATGCTCTTAAACATCAATGATGAAAAGCAGTTATCAAGATCATTGGTTATAAGAACTTTCCTAAGATTTCTTATCATGTTAACTTCTCAAAAATTCTCAATCTCGTGAAAATATTTTCCAACTTCTCAATAGCATAAAACCCCTCGACTTTTCTCCATTAATCGCCCTGAAATCTCTATGAATGGTCGAATGTTTGAAGGAGGAGTGAAGCAATTTTTCAATTAACATCTCTTAATCTTCATTTTTTGCGTCACTTTCGTTTTCTCAATCATTCCCACGTGTCATTATCTGCACTTTTCCCGAACACCTCCAAGATAACCTTTTAGAGACACTTTGGAATTCTCGGCGATGAGAAAAAAAAACCCGCCAATTAATTCAATTTTCCGCCATTTATCGCCACTTAATCCCAAATGCCAAAGCAAGTCACTGGTTTTTGTTCAGTCTCGAGACAATTTCCGCGAGATAAAAATTCAATGAGTGACAAAAACCACGAGCTACACTTAAAAGAAGACATAACTTTTATTGGTAGAGAGATGAGAAATACACTTTGCCGTTTGCTGGAGTGTTTTTTTTTCTCCTTCTTCTCAAGATTCTGAGCGACTTTTAATGTATTTCATTACGATAAAACACAAAATCACCATCAAAACTACTTAATTTTATGTTTTAGATATACATAAGAGAGAAATTACAGTAAAAACATTTAGTAGAGGAACACGATAAAGGCGCAAATGGTAGCAGAAAAGCTCTAATTTCTCACTTTTTTGCTCTCTTTGGTGTTGCCACAAGAAATCTGGTGCTTGGAAATATGCATGAAATGGAGGTCGATGTTGATTGAGAGGTTGAGGAAAATGCAAATTGTGAAATAATTAGACAATTTAGATGAATATGAGCTGGTTTGGGCGACCAACAGACGCAAATTCATCAATGAAAACACAGTTCTTGGAAGACTTTGTCACGAATGTCTTGAGAAATTCATTAGAGCCTCATCGACATGTTATTTGGCTAAGAATGATTAGGAAGTTTTTGTTGAGTGCTGGGAAAATTCCCGCGAGGAATTTAGAAAGCGCGCAAACTTGTGCATGGAAATGTGGTGATCTGGTGCTCTTTTCCTTCGTATTCTGATCGCAAAAAGAAGCGCGGAGGCGCAGGAAAAAAACAGATGTGAGGAGGTGGAATAAAAGAAATAAATAATGAAAGAGGAACCGACCGACCTTGATCGAAGAAACACATAAGAAACGACCTTTGCCAGCCTCTCGCTGCTCCTCTATTGACAGATGCTGACTTCTTGCACATTTGCATAATTCATAAGCCACCGAAGAAGACACCCAATTGCGCCACACACGTTCATCTTCAAGCCTCAAGCATCCGCCGAGGCGGATCAAGCTTGGCCTAAAGCTCTCGCGAGCGGAGCTTTTCGCGTGAAATTGCAGTGCGCGCGAAATTGTAGATAATAATTAGCATGAACTGTGCGAGGTTTCAATTAGAAAATTCCACGCTGATTGCGATTGGCCGGGAGAAAAATGTGCGCATGACGCAAGATTTGGGCGAGGCGGTGGGAAATGATGGGATTTTCCGGATCTCCGACGACACTTGAATTCGGCGCTCTGCCCAGTGAATTGCACGACAGCCACTGAAGGTTCTTTGGCGGGTGAGCAAAAAAGCTCTGCACAGCGCGATCGATTGGCGTCGGCGGCAACTTTCAATTCCCGGCCGCGCGCAAACATTGAAAAAGAAGTGCTCAAGGAAATAAAAAGAGCCACGATAATTGCAAGTTTTTTCTCCTTCTTCATCTTCTTCTGCCCTCGCAGATCTATCTCTGGCCCAAGAAACCGCAGCACTTTATCGGGCATTTGCAATCTCTTAATTACTTTCGTGAAAAATATTCCCGGATCTGATTGAAAATGGCATATTTGTTCTCACAGAACGCTCACAATGGACAGAGACTCACCTGCGAGATTGTGTTGTGTCTTCCAGGTGCAGGACATTGCGACGCGAAGGCGCCTCTCGACACCGAAAGCCAGCCCAATTCCGCGACGGACGTCGTCTCAGAAGAGCACCAGCAAGAGTTCGTCGAATCTGTCGCAGCAGGAGAATTCTCCGGTGCAGAAGTTGAGCTGGTTCAAGTCACTCGATCGTCTGTCGAGGAAGAACAAGACGACATCCAGCAGGAAAACTACCAGTGATGACGACTTCTCGAGCATAAGATCGCCCAGGCCGCGACCTTTGAGTCCCAGGCAGGAGAATCAGGCGCCGCAGAGGAAGAGCCTGCGCTTCTTCGGCGACACTGATCAGGAGTCCAATGCGAGCGTCTCGAAAGGCATCTGGAAGAACAAGTGAGAGACTTTTGTGTAGGTTCCTAATGTTGATTTTGAGACGTGTTCCCATCTTCTGCCAAAGATCTCGCCATCCATTGTCAACCGCCTTGACTCGTGGCCAGAAGAAGTACTCAAGGAGCGCCTATGATCTCGACACAATCTCCAAAGGCACCAAGATCAGCTCAGCCAGCAAGGCGAAGAGTTCTTCACTTCAGCATCTCGAGAATGACTTCTTGTTTAACGGCAAGACGGTAAAAAAAACTTATCAACTTTCCATCAAGAATTTGCCGTTCTACTGGCTTTTTTCCATTAAACAGAAAACGCAGTCGAGGAACCTTCATGACATCTCTGAAAGTGCATCCGACAACGAAAACTCCCCGACAGGAAGACACAGGAGCGCCCCCGCGAAACCTCAGCGAGGACGCCAGTCAGCAGAATCCACGTCCATCATCAAATCCACGACGCTCAACAGGCGCACGCCCAACGGCGTAACCGTGAGTTCGTCCCACGATGAGGACGCTGAGACCGAAATGCCATTCCAGCGAAAGCGACACTACTTCGAAGAAGCCAGTCGCCGCCACGACTCTCCGGCGAGGACGACTCTCAGGAGAGAGTTGTCCTTCGGCGGCACGGGCTCCAATGACTACCGGAAGCCGCCGCCCGGACCACAGAAGCCGGCGAGACTGTTTGAGAAGCGACGAGCCTATTCCAGGTCTGTGCCAGCGTTCTAGCTTGCGAAGCAGGATAGTTTCATGGTCTCTTTGTTTGCAGGGAACGAGAGAGACTTCACGACAGCTCCGGAACGGAAGGCGATTCAAGTCAGCAAAGCCAAAGAAGCGTAGTCTACTTGCACGCCACGACAGGTTAGATTTCCAACTGGTTTCGCAATGGATCTTTTTCTAAGCGAAAATTCTAATTGCAGTTGGCGACATTCCGCAGCCATTGCTGCTGAATCGACGTCGCGCCGCCTCTCGGGAGGAGTTGAGCTCTAAATCTAAGGGTCAGCGACCTATGACTCGCACCGTCTCGAGATCTGTCTCAGTTTTGGCGCCCTGGAAGCCCAAACATCTCCACGAAGGGTACGAAATCAATTACTCTCAGACTCAGGATAAGGTAAATGGAGAATAGAGATAGGCTTTCTTGATATTCAGTTGAAAAACTCATCGTATGATCTCTTGTCCTCAGCCAAGAAAGTTCTACCATCAGGAGAGGAAATCTCCGGGAAGCGCTTCAAATCTCACTGCAAAGAGGGACACAACGACTCTCACGCGATACAAAAAGTCCCTCCCGAGGGATGAAATGTCTTCGGACAAGAGTTCCTCAAATCTCGGCTTCACGACACAGCCGCGACAGACGCGGAGTCACAAGAGGGAGTCTGAACCGCGGAATCTATCGGAAATCTCCCTGACGCGGCGTCGTGACACACCGGAGCGCTTTCCGGCCACCAGAAGACGCTGGAACGATTGAGAAATTGCATTCCGGGACACTTAGAGGAGTTGGTGCTAACTTTTAACAATTTTATACATTTTTTTACACACTCTTGGCGCGTCTGTAGATAGGAAAAGTGTGAGAATAACTGAAATAATCCGACTTAAGGTCTCAGAGATAAAAGAATACAATAAAATTTTATTAACACGCGAGGAGGATTATAAAAAAAAAACTGACTAATGAGTACCCTTTTATGTAATTCATTCTGACTATATGTAACGTAATATCGTGAGAAACATGATTATATACTATTTTGCAACAATTTGCCATTTTTACTCTGAATTTGTAATACAAATATTTTGAATAAAAAAAATCAAGGATTAATAAAATAATTATATTGGACACTAAAAAAGTATTTCCGTTCTTCCTTCCTTTTATTAAAAAATATATCACAAATCGGTTTGTAAATTGGGCTCTGATTCAGTCTTGATTCTGTCGATCATGCAAATTGTCGTGCCGACGAGGATGAGAAGAATGCCGCAAAGTGCCTTTGGCGGCAGCTTCTCTTCGCCCAGCAACTTTGCGGTGATTGCAGTGAAGACGAAGGTTAAGGAATTGGCAACAGGAACGGCCAAGGATAATTCTGTGTTCTGCAGTGTGAAGAAATAGACCAAACTTCCGGACTGGTTGAGCAGGAAAGGAATCCAATACTGCCATCGACAGACGATGAATTTGATTTCAAGCAGGAGTTTCTTGATCCTGGAATTCGCCTCTACTTTCTGTATTCCCTGAGAGCCTTTCTTAATGAAGGGATTCGTGGCGCCCCACAGAAGACCAACAAGAATCAGCGAAACTGTGTCGAAATATGTTCATTTGAGGTAAAATTATGTATAATTTCTAAATAAATACAATACTTACGTGCATTCCACATGTTTTAGGTGCACTTTTCATTCATTTTCCAAAGATTTTTCACAGATAGATTGGATAAAAACAAACTTGTGTGCGGTGTTTTGATGTCAAATTATTCCATCAAATTGTTGGTTAATTTTTATATGTCGATAAAACAGATTCAACGTTGGCGGGAAAAACAAATGCTATTAAGTTTTAGGAAAGAAATACAATTCTCCTTTTGCGTTGTCCCTGAAAATATGGAAAATACCAAGGATTCTTCCCTCTTTTCTACCCTTTCATTGGAATTTCACGCAATTTCTCAATTTCCCGCGCGACCCTCACATTTTTTTCATTAACATTTTCTCACTTCCGTATGTAAATTTGTCCCTGTCGTCGTCAAAAATGCGACATAGAGGTGAAAGTTAATGGACTTAGTATAATCGTTACTGGAATTCAAATTGCACTTCATTAGAGCATTATGTATTATATATTAAATGCCCTCAATATTTCTTGAGTAAATTCCTCAGCAGAAAATAAGTCTTCTTCGTATTAACTTAATAATTCGCACGTGCTTGTGTTGAATTCCTGACAATTCCCACACCTTCGGCAGCATTCCAACGGAGGTGTGAGGCCACAGTCGCGCCCTTTGTTGTCCCAGAAGACGCCCCGGAGCTCCGTCAGGTGTTTGCGAGCCAAGTGTTTTCCGCTGGGAGTTTCCATAGTGATTTCTCCCACCATTTGGGCTTCGGTTTACCACCCAATCCACCACCTAACACAAGGGATTTTCCTGCTACCGAGGAAGATAATTCGCATGCGAGAACAAAGAGTATAACATTCGGCTGATTTTTCCCGTCTCAAGCTCAAAAACCTCTCAGGCACAGTGGATGATAAATCATAGGGAAATTGCCAATAAGTCAAAGCGACACTTTAAATATTCACCCCTCACTAAGGATGACTTTAAAGGCGTCATTAATATTTGAGCAGGAAAACCCACCTCAAACCACAGCCGGACAAGCAACAAGAGAGATGTCCGTCCTGTTGCCTCGGAAAATCTCTCTCAGTCGCTCACGCTCTCACGCTTTTCCCCGCCTGAACTTGACTCTCTCACAACGTGGAAATTGTTGGAGCATCTGGAGGGAAAATTCGTGCGCTCAAAACGGGCTCAGACGTCGTCCAGAAAAGACGTGAATTCTTATATCGCTGAGGAAAATCTTTCGCGCTTGAATTGAATAATTTCACACAGTGACTTTTTCGCGAGAAATTGCGTGAAGATTCTTCGAAAGCGGCTTTCATCCCAGAACAAATAAAGGTAAGAAATTCCGATACATTAATTTCTCATTGGGTCAATTGAGGTGCAGGAGAAGCCGCGAGAGCTATAAATAAATCAAGTGAAATCCTCTAGTCGGATAAGAATGGATTTCCTCTGACAAGAGGGTTCATTCACAAAATATCCGCCCCCGCGCCGCTTTCCAAACGCCGTCGGTCGGCAGTCTCGTGGCCTATAAGGGTGGGTGAAAGTGAAATTCGACACATTTAACATGCAAACAATGAGCTCAGCCCCAAAGTTTTTTTTTTAGATAATTGGGAAGTCCGTCGAGGGTGGATCACGTGGAGTATGTCTATTCAGGTATTAGGAAATACGATTTCCCGCGAGAGCTTTCGTGGCCTGAGGCAATAGTTATCCAAGTCTCGTTCGGACGAAATGAATGTCTTGAGTGGATAAAATGGTGAAAGAAAATGAAAAAGGAGTAGGTTTTTTTATCTTTCAAGATCTTAAACTCAAGCTCAAATAAGATTATAAATAATACTAACTATCATAACTACTACAAAACATAGTTTAAACATGGCTTTTGTAGTTGTTGCATAATCAGGAAATTAGTTATGTCGTGTCAAATTTTACGTGATTTTTTGTCACATCATCAGAAAACCAATAGATTCTGACTAGTTCTGAAGCATGTTAGTTGAAACAAGCTAAATTGTCGATTCAAAAAGATTCCAAAGAGGATTTTAAAGAATCTCAAAGCCCTTAAGCTACAAAAAAAAAAAATTAAATAAAAATGAAAAGACGCGCTTTTCTCTGAGTGCAAGTGAGACTAAATGTGAATGATATTCACGAAGAATATTCTCTCATTACCGCACAAAAGTAGTTTCTTTATTGTTCTCGCCTGTTTATTTATCTTCAAGTGGGAACTTTTCCCTCATGCCAGAGTACATAAATGCCCAAAGACTCTCGTCCATTCCGGCTGAGGGTGAAGGAAAGCGATTATGGGCGCGCGAGAAAAGTGTTGAGGAGAATTACTGTGAAATTAGAGGGTTTGCGCGCCTCAATGGAAATCCTCCTCCAAACACAATTCAGCTGAAATTAATCTCCTTTTTGTGTGAGTGGAAATCCTCGTGATTTATCCACAACTTTTCGCTATGCTAATCCAATAATTTACACACAATCGCCCAGTTTGGCTCCGTCGTTCCCTCACTTTTCTCCTTCGCTATCCGTGGACATGTAATTTATTGTGGCATCTATGTAAATTTACATGTAATTAATTTGCTTGTGATCAAACAACAACACCAAATATTTTTCTTCGCGCCATACGAAAGGCACGAGAGGTCAAATTGATGGGGCGCGCGCGATGGTTTTTTTTTGTTATGATGGAGAGGCAAAAGAAAGCATTTTTCCCAACACCTCAATTCACCCAGACTTTTCTCTGGGTAAACATTTGGGGAAAAATGTGAGGCGAGAAATTTCGACGCAACGTCGTAAATTTTTTCCGGGAAAACGGTGAACAAAATTAATTTACTCTTTTCCAACCCATTGACTTTTTTTGTGAGTGCACATAATTGAATTTGAAATGTATAACAGCCATAACAGCAAATATTGGGATTGGAAAACCGGAGAAGTTGAGCGCTTTTAATTAAACACTTTAATTAAACGCACATTTGTACCCGAACACAGAGAGAATGGAGCTTTTCCTGTGTGAGACAAAAACGTGAAACGCAAGCAAAAGTCTCATTACGAATTTATATCTTAATTCGGATAATCACAGAGATTCAATTACTGGAGCTTAAGTGCCTCTTATTATAATTTTTGCTGAGACATGCGAAAGTATTTGATTTTCTTGGGTTTTCATTATATGAAGTTTTCCACCGAAAATGATGCCTTCATGAATTAATTTCCATGTGAAATTTGCATTCCGAGCTTTGCAGATTTTATATTTTCAAAGTTCCAAAAAGCCATAGGGAATAATTTCGTTGACATAAAATGAGGATATAAAAGTTATATGATGAATCTCATAAATTTTAATATCCTGAATTTTTTTCTCATTATGCAACAGGGTGAAAAGATGATTGCTTTTATATGGCTATAGGATTTAATTAATTTACTCTTTTATCGGGAAAAAATCTAATAGCTTTTTTTCCTCTATTTTCAATTTGTCTTTCTCTGGGTGTATTTTACATGCCCACAAAACATGAGAAATTTGTTTAGGTGGAGTGATGAAAAGAGCATTTGGACATGCCAAAAGGCTCATTTCCACGTTTCTCTTCCTCTTTCACACGCACATTTTTCGCCTCCTTCATTATTTATGTGGTCAGCAACAAATGTGCCCAATTTGAAGCATGATTTCTCATTAGCAAAGCGTAGACGTGGAGGTTTTCATTAAGCCAAACAACAAGACCATACGAGAAATATGGCCAAAAGCAGCACTTTTCGCTCTTTCTCTTTCACCTGGGGAAATGCATTTTCCTGCTGGGAAAGCAACCAGAAGACAAGAAGGAATGTAGATTTTCTTCTTCTCTCCACCGAAAATCCAAACATTTTGCTGTGTTTTCCGCTGAAAATATACAAATCAATCGACTCACAAATTAATTTCCTTCTTCGAATTGCCGTTGAGAATTCGCCTGAATTTTTATATAAATAGAATATAATTTTCAATCACCATTTTTTTTCTTCTTCTCTGATCTCACAGTGAAAAGCTTCCTGTTTCGTGTGGTAGAGGAAAATCTTCACAGAAGATCCACACGGAAAAAGAGGGGCGAAAGTCATCGATCAGGTGAGACGCCAAAGCATTGGACAAAAAAGCTCTCCATCCACAATGTCAATTTGTCCATCAATTTTGCCGGCGGGCAGAGAGAGCCTCCAGATTCACCTCTCAATCACTTCCTGTCCGTTCTCTCGTTGCCTTTTTCCACCCACAGCACAGGATGTCAAATTAAATTCTGGTGACTTTGTCCTTCATTTTTCTCCGTCGCGGAGCCAAAAAACACGCACCTAATTGGATTTTAAATTTTCCTCTCTCAGGAAGTTGAAAGAGATTTTTCCCAGGAAAATTAAATGTGGAAAATATTGATTCGTGAAATTAAATTTTGTGTTCACACAAGTGGAACAACCTCAAGAGATGTGAAATAGTTTCTGGGCATTAAATGAAAGTCATTCGGATGATGATGTTGAGAGCATTTCTGGGTAATGCAATTAACAAATCTTCACTACACATATATATATACACAAATCTCCCTTTGAAGGTCGCAATGGTAATGTAAATCGATATTTCCCTGTATTCAATTTGTTCAAGGTGGAAATTCAAGCATTTCGGCTAAATATTTCATATTTCCAGTTAAGTTGTGAGGAAATGCATGAAAATGACCAGTATATGTTTCAGATCAAATATTTACAGCACTGCAGAGGGTAAAAATAGTAGTTGAGACATGAATCACCTTCAAGAAGAAAAGCGGAAATACGAAATTATTTATTGCATTCGCAATACCAACGGTGAATCCATGATTGAAGCCTTCTTAGGGGTAAATTTATTTTCATTGTCAGTATGACAAAAAATGAGTAAAAGAACAGAAAAAAGACACTTCGATTTAGATTAAGAATTTTGCTAGAATCTGTGGCATTAAATGTAGGAAAAAAGACTCTTCATTGAGTGCACTTTCGTCGCCAACCAGTTTCGCAGGTTCGCTGCAAAATATTCAGCAGCTTTTCCGCCACTTCGCGCATAAATTTTTTATCGAAAGACGAATTTTACGCTTTTTGCAAGCTTTTTTGTGTTCATAAAAACGTCCAATTCTGACTGTTTCACATTGAAAAAGCTGCATTTTCGAGGTCTATTCGCCACTCTGCGAAGCTTTGCTGGTGACTCGATGGCGATGTAAATAACAGATGAAACAGAGTGGGTGGAAAATTAGTGGGTGGCGAGAGTGTCAGAGTGGCAAAAAAGGGCGCGACCAGTGAATTATATTGTCACTCCAACAGTTGAAATTTATATTTATATAAAAGGCCTTCGGCTATTTATTTCTCTAGACCAAAGGTGATCAATTTCGCGTGGAAAATTTCACTATATACAATTAACATTTTGCAGTGTGTGGCAAATAAGCGTATTTTAATTGCTATCGCACTCATTGTCGTCTGCAACTTTGTACAGCTACACAAGCGTTCAGCATGAATTACAGTTTGTGGTAGTTTCTTGAGCTTCGGAACTCACTTGGGGAGCATTGCACATTATCATCCGCACAATGTTATCTTGTTTGTGGCGAAACTTTTTCTTCCAGGCCTGGGAAAGTGCGCAGAATTTAATGGGAGTCGTTAAAATGTCCATGTTTACGAGTTTTGCTCTCTTCCGTTGAGTCAATTAAACACTCTTGAGTGCTTCTCATTAAATTTTTCCACGGAAATCACCCATGATATAATTCATGGTGCTTTTTGTAAACTATTTCACTGGGTGGAATAGTTTAAATTAATATTGTGACGCTCTGTGAATTGACTGAAGAGTGTCGAGAAATTGGATACTTTGAAGTGTGGCGGCATGAAAATGAGCAAATTTACATTGCGCGCCCTTGAATTTCAGGACTTAGGACATTATATTTGGCACTGAGTATATTTTCCACGGCAAAAATGCAAAAATCGTGGAAATAGGCCCACACAAAAGATTATTATGTACATTTGAGAAGAGAGAGTGCTTTACGGGAGAGAAACGGGAATTCTCACTCAATTCTCCATCGATTTTTCCTCACACGGATGACGAGGGAATTACAATGAGGCCTTTTGGGCTCGGAGACTCTGTGAGACAATTGCCATGAATTTTCATTTATATTTCCCCCTGAATGTCCCTCCATCGCGTTGGAATTCATGAGCGAGGAGAGAGCTTTTATTTTCAACCCCTGGAATTTGCTCTTTTGTCCACATAGCCAACAATAAAGAAAACCTCTTCGCCATTCATTCGCACAATCCACCTTGAATGAATGGCATTTCCCCGTATTCCACAATGTAATTTTCCCTCAATGAAAACTCTCCACATATGCAAGACATTCTCTACGCACTGGAAATTGTACACAGAAAATGCAGCTTTCAGACTCTGTTTCAGATGACGATGGAAAAGGAAAAAGCTTTCGACTGAAAAGGGTTGAAACGGGAAAATCCCTCATAATCTAATTGCTCACATTGTAATCCACTTTTTGGCATTTTTTTCCATACCCTAAAGTGAAAGAGCTTTTGTGACGCAATGTATGCGGTGGAAAGCAGTAAATTACACAGCATAGAGGTTGATAAGATTCCTATCGTGCCACTCGCAGTCGTACCAAAAAAAGCTCACACAGCTTTCATGGCAAGAGCGATAATTTCAGGCATGTGGAAGTGGATGAATTGGAGTTATGCTGGTTTTTTTTGTGCAGCTCTTTTTGTCCGCGGTTTGATAGCATAGTTTAAATATTTAATTTGGCGAAATTGAGTTGAGTTTTTAATTGAAATGCTCTGTTGCGTTGACTAATTAACTGAATATTTCTCATTTATTTGCGTGTGGCTCAAAAGTTTCAAGGCATCAGAGACATTCTGAGTATTGCTTTTTGGGTGTTATAATTAAGTGAATATTTGGATGAATTCACATCGATTGTTCGAGGAAGGAGCATAGAAAGTTCCTAAAGACTTTCTTTCATGGTGAAAAATACGTTATCTTGTGAGGAATCATAAAAATTGACTGACTCTGCGAGAAGTTAAACTTTTCTCTCATCCTCCCGACAAATGATATTGATTGTCTTTTTTCTGTCTGATCTCATGAATTGAGAATTTTTCTGCGTGTTTTGTCTACGAGATGTTTACACTAGCTTCCCACGCATTTTCTCTGCTCAGCTTTTTTCCGTAAAATTTCTTTGCGGTTGTCGCTTCACACCATCGAGGAAGTGGAAGATGATGGGAATTTGTTTACTGGCAGGGTTCATATTAATGAAAAAACAACTACGAGAGTGAAAAATTTCCCATTGTTTAGTGTCGGAGAAAAGTTTCTTGGCAGCGAGAGAAGGAATAAATATTTGTCTTTGGTGGAAAATGTGCCCAACCAAAGTGTCCGAAAATTGTGTTGAGTTGAGAATGTGAGGAAATTGAGAGGAATTGTCTTTTGGGCGAGAAGTTTTGAAATAATTAAATATCCCACTTTAACTTAATGGCTTTCTTATTTATTTAGCATTCATTGGAAATGTACATTGAATTTCGTGCCCACATTTTCTGTGCTGAGATGAAAAATTTCGTCATGACTCCCAAAATTTCCCACCAAAACTTTCATTCTCTCATTAATTCATGATCACGACAGAGTTTGTGCGCATTTTCCGGATGGAAGAGACGAGAAAATGGAGCAATAAAGGGCAAATTTTGCGATCATTCTGGCCACTAAAGAATTATTCTTGACATTGGCATCATAATCTCGTGCCGTTTACATCCCTTCTTATGGCCGAAGAAAAATCCCCCTTTTGTCGTATTATTGGTGTTGTGTGGCACCCAAAAACAGCTCAAAATGCCCTCATTTATTTCCACCATCGTCCTGTTTTCGCAGAACGAATAAAAGCTTACATGTTGAGGAATATAAAGACGAAAAAGCTTTGTCTGCCAAGGGAAATCCCAGCAAGGCGACGCGCTTCCCTCTTAATTCCCGGCTAAGGAGGTATCGATACACTCTTGGTGCATCGTTAAAGTGATTGAGGGGAGTGCAGAAATGCCGAAGCAATAAAGATTCAAGAGGTAGAGCTTTTTATAGCTTCTCTGAGCTTTTTTTCCTGCACACACCAAACGCACTTGAGAAAGAATGTTTCATCAGAAGAGATTGAGTATTATTTTTTATATGTGCGTCAATACATCCCCAGCTTTATGGTTTATGACTAAAGTGATACACCATCAAATATGGCATAAAAAAGTTCGTGAAATATTAAAAAAAAAACTGGCAATTATTTTGATGAGTTGCAAAAGCGCAGCGTCCAAATATGATGCTTGGTAGCATTAATAACAAACAAACAAAAAATCCGATGCAGGTTTACACAAGCCATCATTTTTCGTCCAGAGCTCCAAATTGAGAGCTTTCCATTAGTTGTGAACTGAAATGACTGTTAAATCCTTGTAAATTGGGACAGAATTTGAGGAGAAATCCCACTTGTCGTCTGCTAAATGATAAATGATGCAGGAAAGCTCGCACTGAGAGCGACTATGGGTGCTTTTAATCCCATTGTATGAATGGGAAAGTCTTGTGAAGCATTTCTAATTAAACTGAATCCACATATTTTGCGATGAAAACACGTCCACTGCTTCCGATATGTAACGAATATAGAGTTGGTCATGCTCTGTGGGGGATTGATCTTGTCATTTCTGGTGGTTTTGTCACGAAACACCATCGGTGTGTAATTTTGTTCGACAGCCGGTAACAAATTCCCCCGAGGCGCATGATGGCATATAAATCCCGTGCTTGAGAGTCGATTGATGTGCATGATTCTGTGCTGATGAAGGAGGAAAATTGGGAAATAGCCCGAACAGGGTGGAGAGGGACAGAAAAAAGCAAGAATAATTGAAGACATTTATGTTCACTTTTTACGACACAGAAAGTACCTCGTTTCCTTTTCTCACTGATCCCCAAACCCGTCAAAAGTGAAAGTTTCCTTTATCCTCTCCACCCTCAACGGAAGCCACCTTATCAAGACATGGCATGCTCCTTTTGGCATTTCGGGGAGGGAATTAAAGTGTTTTCCTTCTCTCTCTCTCAAGACAGAGGCGAGGAAGCGAACAAAAATCAATAAGAAA